TGACTTTAAGATATGCGTTTTGCCAAAAGATATATGAACGACTTATTGATCGGCAGTTCATATTTAGCACCACATGAACAACATGTAAGAGTTGTATTACAAAAGCCAAACTAAAATGAAATTAACAAATATTTGATTAAGTATCAAACTATTGTTTTCAAAGTCCCGACTTTAGAATTTCTATAACATTAAATAAGTTCTTAAGGAATATTGCCGAGGAAAAAGAACGTAGCGATCACCAACTAATACCACATAACAAGTTCACTGACACAAATTCGAAGTTTTCTAGGTTTGTCTAACAATTATTGCCACTTCATACTTGGCTGTGCACAACCAATGCAGCCGTTTCATAATAAATTAGAAAACTGAAGAATTTTACAATGAATTCTGAGGCTATTGAAGCTGTTATAGAGCCCAACCGTATTTGTTTACGTAGCTAGACACCGATTATCATTCGCTCTAATAGCGGGTGCGTCAGACAGAGCAGTGGCGTCCTCGATCAACTATTTAAAAACGTAAGGCAAACTACGGCGTTCTTCTCAAAAAGGCTCGCTCCTGTGTGGATGAGATGCTGTACGTTCAAACGAGCACTCACTGCAATCCATCCAGTCATCAAGTATTTCCGATACATATTAGAAAGCTGAGTTTTAATAGGTTACGCATATCACAACTAACACTTTAGAAGCTCAAGCTGGTAAACACTTGCCTTGAGACATCCCACGCTTTGACTTTGTATCACAGTTAACCAGTCATGTACATGTGTAAGGTGTGGATAACCAGGTATTGGGTGTATTATCTCGATAGGAAACTATCGCAATTCAACATCAGACCGTAAATTCGAAAGCTTCAGTGAAAAACGAAAGAGAAGACTGTGAATTACAAAATCTATTTTCAAAAACGACCTCATGTCTCCAGCTAGAGCAGCTTCCGTCAGCAACTGAAAGTAGTGTAATCTTTTGTGACCCAATCAAAGCGATGCCTCCACCGAATTTTCCCGAAACTAAGCAAAAATTATTGCTTAATAGTATCCTTGCTTTCTCTTTCTAGCGTGAAGGCTATCAACACACTTGGCAATGCAAGATATTTATTGTCGAAGTTATCGGATGATGTTCACAGGTAAGTAAGTGAACATTTGATTTGCCGTCCTCCTGGGGGCAGGTCAACGCACTTAACAAACGAATCATCTCTGTTTACTTACTCTGACCGATAATTAGCACTAATATTATAATTTACCGGTAATAAATAAATACTAGGTGGATGGAAACTTGTTTTTTGGAACCTTAGGCTCCCTACTGTAGATACGTTCTAATATCAAATGAGTCGTTCCGTTGGTCTGTAAGACTGTTCTAACTTTAGTGAACCTGGAAAGCATAGTCAATCTTAGGACTGAAATTCTATTTATTTTTATTTTACATTATGTTTTAAATCAAAATTCCACGTCAACAGCCACCTAGGTTAAGAAGCAGGTCTACGGAAATTCAGTATTATGGGCTGAAGGTCATGCATTTAACCTAGTTCAGTGATGTATGTAACTTCTTGTTGGTTGGTTGTTGGAGACATTCATTTCCAAGTAATATCCTGCTTCAATGTATATTATCTACCAAGATGTATTCACAGTGTTCATTTCCTTCCAGATTAGGTGTATTTTCGGTGGCCCACGATCTGGCTCCAATATTTGTGATCGAACGAATATACCATGAAATAAATCTCCCCTTCAGTTTCTGTTTACTATGCTTAGGCGAACCCAGTTTGCGAGACGACGGTAATAAGAAGCCAGGAACGGATTCAGTTGAATCAGTTTATTTCAGGTAGATCTTCATGCAGACCTGATAACAAAAAGCACACAAGCAAAACGAAACATAGTGAAGTAGATTGGCGAAGGTTAGTGAGCCAACTCAATTTGATGAAGCATGACTAAGAATTTATAGTCAGACAAAAATAAGCCAGACATGCAATAAGCGATATAGGCGAGCACACACACGAATAAAACCAGCACAGATATGATCGAATGACTGGCAAGGTCAAATGACAGACTGGACGAGCCCTGCGAGCTAGACATGAAAGCCCTCGCTACATATTCTGTGAGTTTCAACGTCTATGCAGAATGGAACTTTAGTGGCACGGGAAATGGCTCCAATTATTACAAACAATTAAATGTGCTATGAAATAAATGTTGTCGAACACTGCATGTCAGGTGGCGTTGGTCGAAACCCCAAGACGGTTTTGCGTATGAATTTATTCGACACATTCACGTTAATAAACAGACAATAGCGAGCAGAGAAGAAGCTAAGCGAAGTGGAGAAGTTTAGGGGTCAATTCAGTAGGATGAAGCATGACTAAATATTTATAGTGAAACAAATATTCTTGACATGTGACGAGGTGAGTGAACACATACAGTGGAATATATCAAGCACGGTTATCAGTTAACAACCGACAAGGCCGAAAGAAGTATAAATAATATTTGAACCGAATAGGTCCGACAGATTTTAATATTTTTCTTTACAATGGATCCCTTTATATCGTTTTCGCTTTGGAATGGCTCAATAGGTAGTTGAATAAGTACGTGCTCGCCTGATAAAGGGTGGAAAATTTTTCTATCATCAACACTGTTAAAAAGCTCAGATATTTCAATGTCAATTTCGTGCTTTCTTTCCTTTAAACATCTCCGATTCCTATATTCAGAATGAGCATGACAATTTGCGGAAAACATGCATATGCTATCGAGATCAGATCGAGGAAAAATAAATTATGTATCACCCATGGAATATGCTTGAATTTTTACTGATCAGTAAGCGTCATTGATCGTTAAAGCGATAAGTTAGAACATAAAACTGGTATATTTTTATCTCTGAATGGGTAGAACTGATATTCTAAAGAAAGTCGACTTTAGGAGTAGTCTGGTGTAACAGCCTAGGTGTAGAACCCATTTTGAAGGCTTTGTTTTGGGACAATCCCTCCATGTACATATTTGTAATATTTTCTTACTGACTCTGTTTAACCACATTTTGTGATGTTAATATTTGTGTTTTGTTAAAGTTTCTATGTTTGTACCGTTATTGGAATTTCTGTGTTTCTACTGAACTGTATTATGTTATTTAAAGTGATACATAATTATGGCATTAGCCATATCGGATTTGATACCCTGGTCGGTAAACATTCATCTGAACTGGAAGGGTGCAATTTTGGACCTAAACGGAAGTATTCTTCCAGAAATGGAAACACGCTGTGTCAATTTGGAGGGAGGAAAGTGTAATATTGTTAAGGTAATGATCTGTAAATTTTAATTAATAATAGAACCGTTTCTTACCCTGATAAATTGCTTTCTTTTTTGGATATCCGGGAAAGGTGCGTATCTAAACTTCTATAACTGTTCTTCCGAATTCAGAAACCACTCTAAACCTTACACTAGCCGAATACATCAGATGGGATTAAATTATTACATGGAAAGTGCGTATTTACCTCCCTAATTAATGTAGACGTTATATTTTAAATCTTCGCATGCTGAATGTTGAAATGTCAGTTTTTTTAAATATAAACTCTCCACATCTCAGTGCTGCTAAACAAGACCTACATGAAAACTGTCTATAAACATGTCCCTGGCTTTTGATATATATATATATATATATATCTGCAGGGTATAAACCAAAACCTTCAAATAATTCTAGTCACACAAGTGCCAAACAAAGACAGAGTCCCTTTTTCATTGATGAGGTCCACGTCACTACACACATTTCCATCCCTAGTGACACTGGTACTCAACACGAAAACAAGAGGAGGTGCAAATAGATGTTGAATACACGTTTTGCGGCAGATGGATTAATTGCCGTTTTATTACTACAATACAAGTATAGATCATTAGATAGCGTTAACTCACTCCTGTGCGTATTTCTGGTGTTTGCATCATATTCAAGAAAATATCTTTTTCAAGGGATCAAACCAAAGAATGGAAAATTTAAAACTTGATTTTAATTTAAGGGCATCTTTACACTACAATAATACTGGTGTGGTTAACAGTCATAAATGTGATAATGAAGGGTTTGAATCACAAGGCGGACAGATTGAAATGAACACCTTAGAATTCATCAATACAAATTAGTCACAGTCAATCAAAAGCAGGGGTGGGCAGCAATTGGTAGAGCTCACAATAGCAACGTTGTGACCATTTTTTCATAAAATGGATGGAAAAGCATGAGATATTAAATAAAACATTATAATTTAATACATTATTTCACAGTCAAAGAGTACACTACTGGAAATTAGTGATTTTGTTCAACATAAACAGTACGAACAAGTCTGACTAAGGAATCAGAACATACAGCAGAGACTGATACCTTGGCAGAAGAAACAGTAGTCTTGGTGTTAAACAGTAGTTATGATTATCAAATACACCGAGCGTGAACTAATCCATTACTGTCGCTGTTTCTCAGCTCCATCGGTCATTACACTCAGCGGTTTTCAATTCTCTTTGCTTTGTAGTCATGATTCTAAAAAATTGAGAAGATCTAATCAAAGTTTCCAATCCAAGGAAATTTTATAAATGTTCACTTAGACTGGCAGGAAAGTATCAAAGATAAGTAAGCTGACTTCGATCAGTAACTCATACTGAAAATAACCAAGAGAACTATCCAGTTTACTGAACGTGATACTTAGGTAGTACTGTTGGAACCGGTCAAAGACTGGGAGCCTAAGACGACCTCATTCATCACATAGTCTTTCACACCACAAAAGCCTATATCCAACCTTCTGATACTGTAGCCTCTATTCTTAGCGGCCTCAAGATTCTAGAAAAGATTCATTTATTGTTAGTAAATGATTATTTGCCCTCAGTCACTAATACAATTCATGAAAACTAGTGAACAAAAAGAAAGATGTCATAGACAAGAAATCGTGACGTGATATAAAGAAATGAGTGCAAAGAAATTTTTCGGTTCACGCAAACATATAACTTTGTTTCCGATATTAGATATTGAAATGTCTGCAAATTTTAAAATTCATGGGCACGCGGTTCTTCAATTGTGGACGGGTTTAGTGAGTTTACGACTTATTGATAGTTTTCAACTGTCTTACAAATCTGCACTGCTCTGTTTGAGGAGAAAACATATTGAGATTGAATTCTGTCAGCACGGGCTCCACGAAGATTAATTCAATGTGCAGGTCTATTCGTTCATTTCGGACCTCCAGTTATCGCATAACCTCAAATGCTTGTTCTTTATTCAAAATTCAGATAGAATCCCAGTCCAAAATAACAGAAATCTTCTGATCAGAATGGTTTGTACCATATTGTCCTTAAATTGACGTGGTCTCCTCTTTTTTGAGTGCTGTCTATGTGATGACATGGCTCAAAATCGTTCGCAATGGCGCCGGTGCATTTATTCTTTGTGTTCTCTCAAACCCTAATCTTCTGGATTCTTCAACACCTCTAGTTTCGACTCTCTAATCTTTTCTCACTGAATCATACTTCTTGAATAGTATCTTCCAACCCTAACCTCTCCGATTACTTCTAATTCCCTTACTACCTCTACTACTATTGGATTTGAATTGACAATTATATCTCTGTGCTGATGTGGTATGACAACATGGACTGATGTACTTACGTTCCAAGTTCTACGTTGGATCTGACTGACTGTCTATGTGATTCTCATTTCGCCGAAACACTAAGGAGACATAAACTATAATTGTATGCAGGATTACACTAAATGTACAGTAAATGCTGATGACGTAGTTATTCTTATCAATTATGTCATTCAATATTAGTTTTGTGTTGTGTCCTTATGTGTTTCTTATTCAAACAGATGAACTGATCCATAAATGACTACTACATCTGAACTCCCTAATGAATGTCAACCAATCATTAATGATGAAGATATTCTTAATGATTGTGGACCCGTGGATATCCCACCGCCACCTCCGTTGGCACAGTCTTTGGATGCTAGTGGCCCAAGATTAATGATCACTCAAATTGTTACGGAAAATTTCAAATCTTATGGTGGTATGCGTGTTATGGGACCATTCCATAAAAATTTTAGTTGTATTATCGGTATGTGAACTTTTTTCCGTGGAGTGATAATTACAATTTCAGGACCTAATGGAAGCGGTAAAAGTAATGTAATTGATTCGATGCTGTTCGTGTTTGGTTATCGGGCATCAAAAGTTCGTTCAAAGAAAATTAGTCAACTCATACATTATAGTGAACTAGTACCTAATGCTAGTAGCTGTGAAGTATCTGTGCACTTTCAAAAAATTATTGATCATGGTTCCGGTGCTTTGGACTATGAAGTAAGTGTATGCATTTACGTATGTGTCACTGCAGCTATCCGAACTGTTACTTGTTATATCATTCATCATTATTATTATTAGTATTATTTTTAAAGACTAGACTTACTATCTGGTTGCCCAAATCGGACCTTGACTGTAATGCAATACAGAATTCTACGAACTCTTTTGCTCATTGTGAAATATTTATGTAAAAGGGTGTACTTTTAATTGTATTCAGATGTCTATTTTTTTGGAGGAACTTTGGTTCTCATTTCCCAAGTATTTTTTTCAGTAACATGCTATTTTAAACTGCTCATTAGGAGTAAAAACTATGTTTATAAATACATATTCATGTATAATTTCAGTGCACACTTATTATCTTGTTTCATAAAGACAGTATTGCTTTTTATATGACAGGTTGTTCCAAATAGTCAGTTTGTTATCTCACGACGAGCATACAAAGATAATTCAAGTTGTTATTTGATTGATGGTACTCGAGCTGTTTATCGTGATGTGGCTAATCTTTTACGCTCTCATGGAGTAGATATTGATCACAATCGATTCCTCATATTGCAAGGCGAAGTAGAACAAATTGCTTTGATGAAACCTAAAGCACCAAGTGAACACGAGGATGGATTTCTTGAATACTTGGAGGTAAATTATTATATATATTTTGTTGCTTACCTGTTTACTTAACCTCACCTTCATTATAACTAAGAACGTAAGGAAACAAATCGGTAACTTTCTTCATAGACAATTAGCGAATGCACTTAAAAACTTATTTTTGCAATTGATCACCTACAAGTCCATACAAACTGGCTACTAATAACTCGCGATTTTGTGTGGTTGTTCTTTAAAGGTCATTCCTTCCGTTTGACTTGGCTGTATTTCTCTCTATTTAGTTGCGGTTCATCTTTCTACACAGGCTAATGCGTAGTGTATGATTAAACGGGATTTTTAGTAGTATAGCCTGTTTCTGTTCCACTGTAGATTTCATTTTAAAATGAACACTTTCGTTCTAGTTTCAGTCATTTTTTGAACTGCGACTCATCTAATCGTGTGACTACTACTTTCATTGTGGTCGGCATTCGATATATTCTTAGACTTCGTATGCTGCCCGTCCAGACAGTCGTTGCCCAATAACGCCTCACGGTTTTTTAAATCAAAGGATGAATACGAAGTGTTGGATACGTTTTTTTGGCGCACTGCAAATAAACCACCGAGCCACTGACACATGAAATAAATACCAATATGCAAGTGCCGAATGGCAAGAAGTGAATGGTCGAGTGAGTGATTAGGATGAGTCATCGAAATGTTTAGGAGGTTAATATTGAAGTGAATGGGATGAATATGTTGTATGTAGCCAGTAGGCAATGTTCAGCTCATACCAACCTGACAATAATAAAAGTCAATGGTACATGTAAGATATTGCTTTACGAATAACACTGTTACATAAGTTAATCAAAAGAACCTAAACCAAATTAAACATGAACAAACTCAAATGTATGCGGAGGTACTACAAGCTGCCTAATTAACATAGAATCTCGGTTCTCGTTACAATTTAATTTTTTTTCGTACCAATTCGAGATAATCCATTTCTAAGAAAAGATATAAAGGACAAAGGTGATAAGTGGACTATTTCCTTAAAACACTTCAGTCTGTACATGTCCGTTAGAAGTCAATGTTAAATGTAATTGTAAATATGAACTTGAACACGAAATGGACAAATCAGTAGAATGTACTAATTATGTCGTTAAAATGTTTTTTTTTTGGTAAGAAAAATACTCTTGTACTGTTCACTTCAAGCGCTCATTGTATTATCCACTAAACTAGTCAGTTCATAAAGCCATTATTCATTTGTTCACCAGGTAATATATCCATGAACATCTTACATACTAACGACTTAGGTTGGTCTTTTAACCTTGTATTGTGAAACGTTATCAATGAAATAGTGTTCCTCTTAAAATTTCCTTGATCAGTCGTGCACCATTATTTTAATCAGCTTCGAAATTGTTTAGATAATTTATAGAAGAAAATTAAATACTAGTCTCAATACTTTGAAGTAGTGAATTTTGTATCCTATCTATCAATAATTTATTTTATATCTTACTAAGGTTTTAAATAGCATTTAGCTTATCTAAGGTATCTAACATGATGATTAAAAATCCATCTACTATCTGTCCTGCTCCATATCTTAATTATTTGTATTCCTTCATTGTTTACCACTTTTCAAACCATATTTCTAATGTTTACTTAATTTTCATTATATCACTACAGTATAAGTATAGCACAAAAAGCGAGCTTAAAACAATCTTGACAAAACTTTAGCAAGTTCTTTACCAATCAAAATAACTTCCTTTAAATGAGAATAGTTCATCTATCAAATATAAAGTACCACCAAGTAGTTAAGGTTTGTCCCCCCTATATTAGGCGTTTAAGATTAGGATTTAAGGATAGTGTTAGCGTTAGCCTGGTTATATAATACAACATACTTTACAATTGCAAAGAACAATTTCTATTCCTCCTTCATAATTAATATTTGCATTTCATACAATTTGAAATTCATACTGTCAATTTTGATTGACACATTTCTTTTTATTGTACATTCACACTATCACTCACTATTTCCCTACTATGATGATTTAAGTTTTAAATCCATTTTTGATATTTATTTTTGTTGAGTTGGTTTAAACATGTGTTACGTATGCCCAGCCACCGACTGGCCTTGGCGAGCGATGATGCATGGCGTAAGGGTAGACTGGAAGAAAGCTAGGGGTAACCAGACCAAAACATGGCAGAAATCCATGAAGTCACTGACAAATGGACTGAGGAGATATGCTGTTAGGTGTAGAATACCTGGTTGGTGTCCGCAAGATGATAGTAACCGATCGTTAGAGACTAAACTGATGTATGTACGTACGTATGTACGAAGTTCTGCGTTGTAACTAACTGACTGATTCATTTTTGTTATTGTCATCTATTTGTATCAATGAATCCTGTATATTTAAACAACTTTATATACCAATGCGCTCATATATAACTGCATCCAGATTTGTACGATGATAATCACTGGAAAAAAAACTGTCAGTAGCTTCATGAAATATCATCTTAAGGTATTCTTGGTGTTTGCCTTCTTTTTCAGTTTAATATTCCGCTTTTATCTTTTTTTTTAAAAAAAAGAAATAATCTTTTCAAATAAAATAATTTCAATTTTTAATTATATATTATATTACACATGTAAGCTTTCAATTCGCTATAGGATATAATTGGTTCATCACGTTTCAAACATCCATTAACTATATTCTCAAATCGAATTGAAAAATTAAATGATTTACGTTTGGAAAAACTTGCACGTGTAAAAGTTGTGGAAAAAGAGAAAGATGAATTAGAAAGTGTACGTAATGAAGCAATGGATTATTTACGCTTAGTGAATCAATTAATTCTATTGAAAAATGTCCTCTATCAACAGAATTTATCAAAAGAACGTAGTCTAGCTAAAATTGCTAAAGAGAAACTAACTGATGCTCAAACTGAAACTGAAGTAAGTATTATTATTATTATTATTATTATTATTATTATTATTATTAGTAGTAGTAGTAGTAGTAGTAGTAGTAGTAGTAGTCATAATCATAAACTGATGCGGATTGTTTATCATTCTTTTTATTTTTGTGCTTTTTTTGAAATTACACTTATTGGTGCTTCAAAATCACGAGTTACGATCAATGTTAGACTGACACTGGGAAGCACTGGATGACCATTTCGTCCTGGCCTAGGATTCATCAGTGGCAATGCGCAATGGCCACCCACACTTGCAGGATTTGAGCCTTCGATCTCGCTTTTGGACGTTTAACCTCGAGCGGGAGTCGTGAAGTAGTGAAACTTCATCATTTGGTGAGGTTTGGACATGTGTTACGAATGCCCAACCGCCGACTGACTCGATGAGCGATGTTTTTTGGTTTAGGAGTAGGTTGGGAAACAGCTAGTGACGGTCAAACCAAAACATTGAAGAAATCCATGAAGTCAGTAACAGCTAGACTGAGTCATGGTGGTAGGTATAGACTACCTGATCGGTGTCCGCGAGATGATGGTAATCGATGGTTAGAGACCTTGAATGACATGGCTCAAAATCATTTGCAATGGTGCAGGCGTATCCACTCTGTATGTTCGCTCAAATCCTAATCTGTCGACTCCCTCATCATCTTTATCTTACTCTTTTTAAGTTTATTCCACTAGATTATACTTCTTGAATAATATGTTCGAACCGTAATCGCTTCGATGACTGCTAATGCTTTTACTACCTGTACTAGTATGGAATTTGAATTGACAATTGCATCTCTGTGCTGTAGTATGGCAACATGAACTGATGTACGTACGTAAGAGGTTCTACATTGTAACTGACTGACTGAAAAATTCTTGAAAGTAATGAAAATTTCCATAATGCTATCAGAAAGTGAATTTAAGATGGTGCTCAAAGTAAATTACAAAACAAATCTGCTCTCACAGCGGGTTGTTTGTTAAAGTACTTGTTATGATTTTATATGTAGTCGTATGCCTAATCGAGCTAAATAGTGTCCTCTCCCCGTAACTTATTCTAAATATCACCTTTAAGTTTCTTAAGTTTGTAAACAGTAGAATGACACAAAGCAATTGCATCATATCTTATGTCAGTTCGTGATCGATAATCCTCATCCTAATTTGTAAACGCAACTCAAAACTACAACTTAATTCCTAATACTTAATCCTAACCTTTTGGTATCACAATAAGTGTCAGTCGGTGACGAGAATCTGTCGAGTAGTTATCTTGACTTATAACATCGGTTAGGCTCCCAATATGTAAACTTAATCTCTTTGTTTTACTATAAAGAATAATTTAAAATGTTTAAGGTTAATCATTCATATCATTACTATTATCTCGTTGATATTTTATTGCTGTAATACTGTGTCAATAGTTTCAGTCACTAGGTGGCGCTTCCTGATTGGCTGGTAGATAGGTCACTCAAGGTCGTTTAGTATCAACCACTCATATTCTTTATCATTTCACTTATTTATTGTAGAACTTAGCAAATCAGATACGTGAGAAAACACGACAAATTACCCAGTTAGAATCAAATCGAGATGAACTTACCCAACGTCATACTCAATTACAAATAAGACATCGTGATGGAAAGGCGAAATTTGCTGAATTCGAAGCTCAAGATGGACAATTACGTGATGAACATACACATACCAAAGCTTCAGCTCGTCATTTAGCTAAAGCAATACAAGCAGAACGAACTAAATTAGAAGAATTAGAACGATTACCTAGTGAAGCAGATGCACGTCGTGAAGCTATTCAAAAACAATTAGCAGAATTTGAAGAAGTTAGAAAGCAACATGAAGAAGTTTATAAGGTAAATTGGTTTTATTTCTTTCATGATTAATTCTATGTATGTTGGATATAAGTATAGACAAAAAAGTGTTTTATTTCCTGGTTGTAGTTGAACACTGCTATCGTTTTTTGGTGAGGCTGAAGGATCCACCTAAGGGAGTTGGAAAATCTTATGCTCCCAACCAATAGCGCACGTGGACTCAAGGATACTGACATAACAATTGGTGTATGAACACATTGTTGATCACCGACAATAATAGAACTATATCTCCTAACGTCATTCTACTGCCTTGTTTGCTAGACTTTTGGTTCAAAGGTCTAGGAAGTGGCGCATTAACAAAACCATCCGCTTCGGTTTGGGAATGCAGACAGCGTCCCAGTGCACTCACTAATTCAACAGTTTACATGGCACATTGATATTTAGGTATTTCTTTGTACGGGTGTTTACGTTTTGAAATAAAACAAATATTTCTCCTTAACACTGATCAGTTACATACTCCTGTGCGTTAAATGTATTGCGTTTGGTGATTTGTTACTGCACAAGTATTTCCATTGTCCCAATGAATTGTCTAGTTTTTTTTTCAACCAGTAAACAGGTATTAGTTTCCTGTTCAGTTTTGTCACAACCAATGAACAGTCGTCAATTTAAAATCGAATAACTTTTGTGATTTGAAAATCTCTGTCAAACACATACACAAACACTGTTAAAATTAAAACTTGAAGTTTGTAATTAAACGAATAAGTTTTGTCTGGTAAAAAAAGCAATTTTGAGCATGTGCTTCTGAAATTGGTCGCAGTCTCTTTCAGTGTGGTGAAATATTACTGTGTACATCACGTTGGGACATGAAATAGTTCAAAGAATCGTCAGCTGTCGACTTTATTAAATCTTTTAAGAAGCTTTTTAAGCTTTATGATGAAGGATAAGTATCTGACACTGAAAATTAACTTTTTTACTCATTCATAGGAAAAATATAAGGACGTATTGGTGAGATTTTTTCTTGAATAAGGCGATCTCGATTGCTATTAAAGGTTTGAAGGGGGTTTTCATTTCTCTTCTTTTCACACTATAAAAGGATACTTCTTGAGGGACCTGGAAAAAAACCGAATGGATAGCAATCTTAGCGACCTAGAAGTGTAAACCCCAGAGGTAAAGAGGAAACTGCCTAATACTGCTCATATGTACCCTGTTTTTTAGGTATTTTAGGATTAGTTAGCTCCGTCTTCTTATGTCACACTCCTGTACAGCTAACAGTACAATTTCAATCTCGAACCTCAGGTTTCTGCTTTTAGTCTTACCCTTCTCCGACTGACATGCTTGTTATAATAGGGGGCCTAGTCATTACAGCCAATACACAGTTCCATTGGGTCATCACAATAGACCAGCTCAACCGTGATATCAAGGTGGCAGCTACGGTCGAGTAGTCAGTTAACTTTTTAAATTTACATAAATGTCAAAGATTAAGTTATAACGTAATTGTTAATTTCACATTGTTCACATTAATTTAGGAAATAGCTGATAGTTTGTCTAAAGAATCTGCTCCATTACGAATGAAAGTTGAAAAAAGTGAATCAGCTTTAGCTCCATTACAAACTGAAGCTGATCAAATCACTAGTAAATTAGCATTGGAACGTCAACAATTCGATCTGATGATGGCTGGTCAACGTAGAGAATTAGAACGTATGGAAAAAGCAAAGAAAAGTATGGAATTAGCACAAAATAAATTAAAAGAGCGGGAACAAGAACTTACGGATGCTAAAAATCAATTATCATCAACAGGAAATAATGCTAGTCAAACAGGTGGACGAAGTAAAGGCAATCTACTGGAGACTGCACTAGCCTCAGCTACACGTGATTTAGCCGAAGTGAAAGCTCATGAAGCTGATCTGACAAAAGAACTCAATAATTTGCGTAGCAAGTTAACCGAGTCGAAATCAGCTCTTCAGGTAAGAATAAAACAAAACTGAAAAAAAACAGTTTTGATTATGGTCACTCACAATTAATTGATTTGTACTTCTCTGTTTACTTTTGTTTTCATAAACTATATTGTTATTGATTTAAGATGAAAGGTAATTTGCTATGTGTAGTTGACTATACGTTGTCGATAGAATTTTTAGTTTCGAATTGAATGTTTTGATACATCGCCGAAGTGATTGAACCCCCAAACGTCCTCGTATAGTCGACAGCGAGGAAATTTCTCTCTTCCTCTCTGCTCTCGTATAGCCACGCGTTTACAACCACTTCGAGGGAAGTCTTACTCACTGCCTTCTCACCACACGAGTGTTGTTTACCAAATCAAGAGGACGGAAAGTGAAAATTTGATGCTTTAACCGAATTAACTGCTACAGAAGACCCACCTGGTGGAGTTGGAAAATCCTGATTCCAAACCGATGGTGCACAACTGGCATGTGGACCCACTGTTGGTCACCTGCTACCAAGGTACCACATCTCCTTACGTTGCTCCACTGCCTTGTGGATTAAATCTATTGGTTAAAAAGTCAGGGAATGGTTACCTAAGAAATATACCTGGTTCATTTTGGATACTCGGACAATATCCCCCAATCATCCCACACACAGACTCATTGACTTGTGCGGTAAGTAGATATTTAGGTGGTCCATTATACTAATAACTACTTGTTCAAATAAAAAATCATCAATAGAATCATATTCAAAGGACTGTAATTCTTAAATGGCCCAACTCTGTTCAAGTAATCATGTGTAATTGACAATATTTTCCCCTCCATGACTGTTTACTTGAATCGAACCAAAACAACCAAACTTGTGGTCTTCGAATCTCAGGTTCCCATCGTTAATTATTAGAAAGCTTCTTAAACTAGTTTAGTATGGCCTTATTACTTAATCATATTTAATCGTAACCTCCCAAGATCAGTTCAAGGTTCTTGGTTCTCATTGGGTCTCCATTTTGTTGATATAATATGTACTATATAATCATTCAAAAAGAAGCATACCGATTACATTACTAAATGTAACTGGGAATATCAAATTATACTCCAAATTCAACTATTTTGCAATCATACGTACTACATCAATTCAACGTACTGTACACCACATTATCATGGAGCGATGGAATTGTCAATTCAAATCCCATAGTAGTAGAGGCAGTAGAAGTATTAGCAATAATGGAAAGGATGAGGGTTCTAAGAAATGATTGAAGAAGAATAATTCAGTGAAATAAATTTTAAAAAGAGAGAAAGATAATAGCGATGAGGAATACAGAAGACTAGAATTTCACAGAACACCCACGTCATTGCAAACGATTTTGAGCCCTGTCGTTCAAGGTCTCTAACCATTGGTTACTATTGTGTCATCGTTCTCAACCGCATACTCTGCACCCACTAACATAGCTCAGTCCATTTGTCAGTGACTTCATGGATTTGTGCCATATTTTGGTTTGGCCGCCCCTAATTTTCTTCTAACCTATTCCTACATTGCAAAACATAGCTCGTCGTGGCAGTCGGTGGTTGGGCATAGGTAACACATGTCCTAACCACCTCAACTGATGGAGTTTCACTACTTCATTAATTGATCTGCCATCCGTTTCCTAACAACACCATTGCTTACTCGGTGGTCCCAGATACGTTTGTGCAACCATCATTAGAAGAGAGATAAAATTGAGAGATGACTAGGAAGCTGTAATTGCCATACTAAGTAACATGTATGTGTAAATCCATCTATCATGAATTCTATTGGTCGGTCCTGTTCTACAGTTCACATACTCTAACTTATATATTGTTTTATCTTTGCTGATAATTTCAAAATATCAATTTGTTTTATATGTTATGTTACTTTACTGTTACATGTTCATACAATTTCTCTTTTCTTTGTTAAACAGGCGGATAATTCAAGAAATCGTTTGTTAAATGCTTTACTCGAAGCCAAACGATCTGGTAAATTGACTGGAATTCTTGGTCGACTTGGTGATCTAGGTGCAATTCCATCACGTTATGATATTGCAATCTCTACAGCTTGTGGATCATTAGATCATATTGTAACCGACACTATGGATACAGCTCAGAAAGCTGTGAATTTTTTAAAACAGAATAATCTTGGACAAACTACTTTTATCGGTAATCATATTTGATTTATTTTTTACACCTTAACTGTTTGTTACAAACCGGATACCTAAATATTATTTATGCTTCATATAAGTCAGTGAACTTGTGAATAGGGTGTTATACTGCTCGGATATCCAAACTGCGAAGCAGGTTGTTTTCTTAATGGACCACCGTCCAATCCTTTGACCCAAACGTCTAATCCACAAATCGGTGGAGCAACGTAAGTAGAAGGAGATGCAGTCGTTTGGTAGCCAGTGACCCATACCAGGTTCATAGGGTAGTTTTTCTCTCAGGACAGCATGGCCATCTTTTGTTTTCATGTTCTTCTCCACAGTTATCTAACTCAAACTATCGGTTCGTGATTTCAATGAAATTCATCAATCTCCATAACACTGTATTGATAAAAATTGTAATATTAAGTTTTTCTTACGAAGAATGTTGAAAGTATGCCTCTCTGGTCAGCAACATCAGTCAGTCAGTCATAATCAATACAGGTGTACGGTAGCTGAAGTTGCCATACCACACCAGCACAATGAGATTAGAATTAATCGGATAATGAATAGCAAAGGAAATAGAATTAATGTGTTAGATGTGGAAATGAGAAAGTATTGTTCAGAAGGACACAGTAAGGGAATACTGACGCTCAAGATCTAGCGAAAGATAACGTTTTAACGCACCTGCTCCAGTGTGATTGATTCTGGGTCATGTCACCCATTTCCTACCAGTTGTTACGGTTATCATCCCTAAACCTAACCGGCTCGGCTCATGGAATGATACTACACTTTGGTTTAACCGTTCTTCGATTCCTTTCAGTCACCTCGATCAGTGGTAATGCATAACTCCGTCTGAAGTATTTATCCATATTGCTAACCTGACATAATTTGACAACCAGTCAACTCCTATAATATATTTCACTCAAACATTAGTGTTACGCCTGCACGTAAACACGTCAACTTGATATGCTTGGACTATTACGAGTTTACCTAGTCGGAAAACGAGAACGAGGATTCGGCAACACGACATGCTACTCAAATCCGATAATCGCAACCCCCATATTGATTAAAAATAAGAAGACTTGAATGTGAAGTAGGACGTGTATTCTAAAAGCATCCAGAAAGCACGAAGTCCGAATCCAGAAGAGAATCAGGATCCCGGACTAGGGATCCGGGACCGAGCCTTGGTCCTGCTCCTGGTCATAAAACGTTAGAGATAATGCGTATTTATACATTTAGGTTGAATAGGAAACAGCATCGAATTCTGTGACATTGACAGTTAAGACGACCAATAGGAAGCAACCGATAATTCTCTTAGGATATTGGATGAATATCCTAACAATCAGTCAGTCAGTGTGTCAGCTACGACGTAGAACTTTGAACGTACGTACATCAGTTCAAATTACCATACCACAGGGTAGAACATTGGAGTTGTGAGTCGAGATTCCATAGTAGTAGTAGAGGTAGTGGAAAAGGTTAGCGTTCGAAGATATGATTCAAGAACTGGAACCCAGTGAAGTAAATTTTAAAGAGAAAATAATACGGTCATGAGAAATTCAGTAGCTTAGAGTTTGAACGAAGACACATAATGGATGCTGCATCTGCACCAACTAGAGTGCATACATTCCTGAGTCTAGTCTCTCGTTTTAAGAAAACATGTCTTTTCTAAACATACTATTATTATTATTACTAATAAATATTCATAATTTAATTTTTCAAGCTTTGGATAAAATGAAGAAATGGGCTGAGAAATCGTCAACTCCATTCAATATGCCAAAAGTATCATTTCAAGTGGAACGTTTATATGATTTAATTCAAACTGTTGATCCGAATGTCAAACCAGCATTTTATTTTGCTTTAAGAGATACATTAGTGACAGAAAATTTGAATGCAGCTACAAAAGTTGCATTTGGTCAACAACAACGTTATCGTGTTGTTACACTTCAGGTGAGACATATACCTTATTCTTTTCTCATTGTTTACTCACCCGTCAAGTAGGTTCCACACTCAAGAGATTTATAGTGATTAACTGGTTGGCTTGCCGGCTGGCTCATTTACTTATGTACGCCTGTTGCCGCTAATGGAGCATAGGCCGCTGACCAGTATTCTCTAACCTACATTGTCCTGGGCCTTCCTTTCTAGTTCTGTCCAAATGTTGTTCTTTTCATTTCTCGATGTAATGCGTCTTTTGGTCTACCTCTTCTCCTTTGTCCTTGAGGATCTCAAATGTGGACTTGTCTTGTGATTCAGTTAGGTAATTTCCTCAATGTGTGTGTCTTGTCTACTTACAGCGCTTCTTTCTGATTTCTTCCTCTTCTGGGATCTGGGTTTGTTCTCTCCCACAGTAGGTTGTTGTTGATGGTGTCTGGCCAGCGAATCTGAAGTATTTCGAGTAGACAGCTGTTAATAAACACCTGCATTGTCTGGATGATGGCTTTGGTAGTTTTCCAAGTTTCCGCCCCATACCGTTTGTACTAAAAATTCTGACTTTGGTGTTTGTTGACAGTTGTTTTGAGTTCCAGATAATGTTCATTTGTGGAAATGCAGTCCTTGCTTTGCCGATCCATGCCTTTACACCTGCATCGGATCCACCTCATCAATGATGCTCCCCAGATTTGTAAATGTTTTTACGTCCTCCAAGGCATCTCCACCCAGTGTGATTTGGTTGGCGCATGTTGTGTTCTATCGGAGAATCTTGCTTTGCCCTTTTATGTATGTTGAGACCTGCTGCTGCTGATACATTCTTTGTCTTCTCTTGAATTTGTTGCTACGTGTGCGATGGAAGAGCCAGATCATCTGCGAAGTCTGGATCGTCCAGCTGCATCCCGGTTGTTCATTGTATCCCTCGCTTCTCTCCGGATATTGACGTCTTCATTAGCCAGTCCATCACCAGAAGAAAGAGAAAGGGTGAGAGTAAGCAACTTTGTGGTCGGCTGGCTTGACTAAATGGTTATCTTTGAACTAATAATTATATATTCCAAAATCCTACCGGTACTTTGCACCTGCAACGTAACTAATTTGTTGACTGCTAACTAATTTAAACGAAATCTCATATACGCTTATATATCGTTGTAGATGAGAATTTAGGTAATCAATGTACTTTTCCCAGTATTCTCTTTTATCAGAATAGTCATTTCATTAGTTATATTGATGGATAAAAGCGACTACGGTCTTAATGTGTTTTTTTAATAAAAAAACAGGAATTCAGTTTACTGTAAAGGCCAGTTGTGTAATGACTTTAACATGTATGCAGCTTCAAGCTAGTCGGTCTCTGGAATGTATCAGGCTTCATGAATATGTGAGTTGCGCTTCATGCTACCCTAAAGGCTTTAACAATTAATTAACTATAATCACGCGAACGCTAACCAAATAATGTGCACCTTCCTTTCGAGTTGAGGATTCCAATTGACGGCTTGCCTTGTGATGCATTTGGGTGATTTCTTCAATGGGTATCCTATCCACCTCTAATGTTGGTTTTTTACGGTTAGCGTTTTCCTATAGAGTTATATTTCTACGGTATCTGTAGTCACTAACCCCATGCCCAACCCTTCGGGCCTGGGACCGGGATTAACCCCATGAGGGGTTTCCAGGCGAAGTTATTACTAGTCATTACTTTAAATCATTGTACTGTAAAATACTCTTGATACGGGTTTGAGAGCGGTTTTCACTTCCCGGCTGCCCACACCGTGGAAGGTTGTTTCTTGTGGGATCTAAAAAAGAAGCTAGATTAGTGTCCGTCTTAGAAACCTGGGAGTGTAACCGCAGAGCCCAACGGACAACTGTTTAAGGCCGGTTATGCACGGCCTTTTTATGAAAGGTTTTTTGAGTGTTAGCTCCGCTCTTGAAAGCCCTTAGTGAGCATCCTTACCGACGAAGACGGAAATCCGTGAGGTAGGGTGAGGCGTGACATTTTTAGGGTCGACCTTTTTTAACCCTTCCTTCCTTCTTTGTGAGAAGGCAGCATCGCTGCAAATGCTGGTTGTCCGAGGGAAACACCTTACTGCTGTCACACCTCTCTGCAGTGTTATTATTATTATTATTATTATTATTATTATTATTATTATTAGTCTTCATAGCCGATTAACTTTCTTTTTTCTATCAATTTCCCATTTTTCTTTCTCAGGGTCAATTGATTGAAGCATCTGGTGCAATGTCCGGTGGTGGAGGTCGACCACTCTCAGGTAGAATAATGACAGATATTGTACAAGTGAAAAAATTTCATGAAACTAATTCGAATACTGAAACGAAACATCAAAAATGTTTATCAACTAATGATCCAAATGAAATCAATGATATCTCTGCATTAGAACGACAATTAACTCAAGGTGATGCTGAACTTGGTCGGTTACGTGATACACGTTCACGTTTAGAAGAAATGATTGTACGTATGACACGTCAACGTGATGAATCTGAACGTACCATTAAACGATGTGAAGTAAGTTGATCATTCGGGAATTTTTTAGTGAATTAAACTCTTTCTAAAGCATAAAAAGTAACTTATGATTCGTTAATGCTCATTTTCTTACAGAGATTATGTGTTACATATGCCTAAACACCGACTACTTCGACCATTCATGTTATCTGATGTAGAGATAGGCTAGAAGAAAGCTAAGAACAGCCAAACCAAATCGTGGCTTAAATCCATGAAGTCACTGACAACTAGATTGAGTCGTGTTGGTAGATGTAGACTAACTAGTTGGGGTGTCTATGAGACAATCGTAACCGATGGTTAGTGTTACGAATGCACGTAAACACGTCAATTGATATGCTTGAACTATTACGAGTTTACCTTCGTCGGAAAACGAGAGCAAGGATCGACGATTCGGCGACGTGACATGTTACTCTAATCCGAGTGTCCCAACCCACATTGAATAAAAGAAAACTTGATATGAAGTAGAACTTGTATTCTACAAACATCCAGAAGGTACGAGGTTTGAGTCCAGAAGAAGCTAAGGATCCGGATCATAAAACATTACAGATAATGCATATTTATACAGTTAGGTTGAATAGGAAACAACATCGAAGTCTGTGACATTGATAGTTAGAACCACCTATAGGAATTGACCAATAGAATTAGACTTACAAATAATTCTCTTAAGATATTGGATGAATATCTGAATTCCTTATCACATTTATGTTTATCTCTTTGCTACTGCCTATTTATGAATCTCATAAAATTTTTCATGAAGGAAGCATATTATGATGAGTAAAGTCTACATTGACTGATTGAATCAGTCCAATCACCTAAAAGAATTGATTTCCTTCAAACACATCTATGATAACTTTCTCATGTTTTCTCCTCTGTTAGCATTTACATATATTTTTACATATACACTTGTTGTTTTATTGGTAAAAATAATTAATAGTTTTCTGACTGAACATTCTTTCTGCACTGCTTTCAGGTTTTTGAAGTAAGCTGTTCACCCCAACATGACGACATTGTACTGTTTACTATATTGTGCTTATCTTCTATGGATAATTATTCTATTTATTCGTTTTATCCAATTGCAACACAGATCATAACAGACTTGTCTCATTACCACTAATACTTCTACTACATCTATCACTTATGGGATTTGAATTGACAATTCCATTCTCTGTGGGCTAATGTGGTCAGTCAGTAAGGCAGTCAGTTACAACGTAGAACTTCGTAGGTACATACATCAGTTCAGGTTGCCATTCCAAATTATCACAGAGTCGCAATTATCAGTGCAAATCGCATAGTGGTAGAGATGGTAGAAGTATTCGCAGTAATGGAGAAGAATAAGGAGCGAAGATATGACTCGAGAAGTATAATTTAGTGAGATACGTTTAAAAAGACAAAAGTAGGGAGGTATTGACGAATCCAAAAGATTCGGATTTGAAAGATCACAACGAATGGATGCACCTGCGCCATTGCAAACGATTTTGAGCCACGTCATCCAAGGTCTCTAACCATCGATTACTATCATCTCGCGAGCCCCAACCAAGTAGTCGACACCTACCAACATGACTCAGTCCATTTGTTAGTGACTTCATGGATTCCTGTTATGTTTTGGGTTGGCCGCTTCTAGTTTTCTTCTAACCTAATCCTACACCACAAAACATAGCTTGTCGAGGCAGTCGGTGATCGGGCATTCGTAACAGACGTCACAACCACCTCAACTGATGAAGTCTCATTACTTCATCCATTGATCTGCCTTCCTTACCTAGTGCTCGTTTCCTAACTACAGCATTGCTTACTCGGTTGTCCCACGATACACGAGTGGTATGGTGACTTAAACTGATGTGCGTACCTACAAAGTTCTACGTTGTAGCTGACTGACTGACTGATCCTACTACCGTTACTTGGTCGAAATCTATACATATATATACTTATGATGCTATAAATTGTATTCTGTTGTGTGATAAATATTACCCAACCTTTCAATTCTTTTCTTCTGTAACCAAAATAAAATAAACAATCATTTTTTCAGGCTGAATGTATTCGTTTACGTGCTGAAGTCAGCGCATTGTCGGATGAAGTGAAACAAGCTGAAGAACGTGCTAAATCCACCGGGCCATCAAATGTGGAACGTCAAAAATTTGAGAAACAATTAGAAAAACTTGAAAGTTTAGCTCAACAAAAATGTTCCATTGCAGCGAAAAAACGTGAAGAATTGGAAAATCTAAAAAATCAATTATTAAATTATGGTTCCGATCGTTTAACCGCTGTTCAACATCGTCTTGATGTTATGGAAAAGAAAACGAAAGATGTAAGTATTGTCAATTATGATGATTGTTAAATTTTCACGTTACAAATGTGTTTATAGTAGAAAAGAAAATTGACGCGCACACACAACCATCCAATTTCGAATCCCGAACCGATCATTGTTAGACCCACCAGTATTAAAAACCTGGAAGCACTAGGCGACCTTTTCGTCCTGTTATGGGGCTCATCAGCAGTCCACATCCACTATCCGTACTCTAAGGAATCGAACCCAGAACCTTCGGTCTCGTGCGCGAACGTTTAACCTCTAAACCGCCAAGCCGGGACCAAACGTTGTCCATGTCTAACTCTGATCAATCTAATGATTTTGGACAACCTCACCCATTGTCTCTAGTAGGTAACTGCCTGTACCCGACAGGGTTGAACTCCACTGGTTGCTGTTTCTCACTAGAACTCCTAGAATTCTCTCACGAAACCAGTCACTAGTGAGTACGTAGTATAATCAAGTTTGTTCTGATGATTAGTACATCCAAGAATGATAGATCGTCGTTTGATTCCTTTTCGATCGTGAGTTTTACTTTTACGTCATCAAAGACGTTGTTGATCCGATTGTAAATATTCTCCATCTCGTTCTTTTTGATGATGATGAAGAGTGTTTTGTCCGCATAATGAACCCACATTTTTAACTTGATCACTGGTAAAATCAATACTTCTAGTCTATGCAACTGGGCTTCTGTGATAAGTTCTGATATCGGTGTTCTTTTGGTTTGTTTGTAGATTTTGTGTTATTGAATTACACATATTAATTATTAAGCAAAAAAATCAATGAATTCTAGTAGACTTTTACTCTGATGTTTCATATACTTTGAGGGTGTCGTTGGTGAGGAGCGAGGATAGAGTTTCTTCCTCTAAGCTAGTTTCAATTGAGGTGAATAAGGCTCTTGCATCCAATGATATGTTGTTGTCTATTTTGAATCTCCTTTATTTTTTTCCAAGAATTGTGTGGGAGATTTAATAAAGTTTTCAGTATTCTTGAAATTCCCCTTGATAAGTAGTTGTATGTTGAAGTTTCAATGAGGGATACAATTGAACGTTACAAAATGTTGGGTTTGTTTAGTTTCAGCCTTATCGTAGAATCGTGGGATACCTAATCCATTGGATTTCATATTTTCCATTGATCTTGTTTTGATATATTGTCCTGCTTTGATAAGGTTGGTCAGTTGTTCTAATCCACTCACTACATTTTTGTCCATTGTACATTTCTTCTTTTAAGAATGTATAAGATATATGAAAGTTGAAAAGAGAGTTAACATCGGTAATCATACTTAAAACCAGTCACTTACTGTTGGAGTCGTTAGATCCCCAGAACTTACTTGTTTTAAAAGGTCCTAATTTTGGATTTTATGCTTTCGAGCATGGGCTGATCAGTTGACCTTGAGATTACGTTTCCCACCCGCTATTTTTGTGGCTATACCAAGGACGTTCCTACGATTTATAAATCAACTCGATTTGTATGCTTGTGGACCTCGATTTACTGGGTGCTTGTAGAATACATTTTCTTCGTCTTGTCAAGACTTCTTCCTCTACTTAGTGGAGCCTTGGGACGCTCGGATGAGAGTAGCCTATCGTGTCACTGGATCATTTGTCTTCGCTCTCGTTTACCGACTGAAGTGAACTCAGAATAGCATTCAAGCATATCAATTGACGAGCATATCACTTACAAAAGGCATATGTCATTCCTGCTGACTGACCTCTCACTCTCACTCTCTCGTTCGTGCGCGCTCGCTCTCTCTTCTAAATTATCAAAATCATAATCAATAAACATCATTGTAATTTTCATTTACTTACTTTCTTTTTTCCCTTTTTCAGAAAAATGATGAATTAACCAAATTAGAAGTGAGTTTAAAAACTGCTGTACGTAATCAACAAAAATCTCTCAATAAATTAAAACATATGGAATCGGAAGCGGAAGCGATTAAAACAAAATTAACTGATATTGATAATAAATTAAAAGAATTGGAAGAACATGCACGTGCTTGTATGACTGATTATCAAAAAATTCAAGATGAAGTAAGTTGATTGCGCATTGTATTGTATTGTATTGTAGTGCATTGCATTGTGTTGCATTTCAATTATAAATTATGGATAGCTGTCATTAGGAAACGGGGGCTAGGTAAGAATGGTAGATCAATAGACGAAGTAGTGAAACTTCATCAGTTGAGATGGTTGGGACATGTGTTGGGTATGCCTAACCACTGACTGCCTCCACGAGCTATGTTTTGTGGTGTAGTGGAAGGTTGGAAGAAAGTTAAGGGCGGCCAAGTCAAAGTATGTCAGAATTCCATGAAGTCACTGACAGCTGGATTGAGTCATGTTGGTAGGTATTGACCCACTGGTTTTGGCCTGCGAGATGATAATAATCGAAGGTTAGAGACTTTGAATGACGTGGTTGAAAACCGTTTGCAATGACGCAGGTGCATCCACTCCTTTTGTTCTCTCACATTCTAGCCTTCTGATTTCCTCATTATCTCTATCTTTCTCCTTCTAAACTTATCTCACTGAATTATACTTCTTGAATATTATCTTTAATCTTCTCCAGTACTGCTAATACTTCTACTATCTCTGCCACTATGGGATTTGAACTGACAGTTGCGTCCCTGTGCCAACGTGGTATGGCAACGTGAACTGATCTACGTACATTTGGAGTCCTGTGTTGTATCTGCCTGTATGGATAGATGCAGTGTTATAATTTTTTCTTTATTACAACCCAACTCCTTTATTGCTTAGTATTCTCGGACATCAATCCACTCGACAAGTCCCTATATCAGAACATGTTTGATCAGGGAATAGATTATAATTCGAATAGCAAGGTTAAATGGAAGTAAGAAGCCAAAGCAAAGGCGAATCAGGAACAACGTTAGTATCTTTATTGTTTTTGCATGGAATGTTCTCCAAGTACCGGCTAGCGGTGATTGGATAAGAGCTAGCCAGTCAGCTTGCAGCTAACGCAATCATGCTTCAATTCCATCCATGTCCCACCTTTTTTTATTTATTTCACTGAACGATACGGCTTAAATACTTCCTTCGATCCTAAATCTTCCGCATTACCGTTAATACTTCTACTACTACTATGGGATTTGAATTGTCTGTCTTCAACTCTTGGCGCAATGTGTTCCTTGGTCTACCTATTTTCCGTTGGCCTTGAGGATTCCGAGTTAGGACCTAATCTTGTGATGTAGTTGGTTGCTTTCCTCAATGTATGTCCTATCCACCTGCAACGCTTTTTTCTTTAATTTCTTCCTCATCTAGAATCTGGTTTGTTCTCTTCCACAGTAAGTTGTTGCTGAGTGTATACTCAAAAAATGCCATTGTCCATCATATTCTAATTTTCAATGGTTTCATAACTGATGTTATCTCGTAACCGATGCGTAGAGAGTATGAATGATGTGGCTCATTATCGCTGGTGCATCCATTCTATGTCTTCTCTCATGATCTCATGAGCTCAGGACTTTCTCTTATCTTTTTATTAAGTTTATTTCACCGGTTTCGAACCATAATCTTTTTCATTACCGTTAATACTTCTACTACCATCTACTACTATGGGATTTGAATTGACAATTCGATTTGTGTATGCTAATGTGATATGGCAACTTGAACTAATGTGCATAGGTACGAAGTTCTACATTATAACTGACTGACTGATGAATGTATTCGTGCGTAGGAAGGATTTGATTTTGACCAATTTAGTCTCGTGTGCTGTTACGGGTATGAGAGCGGTTGTCACTTCCCGGCTGCCCACACCATGGAAGGTTGTTTCTTGAGGGACCTGAAAATGAAGGTAGATTAGTGTTGGTCTTGGAGACCTGGGAGCGTGACCGCAGAGCACAAGGGACAACTGCTTAAGGCCGGTCACGCACGGCCTTTTTATGAAAGGTTTTTTGAGTATTAGCTCCGCTCTTGAAAGCCCTTAGTGTGCACCCTTACCGCCGGAGACGGAAGTCCGTGAGGTATGGTGAGGTGTGACATTTGTAGGGTCGACTTTTTCTAACCCTTCCTTTTGTTTTGAGACGGCAGCATCGCTGCAGATGCTGGTTGTCCGGAGAACCACCTTACTGTTGTCACACCCCTCTGCAGTCAGCAGTACGACTTGGCCCTCACACCTTGAGTAGCTGGTACATAAAATTGTTATGATTATTATTATTGTTTTAGGTTGAAGAATTACAAAAACTTAAAGAAAAATGTCACGCTGAATTGACTGAAACCGAGAAAGCTTTAGCAACCATACAAAAAGCTGAAATTGCTGCACGTCGTTTAATGAATCAATATGAAAATGATCTGTCGCAAGCTACAGCCAATACACGTCATTGGGAACGTGAACTTAGAAATCTTCGATTACATCGTATCGATGATGACGATGACGACGACGATGATGATGATGATGATAATAATCATCATCAAGAAGCAACAGAGATTGTCATGGAAGAACAAGATGTATCATCTCATCAACCAACTATTAAAAATTCACCAGTTGTAGTTCATATGAATAATGACAAATCACCAACACCAAAACGAATCAATAAAAAGTTGGCTGGTAAAACAAAAAATCTTCCTAAATACACAGATGAAGAATTGAAAGGTAAAAATAGACAAAAACAATGATTGATTTATTGATTGATTACTCATTATATTTTGTTAACAATCTTCAGGAGCGCGGACCTTCTACTATCAGGAGATTCATTGATTGACTTCGAATATGCCTATGACATAGTTCTACTAGGTGAAGACAGTGAGAAAATGCACAGTCTTCTGACTACCCTAAGCAACAATGTAAACTTGTTCGGGATGCGATTCTCCCCCGTCGAAATTCAAAATCTTGCTTCAAGTTCGGGTTACATCAGTACCTGAACTAGTGATATGGAGTGAAGTAGTCGAGCGTGTTGACCGCTTCACTTATTTTGGGAGTCTCATCAGTGCTGATGGCCTGGTAACTGACGAAATGTTAGCATGGATACAGAAGGCTCTAACCCTAATCTCTTCGATTACTGCTAATACTTTTGCTACTGTTAGATTTGAATTGACAATTACATCTCTGTGCTAATGTGGTGATGGCGACTTAAAATGATGTATGTACGCACGAGGTTCTACGTTTTTGCTGATTGATTGTTTGTTAAGATTCGTGATAGATTTCATTGGTTGGGCTCATTAATGTAACACATTTCTCTTGCATTAGAGGGATGTAGAGTGGTGGTAGGAGGCGGTCAACAGGAAACTGTACTCGACCCAAATTTCATGATATTTCACACTTGTCAACAAGATTTACATAGAGTCTTGAGGTAATTGACGTTGTTTATGAGATTTAAACCCACATCACTTAGCCTCGCGACCGGTCGCTTGTAGGACTGATATTTTTACAAATGAGACCGAAAGTCATGTTCGATTCTGGCGTGCGCAGTCGTACTGCTGATGAGTTCCATTTTAGGACAAAACGACTAGTTAGTGCTTCCAGGTTTTTAATGATTATCTAACTTTGATCAATTCATGATTACAAATAATTCAACTCAAAAACAAGTAAACCTAATCCGAACCATTGGTAATTGTCTACTCTAAGCAAATAAATCATTTTGTCAATACAAAATGGGTCAAATTCGTTCACTCTTTATAATAGTCATCTCAGTAATTTGATAGTCATCTTTATAGTTTTGTTTCATTGTAGTAGTTTGTTTTGTAGTCCATATATTCTTCGATTGCTCAAACTATGCACTTGTGGCAATTGTGTCCGCATCAGGTCGTCCTGGTTGTTTATCAATGATGCTTCTTAGGTACTTAAAGGCTTTGACCTCTTCTAGTGCTTCGGTACCGTGTCTAGCTCGATTACTGCTCATGGTTAAACAATTTTTCGAAGCTTTCATGTATACTCTGTTAAATGCCTTCCTATTATCGAAGAGTTACACCTGTCACGCCTTACGAAGCACAGCCCCGCCCACTAGCACTCCAACCAATTTTACGTTTGGCTCTCCTTTCCAGTTGTTCCCGATTTCTATTTATTCTTTCCATGTCTGCCTCCAATTTCCGGAAGAACTTTAATATATAGTGGCCTGTTCCATTCAATTGATTGTTCCACAATGATCCATAGTTTCGCGATTTCTTCGATATTCGATCGATCCTTACGTAATCCAGCCTAATAATCTCAAAGTTGGGCGTCTATTACATCTTTCATTCATTTGAACAACACTCTGTTCTCACACTTGCTGAGATCGCCTTTCTTTGGAATCTTGATGAGGTATCCTTCTTTCCAGTCTGTTAATACTTGTCCTTCCTCTCAAATCTTGGTGAAAAAAGCGTGGAGTATCTTTGCAGTTACTGCTATATCTGCTTTCAACGCCCTAGCAGGAATGTTGTCTGGTCCTGTTGCTTTACTAACCTTGATTTGTCTGATAGCCATGCTGATCTCTTCAATTATTGATTGAGATTAGTATCAATTAAGAGGTCTGTAGATGCTACTTCGTTGTTATCAAAAAGAAGCTGATGTGTAGTGATGCATTCCATTTATTCGAAACACTATCCTTCATTGAACTCCGCCTGGAGCCACTCCGGGGCTACTGCTGATCCCAAGTCCGGATAAAGGAGGAAGGTTGGGCATGCGGTTTGGAGACCCCATCCCGTCGACAACTAACTCTCTGAACAAAAAACGCAAACAAGAAAGAATAATTAAAACCATTTAAACTCTGCTCTGGTGGTTGGAAAGTCTTTATTTAGAACAGTTATGATGCCTCGTGATTAAATTCAAGTCTCTTTGGAAGTCACAAGGCTGATGCCCCTTCTGACAACCAGAGCCCTTCTACGATGTAGGCAGTCTGGAGGTAACATCCGCCATCATACTCATAAAAGCACACGAAACTGAATCGGTCACAATCAAATACAACTCCTTCATTGAAGGATCTAATTCCTATGAATCTATCGTGCAGTGTTTATTATTATTATTATTATTAGTTATTGAGTTATCTTTTTTTGTTTCCATTTAAAAATTTTCCTAGAACTGAATGCTGATTTAAATGAAATCAAACGTTTAGAAGAGAGTATCACTGCAATGGCACCTAATATGGCTGCAATAGAAGAATATCGTCGTAAAGCGGAAAATTATTTAACACGTGTTAGTGAATTAAATCATATCACTAATGTATTAAGTGAACAACGTAAACATATGGATGATGCAAAATCAAAGCGATTAAATGAATTTCTTGATGGTTTTCATACAATTACAAATAAATTAAAAGAAATGTATCAAATGATTACACAAGGTTTGTTTGTTTGTTTGTATATGTATGTGTGTGTATGCGTTTTCCTGATGTTAGTGAGCTGTTTTTCTGTTATGCCTGCACGTAAACACGTCAACTTGATATACTTGAACTATTACGAGTTTACCTAGACGGAAAACGAGAGCGAGGATCGAGGATCCGGCGACACGACATGCTACTCAAATCCGATTATCCCAACCCCCATTTTGAGTAAAATAAGACAAGACTTGATATGAAGTAGAATCTGTATTCTACATGCATCCAGAAAGTACGAGGTCTGAATCCAGAAGAGATTCACGATCCCGGACTAGGGATCCGGGACCGGGTCTTGGTTATATAGGTCATATTGGTCTTGGTCGAATAGGAAACAGCATCGAAGTGTGTGACATTGACATTTAGGACGACCAATAGGAAGCAACATTTGAAGTGACACTAATATTCAGGACAACCAATAGGAAACAACATTGTAGCACGGGACATTGATATCCAGGACGACCATAAAATTGACCAGTAGGAATGAACCAATAGGAATAGACCAATAATTCTATTAGGATATTGGATGAATATCCTAACATTTTCACCATCACAATCTACGTTAAACATACTTACTTGCCTACGTACGCCTTTTACCCCTAATAGAGAGCGTAGGACCGGAGAAATGCTTTTTACGGTTAGCGTTTATCTAGCCATTCGGATTTTATACAGGATGTGATCGCTAACCTCTATGTCTAACCTTCCTTCTTTTCCATCCAGGCTTGGTACCGGCTGGTAGATAGATGTAGACTAGGCTACGTGGTTGGGGTCCGCGAGACGAAAGTCACCAATGGTTAGAGACCTTGAACGACATGCCTCAGAATCGTTTGCAGTGGCGCAGGTGCATCCACTCTTTGCGTTCTCTCAAATTCTAACCTTTTGAATTCCTCATAATCTCTATCTTTATCCTTCTAAATTGATCTCACTGAATTATACTTCTCTATTCATATCTTCGCTTCCTAATCTTCTACATTACTGCTAGTACTTCTACTATCGCTATCACTCTGGCAGTTGCATCTCTGTGCTGATGTGGTATGGCAACCTGAACTGATGTACTTACGTACGAAGTTCTGCGTTGTATCTGTCTCTCTGTCTGTCTGGGACCGGCAGTAACTCCAGGATGACTTCAGACAGAATTATTTACGTTAGACGCCGGTAAAATAAACTAAGAAAACTAGTATGTATTTTATACTCTTAATAACATGTTCATTAGTTTTTTTTATTATAGAGTAACGTAAAGTGTGAATAAGCATTTGTCAGAAGATCCGATTGATTCGATCTTCGATGAGATTACTGAGCAGTACCATATCGAGCAGTAGTTTAGTAACTGTCGCATTCAATACTCACGCATAAAGTCTCGGGTTCAAGCCCTGCTCCATCTATTCAGGTTTGAGCACTAGCAAGCGTCATTAGTGTTTACACTTAGAGTATCTAAAATCTCGTTGGTACACTTAACACCTAGCTATTTATTTATAAGAGACTTATTGACACTATTTAAATACTTTCGTGAACTTCTTGCTAATTACTTCTAGCCACATCATATTTGAACATAGTAGTTTCACATCATATCATAAGTCATTTAGACACTAGTGTAGTTGCATTGTAGTTTAATGCGTGTTAGAGTCTTTTAACACTGAATCGATAGTACAAGCATGATAAAACATGGTGCAAATCCATGAAGTCACTGACAACTGGACTGAGCTTTGTTAGTAGGTGTAGATTACCTGGTTGAGGGTTCGCGAGACGATAGTTTACAATGGAGCAGGTCTAGATACATCCACACTTTTCTATGTTCTCTTAAATCTCTAAGCTATGTATGCAATTTTTTTTTATCAAAACCAGTCATTGTTGTGTATTTCAATTTCTTTTCTGCTTTTCTTCTCTTTTCTGTTTTTTTCATGCGTAACAACCTAACGAAACAAAGGTGGTGATGCAGAACTGGAATTAATCGATTCATTAGATCCATTCTCTGAAGGTATTGTATTCAGTGTACGTCCCCCAAAAAAATCATGGAAAAATATTGCAAATTTATCTGGTGGTGAAAAAACTTTATCTAGTTTAGCTTTAGTATTTGCATTGCATCATTATAAACCAACACCATTATATGTGATGGATGAGATTGATGCAGCGTTAGATTTTAAAAATGTTTCGATTGTGGGCAATTATTTAAAAGAACGTACAAAAAATGCCCAATTCATTGTTATATCATTAAGAAATAATATGTTTGAATTATCAGATCGTTTGATTGGAATTTATAAAACATATAATATTACCAAGACTATCACATTAGATCCATCACCATTAATGGAACATTTACGTCATTTGGTCATGCGTGTAGCTACTGCTCATGGTCATAGTGATCATCCTCATCATCAGGATGAAAGAAGAGAATTGCCGTCAGCGCCATCGTCGACGCTGTCACCACCACTGTCGTCACAACAACCACAACAACAACAACATGAAAAAAATCATGATGCTGCGATTGAAGAAATTATTCTGGTGAATGATGATGATGATGATGAAGCTGATGTTGATGCTGATATGCAAACAGTATTAACAGTCAATCATGGAAATAATTAAATGCTGAACAGAATATGTGTGTACAAAGTAAGTTTATTACTTTGTGTGTGTGTGTGTGTAATTTTTATTTACGCATGTTTATAAAGTTTTTTTGGCGAAAAAGAATAATCTGATTAACTAAATATTATTATGATATGAAAAGCCCGACCGTAGCTGCTACCTTGACGTGGTGGTCGGGCTTGCCTATCGTGATGACTCAATCGAGCTATATTGGCTGGAACATATGTTCCAGAAGGTTCTACTATGCCAGGCAGGTAGATTGGAGAACGATCAGACTAAATCCAGCTACTCAAGGTCTGAGGGCAAAGTCGTACTACTGACTGTAGAGGGGTGTAACAGCAGTAATGTGTTTCCTTCGGACAACCAGCATCTGCAGCGACGCTGCCTTCTCAAAACAAAAGGAAGGGTTAGAAAAGGTTGACCCTAAAAATGTCACACCTCACCCTACCACACGGATTTCTGTCTCCTTGGGTAAGGGTGCCCACTAAGGGCTTTCAAGAGCGGAGCTAACACTCAAAATACCTTTCATAAAAAGGCCGTGCATGACCGGCCTCAAGCAGTTGTCCCTTGGGCTCTGCGGTCACGCTCCCAGGTCTCCAAGACCAACACTAATCTACCTTCATTTTCAGGTTCCTCAAGAAAACACCCTTCCACGGTGTGAGTAGCCGGGAAGTGACAACTGCCTCATACCCGTAATAGCACACGAGACTAAATTGTTCGAAATGAAATCCTTCCCACACCCACACACCTTTCTTCTCTCCACAACTAACTCTACTTACTTTCCCTTATCATACTGCACCGCTAATGCAAACGATGCGAGTTCACGAAACGTTATTCCTGGTCTCTTGAAATCCTGCTCTGGACTACATGTTGGAGCTTTTAATGTACGGACATTGTGTCAAATAGGGCAACAGGCTTCCTTAGCTAGGACTTTAGAATCTCATGCCATCGATGTATGCTGTGTCTCGGAAACGCGCATACAGGATCCTATTAAAATTATTAATCTGACTGATATGAAAAGGTCTTTTGCTTAGAATTAATTTTGTGCATCTTAGATTCTGGTAGTCAGTCAGTTAATTAAGAGGTGTAGGAAGGATTTGATTGTAACCTATTCGGTCTCGTGTGCTGTTACGGGTATGAGGGTTGGATTTCACTTCCCGGCTGTGCCCATACTGTGAAAGGATACTTTTTGAGGAACTTGAAAAGGAAGTTCGATTAGTGCTGGTCTTAACATCCTGGGAATGTGACCGCAGAGTTCAAGGGATAACTGCTTGAGGCCGGTCACGCACGGCCATTTTATGAGAAATTTTGAAAGTGGCTTTGCGGCCGGAGACAGAAATTCCTGAGGTGTGACATTTTTATGGTCCTACTATATGGTTGTGAAACAGGGCCAGTAAGAGAAGATATTCGTAGGTTATTAGCATTCCATCATAGATGTCTTCGAAGCATTGCTCATGTATCCTGGAACAACTGAATACGCAGTGCTGTCGTTAGGAAAGGAGTACTAGGTAAAGACGGCAGGCCACTAGATGAAGTATTGAAACCTCATCAGTTGAGGTGGTAGGGACATGGGTTACTTATGCCCAACCACTGACTTCATCGATAAAGTGATGTTTTGTGATGTGCGGGTATGCTGAAAGAATGCTAGGAGCGACCAAAACAAAACGTTTTGTAAATCCATGAAATCACTGACAACTGGACTGAACCACGTTAGTAGGTTTAGACTACTTGGTTGGGGTATGCGAAACAATCGTAACCGTACTCATGGATTATGACGACTTGGGCCAACACACACACGTCATACTCCACGTTAATGTTAACTAACTACTGACGCAAACATCTAGTCGTTGTGATGTGATATGCTAACTTGAACTGATACAGATACGCGACAATTTCTACATTGCATATGTCATCCAACATTTTGAACCATTAGTACCTGTAATCACACAGACCTCCACCAATCAGTTTGCACCTACTAACACAATTCAAGCTTAATTCCAAAGTCAATCATTTCATAGACGACTAATAGAATCATGTGATCCTTATATTGTTCACCTCTCTCTCTCTTTTCAGAATCAAATTTATGCTGTTAATCATAATGACAATAGCAATAACACAAAAGTCCCCAATATGGTAATGCTAAATCATGTGTAATTCAATGTAGCAGCAAATGTCTTCATGTTTCGAATGTATTTTTTATAAAAGTAACAATAACAACAACAACAATCACACTGATAATAATAGTTGTTTGTGTGAACACTGTATATAAATTATGTTGGTTATTTTTAAAGATTTCTATTTCAGATTGTGTTCTATGTTAAGAAATTTTTATATTTTTTTATACAACTACACTTATAGAATTGTTCTTTTTTTCCCCTATTTTCGTGTGAATGTGTACATAGACGTATAGAAATAAACATATATATTTGTGTAAAAAAATATGGTCTGTTTATTGTTTGTGTTCTCGGTCTTTTTTTTAAGCCTTGGATGTCTTTCAGGACCAACTGGGAACCAGTACCAGTGTTAGGAAAAGGCTACTACGTAGGAATGGAAAATCGGTTAATGAAATAGTGAATCTTGATTCGTTGAAGTGGTAGAGAAATAAATGTGTTATGTACGCCTAACCACCGACTTCCTCGACGAGCGATGTTGTAGGCTAAAAAAAGTGCTAGGGCTGGCCAGACCAAAACATAGCACAAATCCATGAAGTCACTAACACCTAAACTATCATGTTAGTAGATATAGACAATCTGGTTGGGGTCCGCGAGACGATAGTAACCGATGGCTACAGACTTTGAATAACATAACTCAACGGTGCAGATGCATCCATTATCAGTGTTCTCTCAAATTCTGATCTTCCATCCGTCTCGCAGACTCCAACCAGGTAGTCTGTACTTATTAACATGACTCAGTCCACTTGTCAATGGCTTCATATATCGTGGTGGTTCTCTGAGCTCAGAGAACAACACAATCATCCATCTGAGCTACAAGCTTCATATATTTGTGCCACATTTTGGTTTGGTAGCCCCTAGCTTTCGTCCTACACCACAACACATAGCTCGTCGTGGCAACCCATGCCCAGCCATCCTTTATCAGGGCCTGGAACTGGCAGCAACCGCATCGGGGCTCCAGATGGAGAGTGTCCCAGTACACGATGGTTTTCAACATTAAGTTTAGTCCATGATAGTGTGAACTATAAAATTTATTCAAATTACTCTTGTATCATAACTAGTTTCCTTACGCCATATTTTTACTGTCTATTTGTTGACTTGAGTATAATCGAATGATATTACCATAAATAAAACTGGTACGTCCTATTCATTTTGTACACATTCTATCGCAACAAATCACTTTGATACAACAATATAGATCATAAACAGTGAAACATGTATCACATATCATAGATGATTTTAGTCCAGACATGCTATATTGTTGAACTGCAAGCACACAAGCAAATGAAGTAAGTATACAGCGATTGTGTGGAGCATCGAAAAGTTTGGTGATACACACTCAGTCAAATTATGTGGTCATTAAGAAATACAGAAAGACGATAGACACATGCTCAAGGTCTCACGTGAGTAATTGAAATGGTGATAGAAATATATAAGATCGTTAGAATAATATGTCTGTCCAAAACTGAGAATAAATTACGGGTGTGTGTTTGGTAATAGAAATGGATACAAGTTTAGGAGAATGTTTCGAATAGCATTGAAATGTGTACAGCATTTTACGGGTGTGTGTTTGGTAATAGAAATGGATACAAGATTGGGAGAATGTTTCGAATAGCATTGAAATGTATACAGCATTTTACTCTCGGGAAGGTAAAATACATTCTGCATCAACAGAGATCAATCATTTCGGCCTACGGCGAAAGGATGTTAGTAATATAAAAAATAGCCAGATAAGAAAGTGCCTTGGCAGAGTTTGACAATTGTTTCAGTCAATCACATAATCCTACCATGTGTGAAGTTCGTGATCAGGGATTGAACAGACATTAACTGATTGCCAGTCTATCATAGACAGTCTCCCTCAGATTGATAGCCATATTTAGTCTGTTTATGAAAAATTGTTATTTTTCATCTCATAGTACTAGAAAAGGATGGCAGATCAATAGATGAGGTATCGAAACTTCGTCAGTGAAGTCACTGACAACTGTATCGAGTCATGTTGGCAAGTGTAGACTACCTGGTCGGGATCTGCGAGACAATACTAAACACTGGTTCGAGAACCTGAACGACATGGCTCAAAATCGTTTGCAATGACACAGGTTCATCCATTCTTCATGTTCTCTCAAATTTAAATCTGAATTTTTCATTACCTTTAGCTTTCCCCTTTTAAATTTATTTCACTGGATTATACTTCGTGAATAATCTCGTAGAAACGTATCCTTCATCACCGTTAATACTTCTACTACAACTACCACTATGGAATCTGAATTGACAATTCTGTCTGTTTGTGTTAATGTGGTATGGCAACCTTGAACTAATGTACGTACTCAGGGAGCTCTACGTTGTAGCTGGTGCCGTGCAGTCCTAGTACGCTTGTATAAGGACCATGTTTGTTTTGAAATATAAATCATAGTAAAGAGCTAATTGCTACCGTTGGACATAACAGCTGAGCATGGACAAGAACTAACAAATAACAGGTCAGTAGGATCAGTCGCACGTGTAATAATTGGTCAATCGACAGAGACTCTAAACTATAACGTAAACGAGAAACCATGAAATGACATTGGTCAATGGTCTTCCACATAAAACAACACACGATAATAACCTCGAATCAAATGAAACCGACCTTTATCCAGTTATCAAACTGACTATCTCATCTCACATGTTTACAAACAAGAAAGAACTATAAAATTCTTTTAAAAAGATTTATTCACTCCAAATGTTTTTTTCTACAAAAAAATATCAAAATTATTCACAAGAATATGCACACACACAAACATTAAATAGCATCGGAAAATTTACGCTTATTTTCAAATACACATTAATTTTCTTGGTGGCAAAGCACATTTTAAACTTTCTAGCCATGTTTTTGTACCGGATAACACTGGGCATAATGCTTGGAAGACATGAACAGTCGATAGGACAAATCGACCTTCGATTGGTAAATTTGATTCTTTCAATGGCAACCGAGCAGTACGATAACCACGTGACAATGCTTGTTGATAACAATAACCTTTTAAACTGTTATGATCAATCAGTCCACCAATCACATAAATATCATTTTGAGTGAAATTCACTGATTGAATATTATTATCATTATTATCATTATTAGTAGTAGTAGTAGCAGTAGTAATGGTAGTAGTATCGACTAGATTCGATGTTGAATTGTCATTGAATTGTTCTGGTAGACAGTATTCTGATTCAGCGCATAGATAGACAATTTTGTCTGTTGGAAATATATCAGCAAAAGTATCCTACAGAAAGAAAAGATAAAATTATGAGGATTGTTGAGTTTTATTAGGATTATCAATTAATGAATGTTACAGACCATCGTGTCAGGTATGGGGGCGCAGTTAGTTACCTACGGAAGACAATAGGTGATGATCGTGGATTGGTTCCTGTTCGACATAAAACGGCGGTTGCCGGCTTCACAGTTTCTTTTAGTTGTGGAATAATATCATAAAACACTGTTATGCTTGACGATTGATGTGCTTGAACTATTACGAGTTCACCTTACTCGGTAAACGAGAACTAAGACGAGTGATTCAGTGACACGATAGGCTACTCTAATCCGAAAGTTCCAAGCCCCTACTAAGTAGAGGAAGAACTATTGACAAGACGTAGAAAGTGTATTCTACAAACACCTAGAAAATCGAGGTCCACAAGCATACAAATCGAGTTTATTTATACATCTTAGAAACGCCCTTGAGAGAGCCACAAAAATAGCGTACTAAAATAATACATCGACCAATAACAGCATAGGATTTTCCGGGTGCGAAATGCAATCTCAAGGTCAAATGGTTAGCTCATGCGCTAAGAGATTAAATCCTAAATTAGGACTTTTATCATGTGAGATCTGGGGATCTAACGTCTCCAACAAACACTTTACTATTCTCAGTATAAGGCTGTTGAGGGAGATTATTGAATCGATCAATGTTAGATCACTCGAATAGGAACCTGAAAGCACTAGACATCCGCCTCGTCCTAGTATTGGGACTCATCAGTGTTAGTGTGCATCCACGACTCCGCAAGTGATAATTAAATCCAGAACCTTTGATTTCATGTGCGAACGCTTAACCACTGAGCCGGCAGCCAACGATGTTAATGTCAAACTTTGATCAATCCTCGATTAAAGCTAAACATTACCACTCTCGGATGCCGGCTCAGTGGTGATATTTTATGTGCGAGATCGAAGATCTTGGATTAGATTGTTGCTTGTGAATGCACACTACTACTGATAAGTCCCAATACTAGGACGAGATGAGCGTCTTGTGCCTCCAGGTTTCTAATGATGGTAGTCTAACATTGATCAACTCATGATTTCAAAGTAACTCAACAATCTTCACAACCTTATAATGAATATAATCATGTGCTCATTAATGACTAGCTCTGTGAGAAGGTTTCTTCAAGTTCTAGTAAGGAGTCGTGATCGGTGGAGTTCAGTCCTGTCTATCTATTTCATTTTTCACAACCTTATTTTTATTGGGTAGCGTATATATTGATGACCACGTGTTTAAGAGTATTTTTAACTCAACAAAAACCGCTTACCTCGCATAGATTCACATCCCAACTATCACAATTACTTAATTTCAATCTGTCATACAATCGAATAGATTGACATTCCGATTTATCTGTAGATGATAAATTCTCTTCAGTAGATATATTTTTGGCATTATGAGAACCTAAACCAGTGATGTAGAGTTGAACTGGATGTTGAGCACGTCGATTAATTGAATAACAATTGGCAACCTTGAATGTTGAAATATATATAAAAAAAAAGGAAGAAGGCAGATTTAAATTGGATTGATTCATTGAACAAATTCAAAATAGAAAATCTAGCTAATATAAATGAATTTGAAATGAGTTATAGTTTGTAGATTTTGGAATTCAACTTTCAATCAATACCAAGATAAAGAGGAAGAGATAACAACCAATCAAGGTTGAGGCCAACAGGACAAGCTACGATTCGTCTGTGGAGAAATTCAAAATACCTAAGGTTTGTGCTGACGATCAGGCAGTCAGTCAGTCAGTTACAACGTACAACTTCGAACGTACGTACATCAGTTCAAGGTTGCTATACCACGAGAGCACAGAGATGCAATTGTTAATTCAAATCTCACAGTGGTAGAGATAGTAGAAGTATGAGCAGTAATGGAGAAGATTAGTGTTCGAAGATATTATTCAAGAAGTGCTGATGATATTGTTCAGGAGAACATCGAAAGCTCCATAACCAAACTGTTCAGCTCAGAAAATGGAACTCCACCATAAAACATCTACTCATATTATCTCTTTACACACACGAAATTCTTACAGACTAAAAATTAGCATTATCTCTAATCAATAAATTCCACTATCGAATAACACAATCAAACTATTTCACATTTACATGAAAGGGTTGTGGAGATTGTTGAGTCGCTTTTTGGAAATTATGAATCGATCAATGTTAGAAGACCACTATTGGAAATAAATCTGGAAGTACTGAAAGTCGGCCGTTTCGTCCCGGGTTAGAATCCTGCGAGTAGCAGGAGTCATAGAGCGCACTGACACTGATGAGTCTCATACTAGGATGAAACCGCTGTCCAGTATTTCATACTTGTCTAATTTTAGTTATAATGGAATTCTGTGAAGATATATTTTATAGGATAGAATAAGAAATAAGAAGAGTTACACTGTGTGATGTTCTGACATCGTCCACTAGGTATAGACAACCTTTAGTAATCAGTACGTAAATGAGGACAAGAAAACGAATACTCTGACACTTTATGAATTCGCTTCATTCTCAATAACTGGCCCAGAACGATGTAGCAGAACACAAGATCAATAATCACCGGTTCAAGGTGACTGTCAATACATTGCACACATTTATTTACATACATACAAAACTAGACCACACAGTTGATTTAATTAAGTAACAATGATTAACACGAAACAATAACATTAATGATAAGAAGGACAGAGGTACTGGATACACATGAACAATCAAACAGTTATAGTGTTTGAGTGTAGAAAATGCTGTAGAAACAATTTGCAGTTCATGAAAAAAGCTTGGAACTAGGGTAATACAAAAAACCAAATTACTTGATGAACTACAAACATTATATCAAGAATAAAACCTGAGGAAAATAGATCCCTTAATGGTGAAATTGTCTCCCACAAATGGGTATGAGGGTGGATGTTGCTTCCTGGCTGCCCACACCGTGTAAGGCATCAGCCTCATGACTTGCGAAGGAACTCGGCTTTCATAATGAGACGTCATAATTCTTCTAGATGAAGAAGACCTTCTAACTTCCAGAGCAGAGTTTATATGGTTTGAATTATTTTTTCTTATTAACGTTTTTTTAGCGATTTAGTTTTTTTTGCGGGACAGGGTTGCCAACCCCAATCCAAACCCTTCTCCTTTATCCGTGCTTAGGACCGGCAGTAGCCCCGAAGGATCTACAGGCGGAGTTCCCACAAATAGATGTTGAATATTCATTCTAAGGATGATGAGAAATGGAAAATTCCGTACTATTATAACTGATTTTTACCATATTGTATTCACAATTTTATTTTCAACATTTCAAAGAACTAAAGCAAACAACTGACGATTAGTTGTGATGACTAATTTCTCAATCGGCTTTTACCTTGGTCTAACATCTACATCTAGCCAGATCTACGACATTACTGATAAAATCATTTGTCTTGATTGATAACACAAAAGTGTTGAATTATTTATTTTACTGACTAGTAGTACTCTAGGAAAAAGAGCTGGAGGTGGACAGGGCACACATTACGGAAATCACCCAACTCCATTACAAGATAAACCCTCACTTGGAATACTTAAGACCAAAGAACACAATATGCCGTGAATTAGAAGCACACATGAAAACAACAAACAGTAATTGGGTGGAACTGAAAAAGGAAGGCCCAGGACAGAGTAGGTTAGAGAATGTCAATCGACGACCTATGCTCCATTGGAGGTAACAGGTGTAAGTAAGTAGGCAAGTAAGTAATGTATACATGTGATCAATATATATATATATATATATATATATATATATATATATATATATGAGTATGCATGAATGAATTTTTTTAAAAACAAACTTACTTGACTAGCTAATTTACAAATATCTTTGAATGACATTAAATGATCATAGGAACAATCAATGACAACTTTGGTTTGACATAATGATTCAGACATTTTTAAACATTTTTGAGAGGAGATTTTCTGCGATGATGATGATGATGACGATATGATTGTATCGATTGAATTCGACGATACAACACATGTATCATTAGTGACATTGTGAGGCGATGAAGATGATTGTTGGTGTTGGTGTTGCTGTTGTTGTAGTCGGCGAATTTTACGACGTTCCTTGTAGACTTTTCTAGTTTCACGTCTTGCCTATGATAATTATGAAATAATGAAAGCAATAAGAGAAGTCATTGATTTTCTAAATAAATTTAATCATATTTTATGTATATATATATATATATTTGGATATATAGATAGATAGATATACATCAATTACTTCTTTACGTTTTATATATTGTTCTAATTTACGATTGATTCGTTTCGATACACTTTCTTCATTAGTTGTTGTAAGCAGAGTTTCCTGAAAGAAAAGAGAGGGGAAAGAAATTGGAGTGGAAGGGTGAACACTAATGAATCGAAACAAATTGATAATATTGAAAGATATGTTGATGACCCGATTGAATCATATTGTTGGCTTGAAATATTCATGTTTTCCGGGTGTAATCAAGTTAGACAGCTTTAAGTGAAGAGCAATATGCTTCTGGCCTCACTAAAGCTTAAACCATCCTGTCGACTTTATAAGCGACGGGTAGGAGGTGACAGTAACAAGCTGGTTCCTATAGATAATCAATCAACAGCTACAATAACATTGTCTCCGAATGATTGAAGAAGGGAGCTGCTAGAAGACATTGACCATAGGAATAGCACAAACATATCACTTTGTTCCACAGATTTCCATCGCCAACGGTTAAGACATTGAAGGCATTATGAAAAAATTTATTCGAAAAAATAAACTATGTGCAATTGATCTCCTGTAATTTTCTCTTGAGCACTATGGTCGCACTTTTAAATTATCAGTATTAATTAAAACTTGTGTTAATTTAATTCAGTCATTAATTTATTAAGTTTGGAGAAGTGTCTTACACCAGGCCATGACAGGCAATAAATTATAATTTCTATCTATTAGGACATGAAAAGTATATCACTCTTTATTGAATGAGTTATTTTTTTTAAATAGAAAGATTTATGAAGATAAGATTGATTTGACTAGGGATTCACCTTCGTCAGTTAGTCAGCCAAATACAACTTGGTACGTTCGTGTACATCATCAGTTCAAGTTACCATACCACATTAGCACAGATAGGTGGAATTGTCAATTCAAATCCTACAGTACTAGAGGTATTAGAAGTGATATACTCGGTATGTATGTATAGGTTTACAGTTGAGTTTTGATATGCTTGCAGCTACTACCAGTTCACCTTACTCGGTAAACGGAGTGCCGATAAATGATGCAGTAACACGATGGGCTATACTAATCCGTTTGTCCTAGGTCCGGCTAACTAGATCAAAAAGCCTTGATAAGGCGTAGAGAATGTATTCCACAAGCACACAGAAAATACGAGGTTGCTAAGCATACAACTCAAGCTTATTTATACAATTGATGAAATTCCCTTGATAAGAGCCACAAAATAGCGTACTAAAATCATCCACCAACCAATGACAGTCAAGGATTTTCCGTGTGGGGAATGTAAGCTGAAGGTCAACAAAGCGTCTTATGCGTGAAAACATGGGAAATTCAAAATTTCAGAAATAAATTACAAAATCAGGGCCTTTTCCAAATGAGTTCTAGGGATCTAACGTCCCCAACAAGAAGTATGAGCCATAATGGACAAGACTAGGGTCCGAAAATATTATTCAAGAAGTATAACTCAGTGAAATAAATTTAAAAAGAGATAAGACACATTCCTGATCTCATGAGGTCATGAGAGAAGACACAAAATGGATGCACCTGCACCATTCCAGACGATTTCCAGCCATGTCAATCAAAGTCTCTAGCCATCAGCTACGCGATAACATCCATTATGAAACCACTGAAAATAAGAATGCGATGGACAATTACCTCGTTCTAGTAATTATTCAGCAACAACCTACTGTAGGAGAGAACAAACCAGATTCTGAATGACGGAAAATCAGGAAGAAGAGCTGGAGATGGATAGGACACACATTCAGGAAAGCAATCAACTGCATCACAAGGTAAGCTCTAACCTGGAATCCTTAAGGCCAAAGGAAAAGAGGTAGACCAAAAAACACATTACTCTGAGAAATGTCGATGGACATGAAAAGAATGAACAGCAATTGGGTAGAACTGGAAAGGGAGCACTGAAAGACAGCCGTTCTGTCCTGGTATGGGACTCATCAGTGGCAGTGTGCATCCACGACTCCTGCCACTCGCAGGATTCGAACCAAGGACCTTCGGTCTTGCACGCGAACGCCAAACCTCTGGACCACTGGGTCGAAATCTGACAGTGTTAATGTCTAACTCTAATCAATCTAAGGACTTTGCGCAACCTCACTCATTTGTCTTCGGTAGTTACTGCACACATCCAACAGCACTGAACTCCACTGACCACCTCTTCTCACCAGAGAACTCCGAGAAATTCCTCACAAAGCTAGTCACCAGTGAGCACATTTTCTGATTTTTGCATTATACTTTCATACAATATACAGGCAATAAAACACAGTCGAAAACAAAGGCATCCATTTCCAAAACAGAATATAACACACTATTGTAATCAACAAATATAATATACATGAATAACAAGAGAAATATTTGTTAAATTGGAGAAAATAAATGCAATTTACCGATTCCATGTTTGCAAAATATTCTGCGGGTGTTTTGGGCAAAAACGATTCTTAAAACAGAAGAGATTAGATAATCTAAAAAAAATTAAAACAAAGTTCAGAAATGAGAATCATTTTGACTGCTCCATATGAAAGTGTTAATTTTCAACTATTTAACTTTTATTCTTTTGGTACAACGACAATACTGTGCAATCAACTGAGTCTGGAGCCCCTTTAGAGGGTTACCGCCGATCCCAAACACGGATAAAAAAAGAAGGAAGGTTGAGTATGTAGGGTTAGCAACCCCAGCCCGTGGAAAGTACCTCCCTGAAAAAAACACTAACCAGGAACTGATCAGTGGCCAATGCTCCACTGGGGGGTAACAGACGTAAGTAAGCTAGTAAGTAATACTGTAACGATTGTTGATACAAGTATTTTGTCCAACCAAATACTTTTAATCGATGTTTCCACAAGAGAAAAGTTGGTTGATTTTATTACAGATACAACAAACCTAACACAGAGATGTATCCAGTGATACACTCATAAAGACCTATAACTATGGAATTTTTGGATGATGTACAGAGTAGAGACATGATCAATACCATTTCAATAGTTCAAAGATAACGTACACTAATGCGAAAAAATCAAAGTAGAGAGTGTTTTAACAAAAACACGAGATAGTGCCAAGTTTTGTACTCCAATGCTCTGACACCAACTTATTAATCGGCTTCGTAGAAGTCTCCAGTTCATTTCTGTTACTGAATCCCAAGTTAAAAACAACAGGCCGAAAATAAGGGGAGAGTTTTAACAATGGAACTATAGGGAGATCCTGAATAAAAATAACCTTCCTTTAATCTCATCCACTTATTATGCAGTTCAAAATAGGGTTAGGATCATTGTTAGGTTTCAGGGTCAGGATAAGAAATTAAGGTTAGAATTTTCATCACGAATCGCTATCAGCCATAATATGTTGTGTAGCCAGCCCCATATGAATGAATGAATTCCACAAGTTATACCTGAAATCTAATTGCTTCGTCTCCATACTTCAGTGTATACTGTTTTAAATTCAAAGGTTAGTTTTTTATACAGAAAATAACAGTGTTAATAGTACTGTGTAGACGCTTTTAAAAAGCACACTAAGTGTTCATAAAATCAGCGAACTGATTGGGAGAAAAAAAACATATTTAGTAAGTCCTGGTTTCTAAAAAAAATTTGTTCCAAGGAATTATTATTATCATTTTAAGATGATTAACTGTACGAGGTTAAGCGTTTGCCTGCAAGACACGAGGTCCCGGGTTCAAATCCTGGAGTCGTAGATACGCACTCCCACTGATGAGTCCCACGCCAGGACAAAACGGCCGTTATTCAGTGGATCCCAGGTTCCTAATGGTGGTTTAACATTGATCGACTCATGATTTCAATTAAAATACTAACACGTAAACAAAAGTAGACTACATATATACACACACAGACAAAGACAGAAAGAGAGAACATGATCATTCAAGGAAATGAAACACATAAAAAAAATGTACAACATTTTATTTATACATAACATTCCTTTATACTCCAAAAGTACAAATGATCTATCAAAAATGACTGGTAATTACAATTTATACAACTGTATACATGTATACATATATACAGATACGTATATGAACTCAAAGATCATGAAGTTCTACATTTTTTTCGTATTTTAAATGTAAAAATCTCTTGTTTCTCGGTGTTGCTACTTTCACTGTTATTACAATTCACAACAATGGAAGCTGTTCTATCTGATTTGCGGGATGAATTATCATGTGCCGTTGATGTAGTTACAGTTGGTACAGTGTTATTATTATCATTATTATTAGTAGTCAATAAATTTTTCGGTGTAGATTTTACAAATAAAGCAACAAAAAAACCATTTGTTAATTGTTTTTCCGATGATCGAATACATGATTCACATTGATAATTGGCATCGGCTAAACCACGATGTTTCCAAACTGGTGTTGTTCGTTTAGCGTTAGCATCATCATCATCATGATCGGTGGAATTAGGCCAAATTGTGTCTAAATAAAATTTCTCATGAATATGATTAGCAATTTCACATACAACTGCTTCATTTTCCTTAAATAAAAAAAATTAATAAATAAATAATAATAATAACCCACAAAAAACGCAGAAAATCAATAAATCATCATTATGTAAGGAATGAGGTATATTGAACTAAGAGTAATATGTCATTATATTTCTATTTTTAAACAAACAATTAAGGTTGGTGGCAAGCAATGAAATCTAGGATAAATATCTTATCCTATTCAATATTCATTGTCAGTTATGTGTACTTATAGCTTAGTGTTGATGCCTAACGTTGGGACTCTAACCAAGTAGATTTATGAACTAAGTCAGTCAGTAAGTCATTTGTAACGTAGAACTTCGTACGTACGTAATACATCAGTTCAATTGGCCGTACCATATTAACATACAGAGATGGAACTGTCAGTTCGAATCTCATACTAGTAGAGATATTAAAAGTATTAGAGAAGACTAGGCTTCCAAGATATTATTCGAGAAGCATATCACGGTGAAATGAATTTACAAAGCGAAAGAGAGTTCATGAGAAATTCATAAGATTAGAATTTGGGAGAAGACAAACAATATATGCACCTACGCCAATATGCAAACGATTTTCAAACATGTCATACAAAGTCTCTAACCATCGATTACTATTGTATCGCGGACCGTAACCAGGTAGTCTACACCCACTAACATGGCTCGATCCACTTATCCATGACTTCATGGATTTCTGTCAGGTTTTGTTTTAAATGCCACTAACTTTCTCCCAGCCTATCTCTACATCACAAGACATAACTAGTCAAGGTAGTCAGTGGTTGGGCATACGTAACACATGTCCCAACCACTTTTGAAGTACATTCAGCCGACGAGTTGCAACTTGGACAGATCGCATGCTTGCTGTTAATCACAAGACAATTTTACTAAAAAAGTTAGTGTTACGCCTGCACATAAGCACGTCAACTTGATATGCTTGAACTATTACGAGTTTACCTAGTCAGAAAACGAGAGCGAGGATTGAGGATCCGGTTACGCTGCATACTACTCAAATCCAATTATCCCAATCCCCATATTTAGTAAAAATAAGAAGACTTGATATGAAGTAGAACATGTATTCTACAAACATCCAGAAAGTACGAGGTTCGAATCCAGAAGAGAATCAGGATCCCGGACTAGGGATCCGAGACCGAGCCCTGGTCCTGGTCGTGGTCATAAAACGTTACAGATAATGCGTATTTATACATTTTGGTCGAATAGGAAACAGCATCGAAGTATGTGACATTGACAGTTAAGACGACCAATAGGAAGCAACATTTGAAGTGACATTGATAGTCAGGACAACCAATATAAACAAAATTGGAGCATGTGATAGTGATATCTAGGACGATCATAAAATTGACCAGTAGGAATGAACCAATAGGAATTGATCAATACTTCTCTTAGGATATTGGATGAATATCCTAACAGTTAGTCAAAGGTAAACAATCCGCGCATATTTTGATAGACACTGATTAAATATAATCTATAATAATAATATTATCAATAATGGGTTCATTCCAAGCTTGATGTTTATGTATGAAAACTAGATCCGTCTAATTTTCATTATGTGACAAAAAATTTGAGGGCAGCATTTTTACAATTGAACAATATCTACAACTCAAAATAATTATCAACCAACACCATAGTCCAGATTTTCAATACAAACATCAAAACCGACCTATTGTATGGAGCGGAAAGTCAGAAAACTACCAAATCCATCACACAGAAGATACTAGTGGTTACTAACAATTAACTACGCACACAAACACCATCGACAACAACCCACTGTGGGGAAGAACAAGCCAGATTCAAGATAACAAAGAAATTGAGAAAGAGTGTTGGAGGTGGATAGGACACACGTTGAGGAAATCACACAACTGCATCGCAAGACAAGTCTTCACTTGAAATCTTCAAAGTCAGAGGAAAAAGGAGGGGCCAAAGAACACATTACGTCGAGAGTTGAAGACAAACATTAAAAGAATGAACAGTCATTCGGTAGTACGGGAAAAGAAGGCTCAGGACAGAGCTGGTTGGAGAATGCTGGTCGGCGGCCTATATACTTCATTACAGATAACAGTAAGACAAAAATTTGATCTATGGTTTTTAACACCTAAAACTATACACAAGTTGTGTAGGTCATGCATATTTATTTACACAATATGATAACAATGACAATGAAAATAAAATAACATTTAAATTAAATTATTACTTCAGGATGTATTGAACAAGTGGAATAAACAACACGTTGAACATTTGGAAATTTCAATGCATGTTTTAATAACATCACTTGAAAATTGGACAATCGTTTTAAACGTGCTGCATACTCTTCATTATAATTATAATAATATTGATCTGGATGAGAATCACCATTTTTGTTCAATGTGAATTTTTCCACTGATTCACCATCTGGTTGACGAATCGACAAACCGGAACCACTACATGAAGGATCAATAAGAATCGATTGGACATTGGAAAATTTCGGATCATATGGATCGACAGATAAGAAATCGGCACAATACGCTTCAACAAATGGCTGTGAACATTGAATTGATTTTCGGCGTTTATGATTTTGTTTAGTTGAATTACTATTAGACCAACTATCCATTATGGCAAGACGTTCTACTCCGTTGGCGATGAGATTTTCAGTAAGCTGTCGAAATCTAAAGAAACATTTAGAACATGTAATCTTATACCGAGACTTGTTTGTTGTCTTGTTTTAATTAAGTTTAGAAAATGGTTAACAGACAAACAAAAAATACAAATTCAATGACAGGTCAACATGTAGATTGTGGTGGATGTCCCGACCGTAGCTGCTACCTTGACATGGTGGTCGAGCTTGCCTATCGTGATCATCCAGCTGAGCTATATTGCTTGGAACATATCTTCCTGAAGGTTCTACCATGCCAGGCAGGTCGATTGAAGAACGATGAGACTAAAAGCAGCTACTCAAAGTCTGACGGCGAAGTCGTACTGCTGACTGTAGAGGGGTGTGACAGCAGTAAGGTGTTTCCCTCGGACAACCAGCATTTGCAGCGATGCTGCCATCTCACAAGGAAGGGAGGCGTTAGAAAAGGTCGACCCTAAAAATGTCACACCTCACCCTACCTCACGGATTTCTGTCTCCGGTGGTAACGGTGCACACTAAGGGCTTTCAAGAGCGGAGCTAATACTCAAAAAACCTTTCATAAAAAGGCCGTGCATGACCGACCTCAAGCAGTTTTCCCTTGGACTCTGAGGTCACGCTCCAAGGTCGTTAAGATCAACACTAATCTATCTTCCTTTTCAGCTCCCTCATGAAACACCCTTCCACGGTGTGGGCAGCCAGGAAATGACAACCAACCTCATATCCGTAACAGCACTGGCTGACTGACTGTGGTGGATGTGGCTGCGTTAAATTCTACGTCGAGGCTCACCACAATTGATGGCTGAGTTGAATTTTAGGTAGGGCTCACTAATTTAACGGCCCGCGATGATTCATTTACTTATGACGTTCGAATACGCTTTGAAATAAATCTCTCCTTCAGTTTCCGTGTATATCATACTTAGGTGAAACCCGTTTGCGCAACCGAGGTAATAAGAAGCCAAATACGGACCCAGTTGGATGAATTTATTTCAAGCAATCGTTCATGCAGACAGACATGAGAATGAAAAGCACACAAGCAGAGTAAAACGAAGTGAAGAAGGCGAGTGAGCAAACTCAATGCGATGAAGCAAGACTAATCATTTGTAGTCAGACAAAAAGTGCCAAACATGCGATAAGCGGAGTAAGCAGTGGCACAAACATACTCGAATAAAAACGACCAAGATTTGAGCGAATGATTGACAAGGTCAAAAGGCGGATGAATAATAAATCGAGAAGAATGGATTAGTTACATTGTTTAAAGACTGAGACATGCTCTGTGGACTCGGCATAAAAGTACACGCACCACAAGATCCAGCCAAAAACAAAATTGAATGATCGAATCAATCTTTAAAAAAAACTATACGTCTCAATTTATCAGGATAAAATGCTAACTGACAGCTACTTCATCCTGTAACCAATGCACAAATCTTTGGGAGAACAGTTGTGAAAAATATATGTTGGAATCACTGAAGCCCAATAAAATCCATATGCATGAGGATAGTACCTCAGATTATAGTGTTATACAACAAAGTAGATAGAAAATAAAGTAGCTACTTTTTAAGACCATGAATCGATCCATGTTGGGCTACCATTAGAAACCTGGAACCACTGGGCAGCCGTTTCGTCCTGGTTTGGAACTCATCAGCGGTGCGCAGCCACGACTACCACTACTCGCAGGATTCGAAACCAGGACCTTCGGGCTTGCGCGTGAATGCTTAACGTCTAGACCACTGAGCACCAAATCCTTAGATTAATCACAGTTACAAATTGACGACGTTGGATGCCGGCTCAGTGATCCGGAGGTTAAGTGTTCGCGCGCAATACAATGTTCAATATTTATTCATGTAGAATAAACAAAACAACACAGAGAGAGACAGACAGACAGACAGAGAGCTAACCTGTTTGGATCACGATCGAATGCAAAAACAGTGGATTTATTGGACAACATTGAAATTAATTGTAATGTTTTATTTCCTGGAGCAGCGCATGCATCTAAAACATCAGAGTTGGGATCAGGTTGAAGAATTTCCGGACTGAAACAACTAGCCTTTAATATAAAAAAATAAAAAAGACCAGTCAGAAAAAAAAACAATACACTGAAAAAGATAATTGAATGAAGAGAAACACACAATTGCTATGCTTGCATAGAAAATCGATACGATGATCAACCAAGTTGATATTCGTTGTACATCATTATCATATTCAGTCAATCAGTTAACTAGTTACAACATAGAACTTCACACGTATGTTACCACACCAAATTAGCATAGAGATGCGATTGTCAATTCAAATCCTATAGTGGTAGAAGAAGGAAGGTAGTAGAAGGATTAGCAATCATGGAAAAGATGAGGGTTCTAAGAAATTATTCAAGAAATATGATCGAGTAAAATAAATTTCAAGAAAAATGAAGGTCATGATCAGAAGATTAAAATTTGAGAGAAGACAAACAACAGATGCATCTAGAAAGTTGCAAACGATTTTCAGACATGTCATTTAGTCTCTAACCACCATCAGTTACTATTGTCACGCGAAGCTCAACAAGCTAGTTTAACACCTACTAACATGGATCAGTGTCCAGTTGCGCCATATTTTGGTTTGGCCACTCCTACCTTTCTTCCAGACTACCCCTACATCACAAAACATCGATAGTCGGGGCAGTCTGTGGTTAGGCATACTACATACGTCCTATGGTTAGCAAACGGATATCTCGCCTTGGTCATAAGTGATGCAAGTTGGCAAAAGCCAGTCGATCCTTCTAAAATCTGTGCAGAGATTTCGTTACAAACACACACAAAGTAACTTACAAATCATTGAAAATGATGAATTAAACAATTATAGGCATGAAATAAAAAACCGGACCGTATTGACAAAACTTTACCTTATCTTGAATAAGTAGACATTTAGATTTGTACAATTCCAAATCATGTAAAGCAGTACCAGATGGAAAAACTAATAACATATGTGGAAGATGATAATCTAGCATGAATTGACCATGATTAAGTTTACGGACTTTTTTACGAAATCTATAAAAAGGAAAGTAATGAAATATAACAACAATTGATTCAATATTCACAAAGTGAGAATATTTTCTTCAATACTAATCATTATAACATTTGTGCATGAGCTGAGATATTGGTTGAAGTAACCAAACTGAAGCAAAAATGGTTTCCTTAGAGGAAGCCATTCTCCCAGCTTTTGACCAAAAGATTTGATTTACAAAATTAGGACCTTTCCCATGTGAGTTCTGCGAATCTAACGTCCCCAAAGTTTCCACGCTGTATTCATCCTCGATGGTCAGATGGGTACTGCGTTTAAGCGAATACATTTATTGTAATATTTTACATCAATTTTATCTGTCTGTCTGTTTGTCAATACGTCGACAGATCTATCAAAAACGATTATCGGCGATTAAAATAATAAACTTAAGACCTATTACTTCAGGTCTTCTTATTAAACAGTAAAAACATGAGGACCTAATAGTATCAAGTTCGAAAATTATATGAACCTTTCAACCTTAGTGAGGCACAACCAGGTAGCTTCATAAAGTCAGAATATTACGTCTTAGGCATCAACAATCATGTCATCAACTGTAGGACGACTGACCTTTACATTTAAAAAATGAAATGAACAATTTTCGCTTGTTTTATGAATCACATACAAAACCGATTGAGAATAATGACTTTTATCTACAAATAAAATAGCCACAGAAGTGTTAGACCACACAACTAAGTAACGATAATCACAGACAACTGTAGTGGGCCACATTAGTAGGTTCAGACTGTCTACCTGGTTGGGAGTCCGTGAGACAAGCATAATCGATGATTAGAGACTCTGAATGATAAGACTCAAAATCTAATTGGGATGACCCATATGAATTTATTTTTTTTTATCTTCTCTTAATCTTTTGAATTCCTCCTTAAATTTATTTCACTGGATTTCATACTCCTTGAATAATATCTTCGAATCCGAGTCTTTCCGATTACTGCCTATACTTTTACTGCCTCTACCATTATGGGATTTGAATTGACAATTCGATCTCTCTGTATGCTGATGTGGTATGACAACTTGAAATGATGTACATACGTACCAAGTTCTACATTGCGGTTAGGATTCCTGGCTTTCACCCAGGCGGCCCGGGTTCGACTCTCGGAGCGGGAGCGCCTAACTCCGACTCTCGACCCTTCGGGCCTACTGCCGGTCCCAAGCCCGGGTAAAGGAGGAGGGTTGAGATGTAGGTTGGAGACCACATCCCAGGAAAAAACTTACTTGCCAAAAAAACACTAACGTTGCAACTGACTGACTAACTGAATCACCTCAGAGGAAAAAAACAAAATCCCTAAATTGATCATTTACATTGCTCATCAACAGTTTAAAAGAGAACAAAAAATGCTTACTTTCTAAAAGAAATTTCTGATCGATTATAAGTTACATGTTCAAATTCACATGTTTCAAGTTTCGCAATCACATCAATCAGTGTGGTTTTCAAGAAATTGACACGAGCATAACATGGAAGTAGTCCTGGAACTACAAATATATTGAATATAATATAGGTTTATCATAATTGATTTTACCTAATTTAACATAAACAAATCAAAATTTGGAACATATGATCATATATATGATCAACAATAAACTAACAGCATACGAACATTCTGAAGATTTCTGTTTCTAAATTATTGAGTAGTAAGTAAAAAAAGTCGGTGGAGCAGTGATTTAGCAGTTAAGGTATTCAACTTTTAGCCAGCAAGTTTCAAGTTTGAGCTCCACTTCACTTACTTTGGTTTGAGCAGTGGAGTAGTGGAGTTCAATCTATACCAGCCAAATTCAGAATATGATGAGTGATTTGATCAAGTCATCAGTCAGTCAGTTACAATGAACAACTTCGTACATGCGTACATAAGTTCAGGTTGCTATACCGCATCAACACAGAGAGGCAACTGTCAGTTCAAATTCAATAGTGGTAGAGATAGTAGAAGTATTAGCAGTAATGGAGAAGATCAGGGTTCGATGATATGATTCAAGAAACATAATTCAGTGAGATGAATTTAGAAAGAGAAAAAGAGAGGTGATAAGCAATTCAGAAGATCAGCATTACAGGGAACACAAAGAGTGGATGCACCTGAGCCATCGCAAACGATTTTCAGCCATGTCGATCAAGGTCTCTAACCATTGGTGACTTTCGTCTCATGGACCCCAACCAGATAGCCTACATGTACCTACATGATTCAATCCAGTTGTCAGTGACTTGATGGATTTGTGCCATGTTTTGGTTTGGCCGTTCCTAGATTTCTTCCAAAACAGCTAATCTACGCAGTCAGTGGTTGGGCATCATTAACACATGTCCCAACCACCTCAACTGATGAAGCTTCAGCACTTCATCAATTGATCTGCCATCCTTACCTAGTACCCGTTTCCTAACAACAGCATTGCTTACTCGGTTTTCCCAAGATAAACGAGCAATGCTTCGGAGACACCAAATGTCAAAAAACAGTAACCTACGATTATCTCCTACTCTCACTGACCATGTTTGACAGCCATAAAGTAGGACGGAGCGAACTGCAGCACATTAGACTAGCTAGCGAAAGGATATCTCTCCTACGCTACAAGAGACGCAAGTTGGCAAAAGCTAATCAAGCCTTCTGTCGCCGTGCTAAGATTTCGAATGACATTGATTAGAATGACAATTGCATGAATCATAAATAATAACAAACCTTTAGTTTCTTTACGATTTTCAGTTGATGATTTGACCGGTTTATCATTTAATAATTTATAGGCATGACGAAGTTTTTTTGCAGCTACAGCATCTTTGGTTAATTCATGAATTTGTGAGAGAAGAAAAATGTGCGATGTTTTCTTTCCTTTGAGAAGATCATGAATTAATACAAGTAGATGACAATGAGAACAAGAATTTACATCATCATTATCATTACTGTTCTTATTTGATTGTTTTTTTGAAGACAGATGTTTAATTTTGATTGTTGGTTGAAGATTGGCTTTTTTCACGGTTTGCAACAATATTTCATAGGAACTAAGAGTTTTTGATGCTAATGCATAGATTTTACGTAGATCCTATAAATGTACACACCGACACACATACAAGTGACTGAGTAATATACGAATAAAAAATAAGAAATCAATTTGTGATAACTCCATGGAAGATGTTTGATAGTAAACTCAGTAATGAGACAGACAGATACAACGCAGAACATCGTACGTAAGTACATCAGTTCAGGTTGTCATACCAGATCAGCACAGAGACGCAACTGTCAGTTCAAATCCAACAGTGATAGTGATAGTAGAAGTATTAGCATTAATGGAGAAGATTAGGGAGCGAAGATATGATTCGAGAAGTATAATTCAGTGAGGTACATTTATAAGGAGAAAGACAGATTATGAGGAATTCAGAAGGTAAGAATTTGAGAGAACACAAAGAGTGGATGCACCTGAGCCATGTCACTCAAGGTCTCTAACCATCGGAGACTATCGTCTCGCGGACCCCAACCAGGTAGCCTACATCTACCAACATGACTCAGTCCACTTGTCAGTGACTTCATGCATTTGTGCCATGTTTTGATCTGGCCGCCCCTAGTTTTCTTCCAACCTATTTCTACACTACAAAACAAAGCTCGTCGAGGCAGTCGGTGGTTAGGCATACGTAACACATGTCCCAACCACCTCAACTGATGAAGTTTCACCACTTCATCTATTGATCTGCCATCCCTACCTAGAACTCGTTTCCTAACGACAGCACTGCTTATACGGTTGTTCCAGGATGCACGAGCAATGCTTCGGAGACAACGATGATCGTAGACTAGTAACCTACGAAAGTCCTCAACTCTCACTGGCCATGTTTCACAGCCATAAAGTGGGAAAGAGCGAACTACTGCACAGTACACTCGTCCTTTAGTCAGCAAACGGATATCTCGCCTGCGCCATAAGTGACGCAACTTGGCAAAAGCCAATCGAGCTTTCTGTATCCGAGCTGAGATTTCGTCAGTCACCAGGCCATCCGCACTGATGAGACTCCCAAGATAAGTGAAGCGGTCTACACGCTCGACTACTTCACTCCCTATCACTAGTTCAGGTGCCGATGCAACCCAGTCTTGAAGCAACATTTTGCATTTCGAGGGTGAGAACCGCATCCCGAACATGCTTGCATTGTTGCTTATGGTAGTCAGAAGACTGAATTTTGTCAGCGTCTTCACCGAATAGAACTATGTCATCGGCATATTCTAGGTCAATAAGCGATTTTCCTGGTAGAAAGTCGACTCCTGAAAAGTCGAACGAAGATAATGTTACATCTAGCAGCATGTCTATGACAAAATTAAACAAGAATGGGGAAAGTGGACAGCCCTGACGAACACCACTTGAAGAGAAGAATTCCGATGACGGTTCACTATAGGCTCTCACTCGACCAGTGGTGTTTGAGTAGAGAGCTTGTATAAGGTTGATGTACTTCTTTGGTGCACCTTTCAATGACAGACACTGCCACAGAACCTCACGATCCACTGAGTCGAATGCCGCCTTAAGGTCCAGGAAAACAACTATTGTAGGACGCCTAAATGTCTGTCTGTGTTCCAGGATCTGTCGTAGTGTGAAAATGTGGTCTATACAACCACCTCCAGGTCGAAAACCAGCCTGGTTTTCTCTAGCCTGCTCTTCACGAGCTTTCGTTAAGCGTCAAAGTATTATTGAGGCCAATATTTTAGTTACTATATTAGTTAGAATTATTCCCCTGTGATTGTCACAAGAAGACTTTTGTCCTTTCTTATAGATTGTGACAATCAGGGATTGCGACCAGTCGAATGAACGATTAGTTAAATACACTACAGCATGTATGTAGCAACATTCATGTTCAAGCAAAGGATCCTAACCTTCTAGATGCTGTGATACCTGCACAATATCAGTCAGTCACTTAGCTACAACGTAGAACTTCGTACGTAAGTTCATCAGTTCAGATTGACATACCACATTGGCACAGAAACACAAATGTCAGTTCAAATCCCATAGTGGCAGAGATAGTGAAGGATGATTGATATTATCATGTACAGAAGACGATATAACAATACGTATTGTCAATGTACATAATTAATGCCGATTGTACTACTTGCTTTCATTTGACAAATCGAATAGCATCCGTAGCCTTAACATGCAAGCAGTGCAGATCAAGTTTGAGTATAGATATCAGTGCTTAATAAATGAGTTTCATATTAACTGAGAATTACAATCATCCACAACTCCGCCTTGAGCCTCTCTAGGGCTGCTGCCAGTCTGAATCCCGGATAAAGGTTAGCGAATGTAGTTGACGTAGAAAACTAGCTCGCAAAAAAAACGCTAGCAATCGTCCCTGATTGAATGGGATTAACTGCAAAATGTGCTAAGTTCAGAAGCAAAAGGTAATTGAAAATTATAATTTAGGTGTCTACCATTAGGTCGTAGATCTAAAGGGGTTATTGGTGTCGTTAAAATAACATTTACAAAGATTGAAAAGCATGTTACTCAATCAGGTCGAGATAAAGCATTAAAACTTTCATAAAACCAACAACAAAATATACTTTTCATAAATTCTAATTCAAGCAACGATATATTTTTTCAACAAAAAATTACTAAGATTAGATTGATTTGGCATTTTTTTTCTCTCTTGCCTATAAAATAAGCGGAAACTTCGTATGCGAATCACGAAGAACGTCTGCTTAATTTAATATCTTCAACAATGTGAGATTTACTGAATGAGCCGTCACTACACCTTCTCGGACAAAACAATAAAAGTATATTGTGAAAAGAAATTCTCTTCGCTATCTCTCTTCCTCTAAATCAATGCATTGTTATGGTCATATTCTCTCTTTTGAAGTCAGTCAGTCAGGAAGGAAGGAAGGATTTGATTTTGACCAATTTGGTCTGGCGTGCTGTTACGGGTATGAGGGCGGTTGTCACTTCCCGGCTGCCCACACCGTGGAAGGTTGTTTCTTGAGGAACCTGAAAAGGAAAGTAGATTAGTGTTGGTCTTAAAGACCTGGGTGCGTGACCACAGAGTCCAAGGGATAACTGCTTGAGGCCGGTCACGCACGGCCTTTTTATGAAACATTTTTTGAAGATTAGCTCCGTTCTTAAAGGCTCTTAGTGGAGACCCTTACCCAAGGAGACGGAATTTCGTGAGGTAGAGTGAGGTGTGACATTTTTAGGGTCGACCTTTTCTAACCCTTCCTTCCTTGTGAGAAGGCAGCATCGCTGCAGATGCTGGTTGTCTGAGGGAAACACCTTACTGCTGTCACACCCCTCGGCAGTCAGCAGTACGACTTCGCCCTCAGACCTTGGGTAGCTGCTTTTAGTCTCATCGTTCTCCAATCGACCAGCCTGGCATGGTAGGACCTGCAGGAACATATGTTCCAGCCGGTATAGCTCGGTTGGACCATCACGATACGCAAGCCCGACCACCACGTCAAAGTAGCAGCTACGGTCGGGGTCTCTTTTGAAGATCCCAAATGACATGAGATTCTTGTGAAAGTGATTATCACTAAGCGTCTTTTTAAGTGCGATACTTTCAAAAAAAGACAGAATTGCTGAGTGCACCCGAAATGTCCCCAGAGATAGTCACAGTAAAACAGAGGTAAAAGTATTTTAAATTCGTGAAAAACGTAAAAATATGAAACTATAGGCTGCTCAATGACTTACGCTTGTAAAATTGTGAGTATACAGACCAGTTTTTAATCGACAAACTTGCCCTTTCACTAAGCAAACTAAGTAAGCAGCTTCTTTGTAAAGAATACTAAGTTTGTCATTCATAGCACGAATTGGAATGAATTGAACTGAAGGTTGGTCAGACGTAAATAAAAAAAGGCAGCCAAATAGTTCATTATTTTAACAACAAAATATTAGAGACAAATTATTGAGCAAACCACAAAACAAGCAGTAAATTAGAAGTCAAATCTAAAAGCATCATAAATTTTCGTAAGGCACAATCACTATAAACGACTATTTATATTGTATGGCTAAAATAGCATCCATGCTTAAAAGAGATGATAAAAATCAACTATGCAATTAACCAAGCTACATCAAGTACACCTTTCAACTAGTTGAAAATCATCACAGAGGCAAAAGCAAATGTGAATATTAGTAGAGAGGAAACGAGATAAAGTAATAAATGTTAAAAGTGAGGATATACAAACAATCTTAATAACATCCAAGTCAAAACGAAAGAAGCGATTGACCCAATAATATGAGTTCAGTTGGTTGAATAATAGATAAAAATAGGGAGAACACCACTGCAGTTTGGGTAGGCAACTTTTTCCACTTATATATAGATGTCAGATTTACGCTGTTTATGAAAGAAAACCTCTACACAATCGGCAGTTCAGATATTTGTGAATGTAACTCACTAACATGCGAAGCTGATCATCAATGCATTTTGGAGTCAACAAGTCAACCATATGGAGCAGAAATGTCTAATAAAAACGAGGAGGTATTTTGCTTTAATATGCTGTAAATTCTTTCACAAAAACGAATGAACTGAAAGAATTAGTCTAAAAATTCATATATTTATCATGTAGTCTTCCATTGCCTATTGATTCAAAACTCAATTCTAGCTTAACATAGAGTTTGTTTTGTGAACGAGCCTAATAGAATAGTCCAAAACTCTTAATTTGAACAGTAGGAAACAACAAAAACATTTTTCTTGTAATTCACTTTGTCTTGAGCAATAAATCTTATCAAACACTAAAAAATTCATTGAATACATCTCCTTAACCGCACGAGATTATATTAACTAACCCTACTTCTGATGAATATAAAGTTTAAAACCGATTGAGGGTTTCGGCAATCTAAGATTTACAGGTATCACTGATTAGGTTTGAAAGCTGACGTCAATAAAAATAAACAGAACCATTTTTGATATTGACTGTAAATCTTGTGGATAGCTTACATAGCACACTATGTATTCATGCAAATAGTTAAGGTATAAGTGATCCAAACATAATTTATCCGATTGCCTTACTAGACCATTACAGTGGAAACAGTGATAAACCGCATGTTATACAAGGGACATCGAGTAATATGCACAAGTCTACATTATTAAGTATGCCCTAAGTGTCAAACTTTTAAGCTCCGTTTTATTTTCTCCAGTTTGTGTAGCACCAATAGTTGTACAGCACAAGTTTTATGGTGCGACCAGAGACGCACTTTGAATAAACCTTGAGGTTTAAACACTGTGATTAGCCATGCAAATCCACGAACAAAATAACTAATGGCAACAAACTTCCCCACATAATTATATTTTTCTCATCTTTGACACTAATTTGATTAATAGATGATACAGTGTTAAATAATAATATTTTTAATGAGCAGATGAATTCCATTTTCTAAAGTAACTACGATTAATCACTGATAAATCGAATTTAAGATGCGAAGGAAAAAAATGACCGTGTCTATTCCCGAAGTCTTAGAAACTATTGTCAATCTTGAGGAAGCCCCAACACAAAGTATGAGGACAATGTGACTAAAATCCCCAAAAATATCAGAACGTTTCTCGGAAGTTCAAAGTTTGGGTGGGAAGATATAGTCATATCTATACATAAAGATGAAAATTCTGAAACTAACATGCAAAAATCAGATCATGAAATAACCAGCGGGTCCAAACGACAACTACATGCAGTAAGTGTGGCCAATAACCTAGAAATTAAACAGCCCTCCAGTCTCACAAATAAGGATAGGAGACCCAACGACCCAAATATACTGTGAAGATCCATTATTGCTCCTAATTTATTGACAGGAGATGCTGATATTATATGTTCTGGAATAGAATGCCAGTCGAGTGGCTAGGCTATCATCCACTGGACATTACCGAATACCTGGGACTGTACCGATAGGACAAAATTGGGTGCAAATAAATTATTTAGTTTATACTAGCTCGTAAAAGCGATATCAGATATTGGAATTCATTGCAAGATGCGAGAAACGGAATTCCAGAAGTGGACGATTTAATCTCAGTTATTGAACTTTCTTCAAATATCCTCTCAGATGATCAGCACTAGATAGCAAAAAGAGATAAGACGAATTAGTACCAAAACCACCCTCCAATGTACGGTAAGCCAGTATAAAATCACCTCGTAACCTACAGTAAGATAACAAAAATAGACTGAGGTGATTCAGTCTATCTTCACAATTTAGGTTAGTGAAACCCCGAACCGTTAATGTTATCCTATCCGAATTAGATGTAAGTGTAACGAAATCCTTATAACATCAGCAAATTGTAGAATATGTATCTTTGCTGCAGCTGGTATATTAGTTATATAGAATGAGAACAAAATACGGCTAATTGTTGCTCCTTGGTGAACGCCACCTTTTACAGATTCAAACCTCGAACTTTTAAGTCGCAATAGTATACGTTTTCACTGTAACTTCAAGTGGTTTGTATGTGTGTGAACGAGGTATAAGAAGCTTTCACTTAACGGGCGTCCGTATGTAGTAGCACTGGATCAACGATACCTCCAGAACAGAACCTAGGTTTATTTAACGAGTAAAAATATATTAGTAAATTGTAATATAACACTTTCCTGAGTCCTTAAAAATATGTCAAGTTCCTTCTCAAAGTACTCCTGTGAAGTTACTGGAGTCACATTAGAAGGTGACAGATCCCGAAATTCGACGTCTCATAAGCAATAATAGATGTGCCTGCAGTCCATTTCAGAGCGTCGGGCCTTTAGTTTCTGGGTATTTCCCCGCTCATACTCTAACGAGTGAAGATAGATTGACTTGAAAACCTCTTCATAAGGCTTTTACTTGAATTCTCGAAATGCTTTCATGGCTTAAACTAGCCAAAAAAAGGTTTAAAAATTACTAGTGCAAGGTTTCTCCGAAAGGCTTTTTTGTTGCGTTTATGGTCAGACTTTGGTACCTACAGCGAATGTTGAAAATTACCGACCCATAAATATAATCTCAGTAGTATCTATGGTGATGGAGAGAGTAGTCAAGGCAGAGTTAATACAACACTTCTTAATAATAATCTCATTTAGACCGCACAACATGTGTTCTTGAGGTCCGGGTCATGCGATAGGTGCCTGCTAGATTATCTTAATGATATAACTCAAAAACAAGACAAAGGGCTTTCAGTATCAGTCCTATTTGTCGACTCTAAGAAGGCTTTTGATAAGATCCCACGCAAAAGGCTTCTCTTTAAACTAAAAACATTCGGAATCAGTAACCCACTACATTCATGGTTTGCTTCTTTCTTAAGTGGACGCCAACAAATGGTTAACTACAACGATTGAGTTTCATCACTAAGACCAATAACCAGTGGAGTTATTCAGGGAACTGTATTAGGTCCGTTATTATTTCTTATGTACATAAACGATATATGTATTACTATAAGATTTGGAAGAACATACTTATATACAGATGATCTGAAAATGGCATACATCTCTAAACCTGAAGATCTGGGCGAAGATACAGCCAGGATACAGAGTGGCCTTGACAACTTATCAACATGAAGAGAAACTTGGCAGCCACCTTCCAACTACAACAAATGTGGAATCATGCATTTTAGTAAGCCTCACCATGATATACCACTCCACTAACAAAAATGTAGGGTTCAGATATTCATATCAGCGTATGATCTGGGTATTCGTCACTTTAGAAGCCTAATATTTGAAGAAAATGCCTCTACTATTATCTCCTGATCCAGACGGCTAATGGGGTCCATAAGTAAGAACTTCTCGACAAGTGAGGCTAAACTTACACTTTTCAAAATGTGTATATTGCTCACTTATCTTCTCAAACATGAATGTCGTGGACAAGATAGGAGTAGAAAATATCCAAAGAAGCTTCACGCGGCGACAGCCCGGATGGAGCCATAACCTCGACTACAGAGAAAGATACAAGCATCTTTTCCTGGAACCTCTGTGGCGCCGTCGGTTGAGAAACAACCTAATATGTGTCTATGAACTGATAAGTGGGCTTTCGTCCGAAATACCACCCAATTATGAACCATGAACCTGTTTACAGACTTAGAAACAACGCATATACACTGTTAACGGCAAAACACAAATAATCACTGCGTTGTAATTTCTTTGTAACACGATACAGTCTATTGTGGAGCAGATTATCAATTGCTATCCTTATCTGTGACACAATCACTAAATTCAAGAAACTAGTGGTGCTGTTGTTGGACTCTAAAGAGATTTATTTACTATTCCCGGAACTCACACCAAGTTGCGAGGCACTCTTTTATGCTTCACCAAATATTTAGAATAACCTCAGAAACTAATAACAGACCATGAACATATTGTACCCGCATTACTATCCAGATAGGTCTCACGAAATGATAGACGAATACCCTTGCTCCTAAAACAGTAATGGATTACGCCTTTGATGTGCTACCCCGTGACATTTGGACTTTTCGTAAAATTTAAATTCCAATCATTTTCTTTTTATCTTCCACAGCACTTTTAGCTAACATTTCTAGTAGACAAGTAAATTGAAAAACCTGTAGATGCCGCTCAACTACTGTCAACTACAAGGAACTCAAACTTCCTATGTCATTGTGAGTTCCTTCTTGTTAACGTATTAACAGTTTAATAAATTTTTATTCCTCCAATTCATTAACGTCCAAACACTTTGCCTGCTTACCAATTTATCGCTTTGCTCTTGAACTTTTAACGCTACTTTTCCCCTTTTTTATCCAGCTGCCTATCCTTCCTATCTGCAAACTACCTGTTACCTGACACATATCTTACAATTTATACCATTAGTTTACTCAAAATAAGTATAATATGCTTTGTGGATATTTTGTCCTACGTACAAAAGGCAAATTTGTCCGGTCTGCTTTTAACGTGCAGCTAGTAGAAAAATTGTATTCCAACGAGGTGTATAAAAAAATAGTGCCTAGACTAAAAAATTGTTTAAAATCTACCATTAAACGTTAGAGGGCCTAACATAATAAAAGGAGAGAGGGTGGTGTATCTGACCAGCATTCATGACTATGGGGTGATAACCTCAGTCTATGCATATCTGTGGAGCAGAGTATTTTGTTTGCTTACGGCTCCTTACGACATAACAGGAAGTAACTAATCAGTGATATTTATGTTACTTTTCTTTGTTAACCACGTCTACGACCCATGTTTGTAATCTCGCACCGGTTTTAATTTCATAACAAGAAGTCTGATTACAAACAGATCTGGACAGTTATACTGAAAAAGAGCTCACTCATGACTTCTTGAGCTACAGAATTAAAAAGATAAATAATATATGTAATATCACAAAAGCAACAGATCACTGTAACTTATTATTATATTCTGTACATCAACATTATTGCTAACAATTTGGTTCTTCTGAATTTCCCCTATTCATACCATTTATTGCCCATTCCTTATCTTACTAGTGAATTTTCTTCATTAACCTACATAAGTGCAGGTGTGCAGTTAGCATTTAATTAAAAAAAAGTATCTGCTGAGTCGTTTTTCAACTTCGAACAAGAATATTTTATGTTCTGCTCCTCGCCCTTTTACTTCTATTTCTCTCTTTCAGCACCTTATTTCAATCCTTAAGTACTAGTCTGGATATTTACCGAAGACGTGGTTACTTTACACAGGAGCCTGAAATTTATCATCTGAAGAATATGAACAAGATCTTAGCACATTTAGCTTATCAATTCTTGTTATATGCAGACCTGCCTCTACCTTGCATTGTTTCACAGCCATTAGCTGTTCGTCGTAACTCGCGCCAACTATTCACACTGTACACTGAAGAGTCTTTGGAAAACTGTAGCCATCAGTATGAAGCCAATGTATCTTGTGAAATATTTCAGTAAGTGAACAAAGTTTTACGAAAAACATGTTAGCAATCCTAATATTTTGATCTTGGCTGTAAATTGGCATGCCTATTGTTAGTTGATTATAAATTATTATTATTATTATCAAAGAACAGTTGTTCTGGTTGTCACAGGGGGCATCAACCTCATGACTTTCGAAGCAACTCAGCTTTCATTTTGAGATATCATAACCATTCTGAATGAAGACCTTCAGACTATACAGGGCAGAGTTAAAATCGTTTGAATTGATCTTTCTGGTTTTCGTTTTTCAGCAGGCCATTTTTCTTCGTGATGGAGTTGCTAACACCATGCTCAACCTTTCTACTTCATCCTGGTTTGGGACCGGCCATAAGCACAAAAAAGTTCTTGGCAGAGTTACGGGAGGACACAAAAACTGTTATTTATTTTGCTTTCGTTCAAAGGAACCTATCCGATAGTGATTTCGCAATTCCGGCTATAGTTCTTTGTATGAAGCTTAGCATGGTAAAACAATGTGCATGTATTGCAAGGGAGCATCCTAAGATTTTTTTACTGTTATATACTGATGGATAACTGGGACTTGTGTAATAGTTATCCACCTTGATTTGTTCATTCAGTTGTGAACTTTTGAAAATCCATTCAAATTTATTTCATATTAGTTGCACTAGTCTTCATTATTTGAAATATTGATGTGAACGCAAAATTAACGACGCAGAGTAGGAGAAGAATGCAGTTATTTATATCGTTTACCAATTAATACGTTTCATGTTACCCAAATGGTTTGACTTGATTAAGTTGTGGAGGTGGTGGTTGTCCTTTGGAAGATGATATAAAAAATCTTCTTTTCTTTAGTGTACGATTCGGCAAAGAATATTTCACGTTGCATTGATATATCTAAAAAAGACCTGCGCCCCGAAACTAGTGGTTTCGTATTTCTATAACAGATAACCATTGTAGAAGGTGCTCAGTAATGTTGTACAGTTCAATTAGGAGAACGGTCATTTATTTTATGTACTACATAAGTACCACTCCAATCTCTCACACAAACCAATAGATACGCACGTGTTCTAAACACGTTTATCTTAGCTTAAAGTGAGACAGGAGATGAAGAACATTGAAGAATATTGCAGAGGTCTGAGTGGTAGCCAGGATGAATGGTAGGAATGTGTAGTATACTCTCACTTCCGAGAGGCATACTGCTAACTGTCAGGATAGGGCGAGTCAGTATAGATAATGATAAGACTTCTAAACAAGATCTTATAGATTAGACAGTCACATCAAGGTCAGTCTAAAGTTGTTGGACAGGGCTATCATTCTAGGGGAAGAGACAAGTGACACAGTACCGGCTAACACCTAAATCCTGCAATATCAATATCACTGAGTGTTTTTTGTTTCGTATTATTGAGTGAAAGATCTTTTTCATTATGAGCCTCTATAGGAAGTTTTTGATTGTTTTTAACTGTTTTAAAGAATGAAAAGTAGGAAAAAGTTCTTTAGAGGTAAATAGATGTTATTTTCTCTATATATCTGACTCCACTACATTGTCCCGTGAAAGGGTACTTTATCACGTCGACACTCCTTGTATTACCATGGATTTACTCTGGAATATTCAGAAACTACAACATCAGCGGTAGGAGATAACGCACGTTATCAATAGTTAATGGAACCTACAAGACACCAGATAGGCAGGCACACTGGGAAGCGAGTAAATGAGTGAATGAATAGTAAGTGGAACATTGTATGTGTATTTTCTGTGAGTGCCCATAAAAGCGCGAATAAAGTTACTGATTATCTATGGTTACAACCCATCACAGAGCAGACAAAGTTTTGAGGTCCAGACATGAACTCGGCCATACTAGATCAGTTTGTAAGTTTACATTAGGTAGGTAGTAAGGGTATGACAGGAGTTTGTTCTTAAGTACAAATACATTGAGAAGGCTTGCATAGACATTTGGTTCTATTTGGGAGCGTATGAAATGGAATTTTGAAAATGTCGATATCAAGGATTCTGCCGTTCCCCACACTGTGGCCTGCGTGTACCTCAGCAGCTCAATTTGGGAAAGAAACGAAAGCACCTTATACTTTTTTAGAATCGTGAACGGGTAAACTTATCTACGTAGCTCTTCGCTCATAATATATTTACCAGTGACTTCCCTTATCTGTCTGTCACCGAACCATTTTTCATTTCGATACTATAAAACGGTCTGACCAAACTTCGTTAATCGATTATACCTCTACTGTTGAGGGAACTTCTTAGGAGCTTCGTAAGATCTAAACTGATGACTCTGAAGTACTCAAGATTTGACGTACGTTGAGCTTGGTAATTCTCTAACGACTTAAACAAACAGCGAATGTAGCTTGGTTAAGCTGTGTCCGTGAGAGCCGTAATGCATATTATGTAAACAGACGATGGAACAAGAAACAAACTAACAAAAACAAGAATTCTGTGATGAGTGATTGATAAATCATTTTTGATTCGTACAAAGATGTATGGTAATACAAGATTTCTAAACTGGCTGGTAAGTGCAGAGTTTAGGTATAACGACAGCTTTGAACGGTGGTTTGATGCCTATATTTAGCTAAATGCTTTCTTCCAGCTTTGGTCAGACAAAACTAAATTTATTTAGCTGACAATCGAAAAGTATCTAAAGCATAACTCAGCGATTTACGCTCTCTAAAAGTAACATAGTTAGAATTTTTTTAGTGGGGATCAAGTCGAGATTGACTATGATCACCACTAAATACTAATTACGAACTCGTCTGCGAAACTACAGAGGCGGTGGAGCAAAAATGGTAGCAAATGTAACACGTGTTATCAGCATTCACCGAACAGCAGATCAGATCTAAAATTGCAACAAACAGAGTTAGCTTGACACTTCATATCAAGAGAGAACACGAAGTGCGGCCACGGCACTTTTATTTGAAAATTAAAATACGCGGGGTTTCTACAGAAATAGGGTGGGCAGTGTACCAAAGTCTTATGAGTCATCCTGTAAGTTCAGAGCACTCAGTGCTTGTTCTTCAGCTTCCAAAGCGATTATGTTTGATCGCCCTGAAATAGAAAGAAAACAGTGCGGGTTAGCAATATCATACATGGTGATTTTGACTCCGTTACACGACACAAACAGGAAGTTTGAGCATACTGAGTGTTATAAACAAAAAATACAGTTAAACAACCACTGGTACAATTAGTTACAATAATAAATGTTTCTATTAAACCAATGGAGTTCTCTTCATAAAAGTGGATTCCCTAAATTCTCATACGATCCTAGGAGAAGCAATATCTTTTGGCAGATTATTTACTGCCCATCAACTGACCGTCAACTCCAGCAGGAGTTGAGAAGTCTAGTGATTCTTTACTGGACGTTACGAAGTACATGGAACTGTACTTTAACACCGAGATACAAGATCAATAGAATGAAATGTTTTGTGAGGTTCTCAAAGAATAAAATGGAAATTGGGTTAGAAAGAAGTAGAAACCGGATTTTTAAAGTTTTAAACTGTACCGGAATGACGAGAGTCGAGCGCAAAAAAATTAAAGGGTTTACACTAGCACGTGTAAAAGATATTGGATATTGGGAAGCGCTCGAACCAAAAGTTATGAGGGGTTATGGTTTTCAGAATTGACCCATGCGGTATAGCATGTGTTTTAATAACCCAATTACTTGTATTATACTCGGATTATGTTGTGGTATTTTACTTAGTGCTTCCAGTTCTTAAAAACAGGTGATGATATACTTTTTATTTTGATTATCTTTATTGGTAAAGCGGTACTGTATTGAAGTCCTATAGAATATTCCTGTATCAAAATTTTTACTCATGGTTTGACTTTAATACGGATACCATCTAGTGGACAGCATTTATCGAAAAGTAACAATTGAAGCTAAGCAAATTTGTTCGGTCTGCCTCTCATTCAAACCACATGGGGCAATCAAGTGTGGACATTAGGCAAATTTGGGGGAGATCCTTCAGTAAACTCGGTTTAAATAGAAACCGTATATCGTCTTTTTCTCAAGCCCGATGTAACTAATGAGTTCCCTCAAAATTTCTACGTATAGGGAGTGTCTCAAAATTAACACTCATTTTTCCCTAAATGTGTACTTTTCCCCTAAATTAACACCGAGTTGTCTAATGTGCCGCTAGGTATACACGTAAAATTGTAGTGTTTTTTCTCTTGCATTTTCACACGTCAATTTATTTGCGCAATCGATATAAATCAGAAAACATATCTGGCTGATAGTTTATTGACAATTTTTACACAAAGAGTTTTAATGTGTTCAGAAAACTGGTATTATAAACAATAAACTGTTGCAACAACAGATTCTGCTGGCATGAGTTTTCGTCACTGGGATTCTGGAAATGAACAAAAAACGGCAGTTAGGGGTGTTGTTTTCAAAATCTGGTTACAAATTCTTGTAACACGGTAAAAATTACGATCAAGATGCTAAGAAATATAATCTACCTAAATAATGCAGTGAAAATGTTCAGAATGAGAATTGTCACTTACATTTCATTTCCTTAGACAATAATGTTTGTTCAGTTTTACTCTCATTTTGTGAAAGAACCCTTGATTAGTGACGTCGTACACTTTTGAAAGGTGTTTTTCACTGATATTTGACGACATAAGTTTTGATTTCAATGCAACTTTTGAGTTAAAGAAACTAGAGCGTAGCCGTACTTCTCATACTGCTGTAAAATCGGAACTACTTAAAGCTTCATTTTGCGCTAGTTCTCATTAGCGTGTAAGTTATTGTCAATTCAGCTTTCATCACGTAATGAAATAGACCTGACGAAAATCATAGGCCGGTTATCTAAGAATCTCACCATCATTGCTATCTAAAAAATAAACTCTTAACTAAGTAGCATTACTTACAAACTTATCACCTGTTTCTTCTTCGTGGGGTTACATGTCTACTAGTTTCAGTTCCTCTTTTGCAGATATAGGGAACCGCTTGCTTAATAATCCTCCTCCATTTCTTAAAAATGGCTGATCTACTGTATCTTTTAATTAACGACATCACCCGTTCCGTGTTTGCAGACAATGCAGCGACGGCAGTCGATAGCTTTGTAATGTTAATAGTTGGCTATATACAATACTAAAGACAACAAAAATTGATCTTACCCAAAATGGCTCTGTAATTGAGCATCGAAGCACTTGTTGATTGTAATAACTAAACTTTAGTTTCACGCATATAATTACATTAATTGGAGATACTGTATTTTCTGAGAGCTGGAATGTGGGATATTCCACTCGGTAGTAACCAGCTTTGATTACTGTGACATTCGAGTCGATAGAATCGTACAAATGTTTTCTCTCTCGCTTGGATTGGAACTGTAGGTCAGACCTGGGAATTGGTCATCTAAGTGAACCATCTGCTTCCGGTTGTGTTCACAGACAGTATCTCATCCCACTCACAAGTTCACTAATTTATGTAGTGTATATCTACTTAGACACACCTTAGTACCTATGTTTGTGTATTTAAACCACTTCCCCAGATCTACTTTAATTGCCCTTACTGGAATGTTGTCTGATCCAGCTCCTTTGCCGTTCTTCATCTATCCGGATGCCATACTGATCTCCTCAATTATTAGTCGGCCAACATTGATTTAGAGGTCCGTGGATGCTGCTTCGAAGTTGAGAGGCTTCACAGAGCTCGTCGATTCAAGAGTTCCTTGAAATGCTCTACGCACCTGTCTCGTTCTTCAATGTTCGTGATTACTTTGCCTTCCTTGCTTTGTACTGGTCGTTTGGTTTACGATGGTTTCCAGCGAGCTTCTTTGTTGTATCGTACAATTGTCTAATGTTTCCTTCTCTTGCAGCCTTTTCCGCCGTCGTTGCTAGATCTTCCACATATTTTCGTTTGTCCCCTCTGATGCTCTTCTTCACTTTCCTGTTTGCTTCTGTGTATTCAGCTTGTGCCTTAACTTTCTCTGCTCTTGTTCGGCTGACATTGATTGCTGCCCTCTTGTTCCTCCTTTCTTCAATTTTTTTGCAAGAGTATCAACAGACATCCAATCCTTGTGATGATACTTCTTGTGACCCAGAACTTCGTGACATGTTGAAGTGATTGCCTCCTTGATCCCTTTCCATTTGTTCTCCAAGGTTGTTTCCTCTCCATTGAGTATATTGTGCAAGGCCTGGAACCTATTGCTGAGGGCTATCTTGAATTCGTTGAGTTTTACGGTATCCCGAAGAAAGGCCGTATTAAACTTGTGTGATGTTGTCTGCCCCGTTGTCCAGTGCTTCTTGAGTTTCAGTTTCATTTTGGCGACCAGCAATTGGTGATCTGAGGCTATGTCAGCTCCTCTCTTGGTTCTCACATCCTCCATCGTCCTTCTGAATTTTTTATTGATACAGATATGGTCGATTTGGTTCTGAGTAGTGTGATTCTGTGAAATCCATGTGGCTTTGTGTATGCGTTTGTATGGGAATATTGTGCCGCTGATGACCAGTTTGTTGAAGGCACATAGGTTTGCAAATCTCTCACCATTTTCGTTCCTTTCTCCTAGTCCATGTCGTCCCATGATGTCTTCATATCCAGTGTTGTCCATTCCAACCTTGGTATTTAGGTCTCCCATCAGAATGGTCAAATCCTTTGGTGAACATTTCTCGACGATTGACTGCAGCCTTTCGTAGAATTGATCTTTAATGTCGTCATTGTAGTCATTGATAGGTGCATAACACTGGATGACCTTCATTGTAATGTCCTGTTTCTTTGTTTTGAAGGATGCCTTGTTGATCCTAGGTGCATGAAGTTCCCATACCATTAGTGCCTTTTGTGCTTGTTTGGAATGGTTGCACCTAGGATCATTAAAGCATCCTTCAAAACAAAGAAACAGGACATTACAATGAAGGTCATCCAGTGTTATGCACCTATCAATGACTACAATGACGACATTAAAGATCAATTCTACGAAAGGCTGCAGTCAATCGTCGAGAAATGTTCACCAAAGGATTTGACCATTCTGATGGGAGACCTAAATACCAAGGTTGGAATGGACAACACTGGATATGAAGACATCATGGGACGACATGGACTAGGAGAAAGGAACGAAAATGGTGAGAGATTTGCAAACCTATGTGCCTTCAACAAACTGGTCATCAGCGGCACAATATTCCCATACAAACGCATACACAAAGCCACATGGATTTCACAGAATCACACTACTCAGAACCAAATCGACCATATCTGTATCAATAAAAAATTCAGAAGGACGATGGAGGATGTGAGAACCAAGAGAGGAGCTGACATAGCCTCAGATCACCAATTGCTGGTCGCCAAAATGAAACTGAAACTCAAGAAGCACTGGACAACGGGGCAGACAACATCACACAAGTTTAATACGGCCTTTCTTCGGGATACCGTAAAACTCAACGAATTCAAGATAGCCCTCAGCAATAGGTTCCAGGCCTTGCACAATATACTCAATGGAGAGGAAACAACCTTGGAGAACAAATGGAAAGGGATCAAGGAGGCAATCACTTCAACATGTCACGAAGTTCTGGGTCACAAGAAGTACCATCACAAGGATTGGATGTCTGTTGATACTCTTGCAAAAAAAATGAAGAAAGGAGGAACAAGAGGGCAGCAATCAATGTCAGCCGAACAAGAGCAGAGAAAGTTAAGGCACAAGCTGAATACACAGAAGCAAACAGGAAAGTGAAGAAGAGCATCAGAGCGGACAAACGAAAATATGTGGAAGATCTAGCAACGACGGCGGAAAAGGCTGCAAGAGAAGGAAACATTAGACAATTGTACGATACAACAAAGAAGCTCGCTGGAAACCATCGTAAACCAAACGACCAGTACAAAGCAAGGAAGGCAAAGTAATCACGAACATTGAAGAACAGCGAAGCAGGTGTATGAAGCACTTTTAGACGGTGGAGAAATTTATAAGTCAGGTTGATGTTTGCGGTGAATTTTCATTCTCTCAGCTGGATGTTTTTCTTGTGAACCTCATTCTCTCTGAATAAGATAACACAAATTTCAGATAGAAGGGAATCATTTGTATTTCTTGACATTTGACCTGTAGCTTTTTTACCCTCGCTCTTGATTGGTCGTTTATTGACCTTAAACCTAACGTTCTTTGCATATTTGTTTTGATGGTATCCCCCTCTGATCTGTTTCTTGATCCTATGTTTGCCTATGATTTATCCGTTTGGTTGATAACTTGGGTCAATTTCGATGAGTTTATTGATTGCTGATTGACATGAGTGCTACGTATCTAAAAATTGAGATGGTGGGGAAAATTTGTAGCTCGGGTGGATGATCGTGAAGGTGCTTCGTTCTCTGAGCTGGATGATATCTAAAAATTCGCTTGTGTTCTTTGTGCTCACTCTATCCACCATTTCAACTTTGTTCCAACCGAACCTATGTCTATAGTTGGCCGTACGTATTCATATAAGGAAAGAAATGTCGAGGCGTTTGACCACTAGTTGCTCACGCAAACGAAGCTGAATAGGTCGTCCAATAGTGTTTTTCACAATGTGAGCAGTTGTTTATTTTGTAGATGATATCTGGTTTTTCTCCCTCTGTCATTTTGTCCTTTGGTCTGCGTACGATTGATTGAAGTGCTTCTGTTGCTTTGCGTGTTACACCTATTTCAAATGGTCTCAGTAGTCGTGCTGTAAGTTCCGGTATGTCTTTTATGTATTTTCGAATGATTTCGCTTGTTTTGACGATTTCAGTTAATATTTTTTGATGGAGTTGCGTGGATAGCCGTTCTTCAGGAAGATGGTCATTAATTATTTTCCTTCCTTTTTTGTGCTTTAAGTATGCTTCATTGTGTCTTCGCTCTCTTGAACAACGTTTGTACTTAGTTGATTTTGTGACTTCTTGGGTTATTGCTATTGTAGTTGAGAATTATGTTTGTCTGGGTTGGCTTCCAAAATACTTGGATCTCCAGTTTCCATTTGTCAGTTCTGGTGATTGGTATATCCATGAACGATAGACTGTTCTTCGATTCCTTTCTATTGTGAATTTTGTGTCGTCAAATACGTTGTTGATCCGATTGTAGATTTTCTTCAGCTCATTCCTCTTAATGATGGCGAATATGTCGTCCGCATGATGAACCCACATTTTTGGCTTGATAACTGGTAAAACCGACGCTTCTAGTCTCTGTATCACGGCTTCTGCAATGATTCCTGATATTAGTGATCCCATTGGTGCTTCTTCTGTTTCTTCATAGAGCACTGAAAGGGACTCTTCAATCGATCAGCCCCACTGAACCCGCAAAACATCTATGCAGCATCCGCGGACCTCCCAGTCGATGTTGGCCCACCAACAATTGAAGAGGTCAGCATGACCATCTGATAGGTAAAGAGCGGCAAAGCAGCGGGACCAGACAACATCCCAGCAGAGGTAATGAAAGCAGACGTGGCAGCAACTGCAGAAATATTCCACATTCTTTTCAAAAAGATTTAGGCTGAACAACAAGTACCAACAGATTGGGAAGAAGGATATCTCATCAAAATACGAAAGAAAGGCGATCTCAGCAAGTGTGAGAACTACAGAGGCATCACTCTTCTCTCATTACCACGCAGTCTTCAATCGGGTGTTGTTAGACAGAATGAAGGACTTCGTTGATGCCTAACTTCGAGATCAGCAGGCTGGACTCCATAAGGATCGATCGTGTGCCAACTAAATTGCAACATTACGGATCATTGTGGAACAATCTCTTGGATGGAAATCATCGCTCTAAAACACCTTTATTGACTACTAGAAAGCATTTGATAATGTGGACAGGAAAACACTACGGAGGCTTCTTCAAAACTACGGCGTGCCTGTGAAGATAGTCAACATCATACGGAATTTTTATGATGGATTGAAATGAAAAATCGTTCACGGAGAAAAACTGACTTACTCGTTTGAGGTGAAGACCAGTGTCAGGTAAGGTTGCTTGCTCTCATCTTTTCTCTTTCTCCTGGTGATCGACTGGATTATGAGGACGTCAACATCTGGAGGGAAGTGTGAGATACAGTGGACAGCGGGGCCGGAACTCAGGTAACTATCTTGACTTTTCAGATGATCTAGCTCTTCTACGCACAACAACAAATGCAGCAGTAGGTCTCATCACACATCTGGGAAAAAACAAGATCTCCCGATATCACACAACATACACTAACCAGATCACACTTGAAGAAGAAGCTTTGGAAGACGTAGAAACCCTTACACATCTTGGCAGCATCGCTGATTAGCTAGGTGGATCTGACGCAGATGTGAAGACACGGATTGGCAAAGCAAGGGCTGCATTTCTACGATTAAAGAACATCTGGAACTCTCAACAACTATCAACCAACACAATAGTTAGAATTTTCAATGCAAACGTTAAGGCAGTTCTACTGTATGGTGCGGAAACTTGGAAAACTTCCAAAGCCATGATCCTGAGGATGCGATTATTTCTTAACAGTTGTCTACGTAAAAAACTTCGGATCCGTTAGCCAGACACTATCAGCAACAACCTACTGTGGGAGAGAACAAACCATATTCCAGTGGAGGAGAAAATCGGGAAAAAGCACTGGGAGTGGATCGGACACATATTGCGGAAAGCACCCAACTGCGTCACAAGACAAGCTCTCACATGGAATCCTCAAGGTCAAAAGAAAGGAGGAAGGCCAAGGAACACATCACACCGTGAAACGGAGATAGATATGAGAAGAATGAGCAAAAATCGGACAGAACTGGAAAGGGAGGTCGAGGACAGAGTAAGTTGGAGAATACTGGTCGTGGCCTATGCTCCGTTGGGGGGGGGGGTAACAGGCTTAATTAAGTAAGTTTCCAATATCCACCTACTCAAAAAGAAAGCTCTCCCAGTCAATATAACTCTTCTAGTCAGTAGATCATTTCAAATAAATGTAAAAAGTTCATGTAAAGATGAATGAACTGCTCTCCACTAATTAAGAAAATGAGTGATGGTATTAGACTATGAAATTTTACTCATTAGAATTTTCTCTCTTTTCTGCATTACAAATTACTTTGTTTGTTTCACTTCCTTATACCCTTATCTACATATTATCTTCATTATGATTTGAATTATATTATCTTAAAAAATCTCAATTTTCTTTCCTACCACGCTTCCTATCTCGTTATCTTGGCTTAATATACCCGACTAAACCGGTACCCTGTGATGTGACAGCTTTTGAAGACAGCAACAGTAAAAAAATTCAAATTCCAAATGACTTCTTTCTAGGATTGTAGTAGCCGAGTAGCTAGACAAAACCCAACAATTTCATTCAGAGATCTAACGTTGCTTCTTCAAAATACCAACCATATATAATACCTCTGAAATTGCAGTTACAGTAGTAAAGTGTATCAGGGTTATAACCTTACTGTGAGTGGCTTGTGGATATTTCATCTGAAAGTCCACTTATAGATGTTCGTTTGTTGCATTTTCTCCATATTTCAATAATTCGTACTAGTAATGCTTTAAGATAACGCTCAGCCCATCCTTATTGATTAGATATTGCATTTGGAATATCTCTACTACCATATATGAATATCTTAGTCATCACCTAGATCGATTACTGGTTGTTCTGTTTTACTACAAAACTGTTCCACTGATTTATTTAGTGAGATCCAAACTATTTCATATTTGCACGTTTCAACTTCATTCTGATATAGCTGAGAAAGTTTTTATTTTGTGCAGTTCAATCATTTGTTTTTGATATGATATATGTGTGTGTGTTTGAATAAATTACTCAGGATATGAATTCATTGCAAAGATTGCTTGCTTTTCTTTTTCAAGAGCACGTTTTCATTCCTCATTTTCTACCATTTGCTATTTGTTTACAGCTTTTGGGCTATTGTGAATACAATATGCTTTAATATAGTGGCTTCTTTACTATTATTTTCGCATATATGTGCTGCCGTAACAGATCCAGGACTGATACCTTTGCAACGGTATACTGTCAATCAATTAGCTAGTGTTCAGGTAATGTTTCTCATTTTTACATATAGTTTCCTGAATAGTTAACTAAGTTAAGTTATCAAATTTTATGACTTTCAATAAAAGCTTGTCAAACTTTGTCTGCCTACTGTTGGTGACCGGCTACCATGGGACTGCATCTCCTAACGTTGCTCCACTTCCTATTGGTTTAGACCTTGGGGTTAAAGGCTTGTCTAGTGGTCCTCTAAAAAAGCCACCTGTTTGAGTTTGGACACCGGGCCGGTATCCCGACCCATTCATATTGAGTAATTTTTATGGTGCATAAATATTCAGGTATCCTGTTGTACCAATGTTTGTGTGTTTAAATAAATCAGTAACTTATTGTACAAGAATATTACTTGTTTACCCTTTATTACTCCTCGTGGAGCATAGACCGCCAACTAGCGTCCTCTTACCTACTCTATCTTGAGCCTTCCTTTCTAGTTCTGTCCGATTATTGTTCATTCTTCTCATGTCTGTCCCCATTTCTCGGCGTATTGTTAGGCGGTCTTTGTCTCTTTCTTTGACTGAGGATTCAAAGTGAGGGTTTGTTCTGTGATGCAGTCGGGTGCTTCCCTCAATGTGTGTTGTCTTATCCATCTCCAGGGTTTTCTCCTGATTTCTTCTTCTGCTGGAAGCTGGTTTGTTCCTTGCCGTAGTGGATTGCTGCTGATGGCGTCTCGCCAATGGATCCGAATTATCTTGCATAGACAGTTGTTCATAAACACCTGTATATTTTGGATGATGACTTTCAACGTTCTCAACTTTACATTCCATCTTGATGTTCATATTTGAAAATTCTGACCTTGGTGCTGGTTGAAACTTGTTTTGATTTCCAGAAATTTTTCAGCTGTAGAAATGCTACCCGTGCTTTGCCAATCCGTGTCTTCACACCTCTACTAGATCCACCGTTTCTATCAATGATGCTACCTAGATGTGTAAAGGTGCCACATCTTTCAGAGCTGCTCCATCAAGTGTGATTCGGTTGGTGCATTCTGTATTGTGTCGGACGATCTTATATTTCCCTTTGTGTCTGCCACATCGTTCAGACATTCCATGTACCTATACTAACTGTTATTCTGGTTGTCAGATGGAGCAGCCGCCTCACGCCTTCCAAATAAACTCGGTTTTCCCCGTGAGGCTTCATACCTCTTCTAGATAAAGACCTTTCAATTCTCACGATAGAGTTTAAATAGTTTTATAGATGCTTTCTTGTCGGTGTGAAGTGAAAACTCCTGTGTTTCTGATATACATGTAACGTATATTAGCTCTTGGTGCGATGCACACCTGCCAAGAACTTCGGGGTAACAGTTCCCCACAAAAACATACCTCTGTTACGGGTTTGTGTTTCTTAAAAGAATATTCTTTCCAGAGACCACTTGGCCCCCACAAATGAGGCTTTACCGACCTCTGTGTCTGGAACATTGTACCGCATCAATATTGTTACGACCTCTACAACTCTGGGATTCGCCTGACAATTTCATCTGTGTTAATGCGGTGTATGGCAACTTAAACTGATATACACATGTCCCAAGTTCTGCAATACTAACTATTGTTTTTTTACATGTTAACTTTGTTTTCAAAATTAATATCCTCACTTTTTAATGAAATTTGTATACAGAAACCTGATGGATGGACCACTTGTAATAAATGTGGAATACACCGGCCACCAAGAGCTCACCATTGCCGAATTTGTCGACGTTGTGTAAGACGAATGGATCATCATTGCCCTTGGTTAGTGATATATTTTTATATGTCCAGATTAACTAGTTTTAGAATTTCACACATTTTGCTTTTTATCAAAGTATTTTTCATAGTTGGGATCATGAATAATTCCAATCATTTGGTGAATTTGATGAATTGGGTGATTCAATATTAAATCAGTTCGCTCCGTCCTACTCTATGGCTATGAAACATAGCCGGTGAGAGTTACTGGTATTCGATTATAGGCGTCTTTGAAGCATTACTCGTGTATCCTGGGACATCCGCGTTAGGAAACGACTACTAGATAGGGATGGCAAATCAATAGATAAAGTATTGAAACTTCATCAGTTGAGGTGGTTGCGACATGTGTTACGAATGCTCAACCACCGACTGCCTCGACGAGCTATGTTTTGTGGTGTAGGAGTAGTACGCTGAAAGAAAGCTAGGGGCGGCCATGTTGGTAGATTCAGACTATCTGGCTGGTGTCCGCGAGACGATAGTGACTGATGGTTAGAGAGCTTGATTGACATGGCTCAAAATCGTTTGCAATTGTGCAAGTGCATCCATTCTTTGTCTTCTCTCAAATTCTAACCTTCTAAATTCCTCATAATCTCTATCTTTCCCCTTCTAAATTTATCTCACTGAATTATATTTTCTGAATAATATCTTCAAACCCTAATCTTTCCGATTACTGTTCATACTTCTACTATCTCTACCACTATGGGACTCGAACTGACAATAGCGTCTCTGTGCTCAAGTGGTATTGCAACATGAACTTATGTACTCATGTACGAAGTTCTATGTTATAGTTGACTGACTGACTTTCGTTTTCATTCCAAACATTATCAGCACCAACTGCAATGTTAGATGATACAGCTCGGTAAACATAACATTACCGGCAGTATCCATCAATGCTCAATCACTCAGTGATATACAACATATAACCTGACAAATGCCCATCGGTACAAATTATCACACCGCATCTCAGCACAGCGAAAAGCTAGATTGATTTAAGTAGTTACCTCATTAGTAGTAATTGTGAATATCATTTTATAACTTCGTGATTTCAAATCAATTAAGCATTCAGTATATTATTGATCGTATATTTTTGTAACATTCCAATAAACTGAAAATTAAATTTCTGATGTTTTTCTTTGACATAGTGTAAGCTCAACTACTATTTTTAGAGAATAAAAAAAATAAATGCGTAATTAAATGAACACAAAGTTTACATAGTACCAAACGATACAAAGCAGAAAATGTTAATACAATCAAAATTAAAATACATCTGATCATGTTATTTTTGTGTCATTTTAGTCAAGATTATTGTGTGTACTGTGTGAAGTCTATTTACTTGCTTGCTTATGCCTGTTAAGCCTAATAAAGCATAGGCCTCCGACCAGCGAATTATTTTCCTGGTTAGCATTTTTTAATTGGCTAGTTGGATGTGGTCGCTAACCCCATGCCCGACCCTCTTCATTTATCCGGGCTTGGGACCGGCAGGATATCTAGAAGGACTTCAGATGGAGTTGTGTCTAATTGTATGCGTGTGTATGTGTGAAAAATGTGGTTTTTTTACAGTGTGGAAAAAGAGTATGGCTAGAAATATTCATATGTTTGTTAGTGGTGTGAGGTTATGTGAACAGGACTAATTGTGTGCATATTTGGATGTATGGTCTATGTGCTGGATGGATTGTTATACCTTTCTTTCTGTTAAGCTCAGTATGGTTTAGCAACGAGCCTTTAATAATGATTCATAAGGGCTCGCTCAGAACTCTAAATAACCACAACATAACTACGCAAATTCGGACAATTTAACGAAGCAAAAATACCACTCACCTAACATCTTACAAGAGGAAATGCGAGCTCTACAGTAATCACAAGTGATTATTATAACCGAGGCTAATAAAGGAAGTACAACAGCTTCTTGTGGACTTCTGGCTTATTAGGTGAACCAGTCGTCACCGGCCATAGAGGACACAACAGTCTGATCAGTTTCACCGGGGCAGCAGACCAGCTGAACTGTTTTTCAAAAAATTGTGCCGATGGTTCAAGACATCGATAGTTATTAATAATTGGTATCCCATTCAGCTTTACAGATTGCTGCACTGACACCAAATTTCATACTACCAGTGACCTCGAATGAGTTGAAAGAGCTTGCAGTAGTTACCAGAAGTAGCTGCTAATCCCAACTCGTTAGGAAGCTCCGATCATCAGGTTTTTCAGTCCTTACGCAAACTTTGTACTATTTGATTACTTAATAATCTATTACCAACAAACTCGCGGTTACTCAGAGTAGACTGACGTGCCTCAACGAATTGTAAGGAACCTGTAGAAACCCATTGCTTATAAGCAGGATGTTTCCCAAAACCACAAGTGAATTTATTCGACATTTTCATGACACCATGCAAATGCAGCTTGTGTTCATCTTGAATCTAGCTCGGTTTGATATTTATTTATAACAGAAGCTGCTGCCAGTTTACTGATATCGATCCGTTTAGGATGGTGAATTTGTTGGCCACTAAAACGTAAGATAAAACTAGCCGAACAACGGCACGATCATAGTCCAGATAAGTACTCCAAAAGGAGCGACAATCTTGTACACAACCACTCCAGCGGTAAGTGGTCACGATGTGGTCAATCCGAATGCAGGATTAAAATGCAGAGGGAAGACATTAGTCAGCATATCAGTGATAACTGTGCTGATAGTTAGTGCTAACTAGAAGCAAGTTGCAGTCTTTGCCCAGACATCCGGTCCAAATATTCAAATTTCTGACTAGTACCACAATATATGTCGAATACACTCTCTGAAAGTCACTTAACTGGTGATAAAACTCATACTTGATTGCATCCGGGCTGAAATCTGTCGGGGCGTAGGCGGAGACAACGAAAAGACATTATTTCTCACATCGATTTTTTCTCACTTTGACGAAGCTTTCTTATCTAACAGCACATAATCAATTGTTAATGGGAATTCAGCCAATTAGCACTATCTAATTTCTAGCGCTTAGTATGACGCCAACGCCAACAAAATCAGACGAAAATGCTATAGGGTCGCCGAATAAACTCACGAAGCCTACTCATCTCCCCTATCTATGATTATTGAATGTATACAGTGTCCGGCATCAAATCTATTTCTCTTGTTAAGTTTATACGTAAAGTTGACTACTTGTTTAACGGCTGTTTCATGCACAGAACAACTGCAAAGGACGAGGATATGAACAAACGAGAAAAACATGGTATTTTGCACAATTACACACTGCATTTGTAAAGTAAGAAAACAACTCACAATTCGCACATTTTCCTTAAGCTGTCCTTTATATAACGTACATCACTATTCACTTCTTGTTGTCACTATGACTGTTCTTTGCTTTCTCTTTATTATTTCGTCATTTTCCTACTTTCCCAGTAAGACTTCTACTTCCGATTCCTGCTACATATTCCTACGTATATCTATCTGACGCAAACTATGCAACCATCTACTTTTACCTTTTAAAACTGTCTCTTCGAGCTATATTTTGCAGTGTAGGACTAGGTTGGACGAAAGCTAGGGACATGGTAGAAATCCATGAAGTCACTGACAAGTGGACTGAGTCACGTTGGTAGATGTCGCCTACCTGGTTGGGGCCCGCGAAATGCTAATAATCGATGGCTAGAGACCCTGAGTGACATGGCTCAAAACCATTTGCAATGGCGCCGGTGCATCCATTCTTTATGTTCTCTCAAATCCTAAACTTTTTAACTCCTCATCACCTTTATCTTTTTCTTCATAAGTTTATTCCACTTGATTCTACTTCTTGAATAATATCGTCGAACGCTAATCTCTCCGATTACTGCTAATAACCTTTTCTACCTCTACTACTATGGGATTTAAATTGACAATTACATCTTTGTGCTAATATGATGTGGCAACATGAACATGTACGAAGTTCTACGTTGCTATTGATTAATTGTTTGACCTTTTAACATAAAAGAGAGATTGATTTCTTTCAAACCCGATTTATTGTGGTATTAATTCAGCATTCAATGCTCAATCTTTGTTCTTATTTCAATATTTTAAAAAGAGAACTTTTTAATTAAAGTAATTGTTAATTAGAATGGACTGTAAGATATATAAAAATAGTAATAATAATTATTATTATTACTATACTTTGAAAAAGTTTCCTTTGAAAATTATGAAAATATTTGTAAATTATTTTAAAAATAAATAATTAATTAGTTTAAATTATCAATTGATTAGTAGATTAATCGATCAATAATCGACATAGAGGCTGAGACAATTATGTTCATACTCAAGAGTAAATATATCTACTTTATTGATAGCTGACCCGAAGCTATGTCACTCAGTGTTTTCAACTATGGACAACAATTATCATGCAAACTTCAACCGAAATAGTTTCCATCTGCCTACATGATTCAGTCAGTTATAACGTCGAACTTCTTACGTAAACATCAGTTCAAGTTGCCATACCATGTAAGTGCACAGAGATCAAGTTGTCAGTTTAAGTCCCATAATCGGAAAGATTAGGGTCCAAATACATGATCTAGTAAGATAAATTCAGATGATGAGCAATTCAGAAGATTAGGATTTGAGAGATGACAAAGAATGAATGCTTCCACGTCATTGCAAACGATTTTGAGCCTTGTCGTTGAAAATCCCTAACCATCGGTTACTTTCGTCACGCGGACCTCAACCAGGTAGCCTACACTTATTAACATGACTCAGTCCACTTGTTAGTGACTTCATGGATTTCTGCCCTGTTTTGGTTTGGCCGCCCCTAGCCTTTTCCAACCTATTCCTACACTACAAAACATAGCTCGTCGAGGCAGTCGGTGGCTGGGCATTCGTAACACATGTCCCAACCACCTCAACTGATGGAGTTTCAGTACTTCATCTATTGATCTCCCAACTTTACCTAGTACTCGTTTCCTAATTGTAGGTTGTCACATGATACACGCGCAACGCTTCGAAGACATCTGTAATCTAATACTAATAACCCGCCAATATCCTCTGTTCTTACCGGCTATGTTTCGCATCCATTTAATAGGACTGAGCGAACTGCTGTGCAATAGTCTTATCCTTTGATTAGCAGACGGATATCTCGTTTACACCATAAGTGAAGTAAGTTGACAAAGGCCAATCGAGCCTTCTGCATCCATGTTGAGATTTTGTCAGTCACTATTAACTTTTGACATGAATCATGTCAGAGTCAATGATTTCATAATGAATTAAGCATGCAAGAAAATTGACTATCAATTTATTCGTCAAATAATCCTCATTTTAACTAAAAGAAAATGCTCATTAATGTATTTGACAAGAAAGTTTTCGAATGACTCCATTAAATCTATTTTTTGTTTTGTCGTTATTACTTACAACGTTTGTTCGTTCAAGTGTATTCGAAGTGTAAAGCTTTTATTGATCATGGTATAATTAATTTGTTGACTTCATTGAAATTACACGTCTTCTTTTTTTAAAACTTTTTATTGTACATTACAGGATCAATAATTGTGTTGGCGAATGTAATCAAAAGTACTTTATTCAATTTTTAATTTATGTTGGTAAGTTCATGTATAAATCTACATATTTTCTAAATGTTAGACTTTTTGAAGTGTAGTCTTTGTTATTTAAACTGATTACATGTGTGTATGGTGTGGTGATTGAATTAGACTTAATTTGTAAATAAGTTTTGTCGATAACTTCTATCTTCCATAATCACTCTCACACAATTTTTGTACATTTCTCATTATCGATCATAAAACCGCTTGTTTAAATCGCATTGTTAATTTCCTTGTATAAACTAAACATGATTATCGCGTATAGGATTGTGAAGATTGTTGAGCTTCATTGAAACCATGAATCGACCTATTTTAGACCACTATTGAAAACCTGGAAGCACTCGGTGGTGGCCATTTCGTCTCAGTGTGTGACTCATCACAACACAACCGGCGGGTTGAACGCAACACCTTCAGTCTCGCACGGGGTCACAACCTTGAGGTCGAAGATATTGAATTCGACTCCTGCATGCGGAACCATGGGTGCGCATTGCTGACGAGCCGCATACTAGGACAAAACGGTCACTCAGCGCTTCCAGGTTTTCTTTCAATGGTGGTGTAACAATGATTGGTCGGTCCAGGATTTTAATAAGCCTACCCAGTAGAATGATTATCGTTCATAGTTTTGTGAACAACGCTTTGACAACTCTTATATCCGCTCGGTTTCATATTTCTGGTTATTTTATATGATCTATTTTCTGTCTCCCACAGCAAATTTTAATGGTGGTGAATCCGCATTTTTATTTAGGAATTTAAATGGTTACGCGAAATGTTATTTGCGTTTTCGGATGCACAAATTTAATTGAACAGAAGAAATATTTTGCGTTATGTAATCGTCCAAATTAACTACTGGTATACAAGTTTCCTATACTTGAGCCCTTAACAGCTTCTGGTGTGAGGAAACTAATTTTATAAAGGGAGCTTTATTGACTTTGAGAAAATATGTACACTCTTTCTCCAGTAGAAACTTCTAAGCACTGAACGGCTGTTTTGTCCTAGTATTCAGCTTGTCACAAGTGTGCATTGACGACCCCCTGCTCGTGGGAATCCAACTCAGGACTTGAGGTCTCGCGCTTAAACTCAACCTCCTGGACCACTGAGCCAACATCCAACGGGTGTTAATGTCTAAGTTTGATCAATCTAAGGTTTTTGGCGTAACCTAACCTACTGTCTTCGGTGGATAACTGCTTCACACCCAACAGGGTTGAACTCCACTGGTTACGGTCATCCAATGCTTCTAGGTTTTTAATGGTGGTCTACTAATAATGGATTCATTATTTCAGTCAAACATCTGTTTAACTACCTATCCTCTTGTTTATTAACCATAACTAAGAGAGGGAATAAACTTTATATTATCAAGTCATCCATAAATTACAATATTCCGTTACATTGAGACATCAAACATTGTGGTGACACTGATAAACCAAAAATCACACACAACGAATAATCGCGACCATCATAAGTTCCAACAGCAATAATAATAATAATTCCTGTCTCATTCTATTTCGGTTAGTCGGTTAGCTACATAGTTAAAATGGCAAACGATAGTGAAGTTTATCCTTAGTTAAATTATGTACAGTCAAGTACATTAGAGAACCAAACATTTTAATATAAAATCAGGGTAAGAAGCTGAATAAACAATAATCCACTTACAATGTAGGTTTACACTAAGAGTCAGTCAGTCAGTCAGTTACAACGTAGAACTTCGTTTATGCGTACATAAGTTCAAGTCACCATACCACATTAACACAGTGACGCAATTGTCAGTTCAAATCATATAGTGGTAAAGATAGTAAAGGATTAACGGTAATGGAGAAGTATAATTCAGTGAGATAACTTTAGGAAGATGAAGGTAAAGGTGATGAGGAATTCAGAATATTAGAATTTCAGAGAGTACAGAGAGTGGATGCATCTGTGCCATTACATAGCATTGCTTACTCGCCTGTTCCAGGATATACGAGCAATGCTTCGAAGACATCTATAATTTAATGCTAATAACCTACAAATGTCCTCTACTCTTACGGCCCATGTTTCGAATCGATATTGTAGGAATGAGCGAACTTCTGCGCAGTAGACTCGTCCTTTGGTTAGCGGACGAATATCTCGCCTACTCCGTAAATGACGGGACTTGGCCAAAGCTAGTCGAGCTTGCTGTATCCGTGCTGGGATTTCATCAGACACCAAGCCATCAGCACTGATCAGACTCCCGAAATAAGTGGGGCAGTCGACACACCGTATCGCTTCACTCCCTATCTCTAGTTCAGGTGCCGATTCAACCCAATGCTGAGGCAACATTTTACATTTCGAGGGGGAAAACCACATCCTGAACGTGCCTGCTTTGTAGCTTAATGTTGTCTGGAGACTGCTGCATTTTGTCAGCGTCCTCACCAAATAGAACTATGTCATCAGCATACACTAAGTCAGCCAGCGTGTCTCCTGGTAGAAGGTCCACCCCTGAATAATGTTATATCTATGAGCATGTCTATGACAAAGTTAAATAAGAGAGTGGACATCCTTGACGGACGCAACTTGATGTAATCAATTCTGATGACAGTTTGCCAAAATCAAACTTTTTACTGAGAAAGAATATGATTGGTTTTTTCTTTTCCTGTGTTTGTATTCTGATTTCAGGTATTCTTTGTGTATATGCTTTGATATTGGTACTTATATGTCGTGCTATGATCTCGGCCAGTTTAAAAGATGACGCGACGAATGCAGATGTTATAGTTGTGTAAGTGTTGTAAGAATAAAATACTTAAGCTTTTTTATGATTTATTTATACTACTACTGTATTGTAATGATTTCATTCATAATTGTTATTGATTGTGTAAAGGTGTGTAGATAGAGGTGGGGCGAGTTTTTATTTTACAGTAAAAAACCTACATAAACACGGAGATAGCACGTACGAAACCCGAAAATGTTTTTTTTTCGGACTAATATATTGATATCCAATAATTACTGATAAAATTTTTAAACACACACATCAGCATCAGCTTTGTTTGGTATATAGAAGTAGAATGGAAGAAAGCTAAGGGCAACTAAACCAAAAACAAAGCACAAATCCATGAAGTTACTGACAACTGGACTGAGCCATGTTATTAAGTGTAGGCTACGTGGTTGGGGTCCGCGAGACAAAAGTCACCAATGGTTAGAGACCTTGAACGACATGGCTCAGAATCGTTTGCAATGACGCAGGCACATCCACTTTTTGTGTTCTATGTAATTCTAACCTTCTGAATTACTCATCATCTTTATCTTTCGCTTTCTAAAGTTATGTCGCTGAACTATACTTCTTGAGCAATATGTTCGATCCTTAATATTTTCCTTTACCGCTCACTCTTCTATCTTCACCAGTGTGTGATTTGAAGTGACAAGTACGTCTCCTTGCTAAAGTGGTATGTTAACCTGATCTTATGTACTTACTTACGAAGTTCTACGTTGTAACTGACTGACAAACTGATGTATGGTTCGTACGAACCAAGATGCCCTGCTCTGTAAACTAACTGATTGATCAGTGTTAGGAGACCAATGTCATTTAGATAAATGCAATGAATCCAATTCTTGTGCATAGTGTTTCTTTTGTATAATATCTATGAATTTCATTTGTCTATCACATAATCTTAGCATTAATTAATTTTTATATTTTTTTTTAAAAAAAATCTTTAACAATTATCAGAATAATATATAATTTTTCGATGTCATCACATAGTTGTTTGTGAATAATGCTTAAACTAACTGAAGACTAATTAATAATTACATGCGACGACGACGACAACTTAGAATTGAATGTTTACTTATTCACAGATTGATTCATTGATTTAGGAAGTTAATAGTTAGAATTAAAAAAAAAAATAAATGGAAGTTTAGTTCCTACTTTTGCGGATGTGAAACATGGGCCACTAAAGAGTAGAGGATACTCATATTTTACTAGTTTTCGATGATAGGTTACCTCGAAGCATTATTCGTACACCCTGGGATCATCGAATAAGCAATATTAATATAAGAAAATAAGAACTAGGTAAGGATGACAAATCAATTGATGAAGTAGAGAACCACTGACTACCTCGACGAACAATGTTGTCTGATTTAGGGATAGGCTAGAAGAAAGCTAGTAGCGGCTAAACCAAACCATGACACCCATTTCATGAATTTAATGACAACTGGACTGAGCTCCGTTAGTAGGTGTATAATACCGGGTTGGTGTTCGCGAGATGATAGTAACCGATGGTTAGAGACGTTGAATGACATAGCTCAAAATCGTTTGCAATGGTGCAGGTGCATTCATTCTTTGTGTTCTGTGAAATTTTAATCTGGATTCTTCATGCGCATTTTCCTTCTCTTCCTAAATTTACTTTACTGGATCATACTTCTTGAATTATATCTTCGAACCCTAATCTTTTCGATTATCGCTGATACTGCTGCTATCTATACTATTATGGGACTTGAGCTGTCAATGCGATATGTCAACTTGAACTGATGTACGTACGTACGGAGTTCTCCGTTGTAGCTGACTGAATGACCTATGTTATTGAGTTTTAAAATTTATTTATTTATAGTTGACATATTCGGTTATACATGTTGAATTCTATAATTAGATATCGAGAAACACTGAACAATTGTTTCGTCCCACTCTTGTCACTCTTCGTCAATGTTCACTTACGACCCTACCATTGATTGATTGACCTCAGGACATCCAAACCTCATAGTTGAGCTCTCGATTCACCCAGTCAGTATCCCATTGTTTACATGTCTAGTTCTAATCAATTCGTCAGTTGTAAACAGCACATACACACGGTCGAACATTCAAGAGATCATTTTTTTACAGATTGAAATCATAAATGAATCATTGTTAGACCATCATTAGAAACCTGAAAGCACTGAAAGACGTCCTTTTCATCCTGGTATGAAACTCTTCATAAAGCTACATTCAGAACTCTTGCTACTCACAGGATTCGAACACAGGACTTTCGATCTTACACGCAAACGCTTAACGTCCAAGGATGTTAATATCTAACTCTAATCAATCTAAGGATTTCGCGCAACCTCACTCATTGCCTACATCCGATAGGGTTGAACTCCACTGGTCACGTTTTCTCACTAAAACTCCGAGAATATCCTTACGAAGTTAGTCAATAGTGAGCATATTTATTTTGTCGTCTACTACAAATATGTTTTTGAATAATTTATCTATATGAACACTAGTTAATGAATATTAATTTCATAGTTATATATGTATATATATATATATATATATATATATATATATATATATTTACTTACTGATTATTATTTCATATTGATTTATTCTTTTACATTCAGTGCTCATACAATTGTACTTGTAGCAATCTCTTGTCTATTTGGCTTGTTTATTTTGGCTATACTATCAGATCAGGTAATTTTTTAAATAATAAATTATTTATAATAAATATAACCATGTATTAATATTACTTATGTTAAACATTAAGAATACAGTTCAGGAAGAAGTTATGTGTATAGAAGAAATACTGGCACTGAAGACCTAAATAGAGATAGAGCGAATGAATCTCTGTGCCTTATTCTGAAGCATATCAGTTATATTCTTAAACCAATAAGTGGACTCCAACCAGGGAGTTTCCATTCACCAATACAATTCAGTTCTATAGACTATGATTTCATAAAGTGGTGCCAAGTTTTGGTTTGGACATTCCTCCTAGTCATCCTAAAATATCCCTGCATTAGTTAGTCATCACATGTTAAGGATGGTTCAAGGTGTGTATCACTTGTCTCAATGAATTGAGTTTATAAAGACTCACTATCTCATCAATCGATTTCATTTATTCAGTCATTCAGTCAGTCTCGTGTGCTATGACAGGTATGAGTGTACATGTCACTTACCAGCTGCCCACATCGTGGACAGATGTTTCTTGGGGAACCTGAAAACGAAGTTACATTAACGTTGGAACTAACGCACTAGAAGTGTGACCGAAAAGATCAGGTGATAACTGCTTCAGGCCAGTCACTCATGGCCTTCTTATCCGAAGATTTTGAAGTGTTACCTTCGCTCTTCAAGTGGTATTACCGCCTGAGACGGAAATCTGTGGGGTAAGGCAAGATGTGACATTTTTATGATCGACTTTCTAACATCTTCCTTCCTTTTGAGATGGTGTTTGTCCGAGGGAAACACCTTACTACTGTCACAAACCTCTACAGTCAGCAGTACGACATGGCCCTAAGACCTTGATTTCCTGCTTTTAGTCTTACCGTTCTCCAACCGACCTGACTGGCATGGTAGGTCCTAAGTAAACATATGTTCCAGCCATAATGGCTTGGTTGGGTCATTACGATAAGCAAGTCCGACCACCACATCAAAGTAGCAGCTACGGTCGGGATTTAATTTCTTCAGTTCGTACCCTTCTTTCAATCTAAATATTATTAATCATTTGCTTGTTGCATGATACACAAGTAATGCTTCAGAAACACCTATGAATCAAAACGTGAAACCTACACATGTCTAGTGATTTCACAGAGCATGATTCAGAACTATGAAGTAATGCTGGGAAGTCTTCTGAGTAGTTTATTTACCGATTGTTTGGAAGATGAATATTTCTCTCATGCCACAAGTGACGTAAGTTACCAAAGGCCAAACGAGCGTCTGATTCCGTGGAGAGACTTCGTTTTGGCTGACAAAACTTCCAACATGAGTGGATGGGTCAACACTTTTATCTACTTACCTCCCTATGACCAATCTAAGCACTGAATTATCACTAAACTTAGTGTAGAGTTCCGCCATTTAAACCTAGGATATAATATTCAGATCACAAGTTTAAACAATATTGCTTCGCTTCGGTTTATACAGTTGACTAGTAGGTCTGGTTTGCCAAATAAGAACACGAACATACTTAGTTGAATTGATTACTATTCATCTAAGTAGCTATTTTTCTTAGTCTCATGCGTAATAATTTGAAACTGCTAATTTCTTATGTCAGTCTGATCATTTGGCTCTTCAGTCAGTGGGTCAGCTACAATTTAGTACTTCATACGTACGTACATCAGTTCAAGTCGGCATGCCACATTAGCACACAGAGATCGAATCGTCAATTCAAATCCCATAGTAGTTAGTATAAGCAGTAGAAGTGTTAGCGGTAATGGGAAAGATCAGGGTAGAAGATATTATTCAAGAAGTATAATACATTTGAATAAATTTTAAAAAAATGAGTAAGATAAAGGTGATGAGTAATTCAGAAGGTTAGAATTTGACAGAACACAAAGAGTGGATGCATCTGTGCCATTGCAAGCGACTTTGAGCTATGTCATTCAGGGTCTCTAACCATCAGTTACTATCACCTCGTGGAGACCAACCCGGTATTATACACTTACTAACGTAGCTCAGTCCAATCGTCAGTAACCTTATGGATTTGTGCCATGTTTTTGGACTGGTTGCCTCCAGCTTTCTTCTATTCTCCCCCTTCACCACGAAATATAGTTCGCCGAGACAGGCATACGCAACATTTGTCCCAACCACCTCAACTGATGAAGTTTCAATACTTCATCAATTGTTCTGCCATTCTTACCTAGTACCTTTTTCCTAACAACAGTATTGCTTACTCGATTTTTATAGGATATACGAGCAATGCTTGGAATAAACCTATTATCAAACACTAGTAAAATATGAGTATCCTCTATTCTTAGTGTCCATGTTTCACACCCATAAAGTAAGACGGAGCGCATTGATATGTGTCACATGAAGAATTATGTTTTCAACATTTCCATCCACACCACCAAGCTGGTTTAGAAATACATTGGCTATAAACACTGCCCTCAATATACAATCACTGAGTATTGGACTTATTGAATATCTCCTAGTTTCAATTCATGGACTTGGTTGTCATTCCTCTTAATCCCTCTAACCTCAACTCATTAAAAATACAATACCGGAAGAAAAATTTATCATTAACGATTAATAAATGTTGATGTTTTTTTACAAACAACGCATGTGTACGTACGTATAAACACCTTGAAAATGTGTTGAACATTCAGCGTAGGTGCTACTAAAAGATTTGAAGGACGTTAACTCCTTTACATATCTTGGCAGCATCATCGACAACCAAGGTGGATCCGATGCAGATGTGAGGGAGTGGATCGGCAAAGCAAGGGCTGCATTTCTACAATTAAAGAATATCTGGAACTCGAAACAAATATCAATCAACACGAAAATCAGGATTTTCAATACAAATGTCAAGATAGTTCTACTGTATGGAGCGGAAACTTGGAGAACTACGAAAGGCATCATCCAGAAGATACCAGTGTTTATGAACAGTTATCTATGCAAAATACTTCGGATTCGTTGGCCAGACACGATCAGCAACAACATACTGTGGGAGATAACAAATCAGATTCCAGTGGAGGAGGAAATCAGGAAGAAGTGGTGGAAGTGGATAAGACACACACTGCGAAAAGCACCCAACTGAGTCACAAGATAAGCCCTCACACGGAACCCTCAAGGTAAAAGGAAAAGAGGAAGGCCGAGGAACACATTACGCCGATAAATAGAGAAAGATATGAGAAGAATGAAAAAAAACTGGAAAGAACTGGAAAGGGAATCCCAGGACTGAGTTGGTTGGAGAAAACTGTTGGGCGGCCTATGCTCCATTGTGTTGGGGTAACATGCGTAAGTAAGTAAGTAAGTAAGCAAGCTACTAAACGACCTGTCAACCCATAGAGAAGAAAGCGTTGTCTCTAAACGCAGTGAATAAAGCAATTCAAAGATGATTCTTTCGAAATTTCGACATGAAAATTCTTTTATTTCTGTGTGTTTTCTTCTTGTTTTTTTTCTAATTTTACTGTGCACTAAAAATTTTTTTTAACTAAATTAGTACAAGTCAATTGTTGAAGATACAACTGCAGTTGAAGCTTGGCAATTACACTCGGCTCCACATTCTTCATCTGATCCAGAAGCTTATCCAAATGGTGATGGTGGCGGCGGTGGCGGAGGTAGAGGATTTGGTCGTAAACTATCCAAATTAACTTTGTTTCGTGAAGTTTTTGGCACTGGTCAGTCGTAATTAGTTATTTATTTATTTTTGTATGATAAAGGCTGTTATTACTGCCTCCACTCTTTGTACTGCTTATACTAACATCTACTGCTTAAAATCCTGATGTTTATAACCACAGAGATTGGTGGATGTAATCCCATCTGACTGGTTTCAATCACTGATTGTCCCAAAAAACAACAAAAGTCCTTCTGTGACAATCACAAGGGAATCAGTTTATGTAATTTAGTATCTAAAATATTAGCTTCAATAATACTCCGACACCTAACTAGAGCTCGTAAAGGCAGACTCGAGAAAACCAGGCTGGTTCATGACCTTACGACAGGTCCTGGAACACAGACAACCATTTCGGCGTCCATGAAGTCATTGACAACTGGACTGAGCCGTGTTTGTAGATATAGACTACCTGTTTGGGGTCCACGAGACGATATTAACTGATTGTTAAAGACCTTGAATGATCTGACTGAAAATTGTCTTTAATGGCTCAGATACATCCACTTTTTGTACTCTCTGAAATCCTAATCTTCTGAATTCCTCGTCACCTTTATCTTTCTCTTTCTAAACTTATTTCACTGAATTATACTTCTTCAATATTATCCTCGAACCGTTATCTTCTCCATTATTAGTAATACTTCTACCATCTCTACCACTATGGGATTTGAATTGAAAATTCGATCTCTTTGCGCTTATGTGGTTTGGCAACATGAACTGATATACGCACGTACGAAGTTGTACGTTGTAACTGACTGACTGATGGGGGCTCGTCAGCGACAATGTACATCCACGACACTTTCGTTAGGGATTGACCCCAGGACGGTTATTTTCAAGTTGTAAATGTTCCCTGGAGATATGATTGGAACATGTATTACGTACTCTCAGCCACTGCCTACTCTGACAAGCGATGTTAGTAGATTGTATGACTATTCAGGCCGATGCACATGTTTCCAATCCTACATTGCTTATGACTGCTTAACATCAATGGGAGTAACCTAATATTCTTGGTACCTATTTTATGTAAGCATATGTCACGACGACGTTATCGAGGCAGCCCACATCGGATGCTCATACATCAACCAAGACTGAACGAATTTCAGTGAAAATTTCATTGACAACCTTATCCAAACCGTTTCAAATTGAATTAGATCTGATTGCACTCATTGCACTAGGGAACTTTTGAACTCAGTAGCTAAGTGGATATTGCGATGCCGGGTTCGAGTCCCAGAATGGAAACCTACTGTGTAGTGTAGGTGCATCCAACACTAGAGAGAGAGAGAGCAGTCCCAAAACAGGACGAAACACGCGCGCCATGGATTATTCCATTGCCATTTGTCACATTCTCTATGTTTTTGTATAAACTCCAATGTATGTTTTTTGTATTATTGTATTTGGTTTTTGTGAATACACAGAAAACCTGAAACAAGTTTTGCATTATCAAATAATTTCCTATATCTTTCTTTTAACTTTATAGGTCCATTCTATTCTTGGCTACTACCATGTTCATATGTTTTCAAACCTTATCCAAAATACTATACTGCTTTATCCGATATTATTCAAGATGTGAACTATTCTGTCAATATTCATGATAACAATAATCTTAATGCTCATCATGTTCGTCATGACATCATCGATGATAAAATAACACCAACAATCACTACAACTACATCATTCTCTGCTGGAATTTCAATCGAGTCAGATAGTTCTTCTTATTCGTCGTCGTCTGTTGGTACTGCTGCTTCAAATTCATTGGCTAATCATTATTAATTTTTATGTTTTTATGAGATGTTAGTTAGTTCATTCAGTACAAATCTATTTATTGTAATTTGTTGTGTAAATGTGTATACAATGAAAAAAAATTGTAGCTTACTCTTCGTTCTGTTTTCCCCTTGCTTCCTTTCAAATTGCCATCACATTTTACACTGTTTTGTACACCTGTGTTTTTTTCTCATTGTTGCCAATCCACGCATGCCCAACCCTTTACTTTTATCCGCGCCTGGGGCTAGCAGGAGTAGCCTCAGACGGAGCTCCAGGCGTAGTTAATTTCCATAATATTAGAAATATAATTTAAATCCATCCAGACACTTATTGGTTTTCTATGTCATTTTAATCAATCGGTGGAAAATGACAGATCTCTATTATCATTAGTTGATTGCTTTATGTGATAAATAGATTGTTGGTATTATTGTTACAAGCACTCCAGTATTGTTCTTCATTTGTATAAATGTGTATGTGTGCGTACGTGTGTGTGATAGGTATAGACAGATCAAGATTACCCTACTCATATTTTGGTAACAATGAAATAGGATTTGTTTGTATGCTTTGGTGTGTATTATTGGTCTGCGATTTCGGTGAGTGTACTTCTGTGTGCGTGTGTGCTTGTGTGTGTGTACACTTCTTATGGAGAGACTAGTTTTGTTATTATCATTTTGATGATTTCTTGCTGCGCCTTCATTATCTCTTTGACTAATGATGTGCTGTTCATTACACAACACTCTAGATTGTACTTTTTTTTCCATTTTGCCATCTTTTACATGACTTCATCAATATGTATGTAACTTTTTTCTTGTTTGTACACTGTTTTTATTGTATTGTATTGTATCATATTGTGTATTCTCTGATTTAATTTTATTCTTAACAAGATATATTCTACGCTTTTCTAATGTTGATGACGTGTAGTAGTAGTTAGTAAGAGGAGGAGAAGGCGAAAGAGTTTGTACTCAAAGAATAATAAATGAAATATTATTATTGTTATTATTTGGAATTGAATAATTCATTGATAGTTACGTAGCAGATTGTTTGATTGATTGATTGACTGACTGACTGATTGTTTGATCGATTCTTCTTGATAAAAATGTATTGATGAATGTGTTTATGTAAGAAAATGAAAATGTGTTCTTTCCTCCAATTTTTTTTTCAACAATGAAACGAATTTTCCACTATAGAGTTGTTGTTTATTACTGAAATGTGAATCAATCTAATGAGAAGACATGACCAGTGGAGTTCAACCCTACTGAAGACAATTTGGTGAGGTTGCACAAAATCCCTAGATTGATCAGAATTAAACGTGAACACCGGCCTAGTAGTCCAGAGGTTAGACATTCACACGCAAGACCGAAGGTCTTGATTTCGAATTCCGCGAGTAGTTGGAGTCGTGGATGTGCGCTGCCACTGATGAGTCCCATACCAGGACGAATTAGCTGTCTTTCTGTGCTTCTAGGTTTTCAAATGGTGGTCTAACGATGACTGATTCACATTTCAGTAATAAAACAAATGTGATATAGAGAAAGTCATAGTTAATGAATTTTTTTTGATGGTAGATTATATTTCATAGACGAAATCGGATTTAGAATGAAAATATACTGGTTTGATGAGGCGCTCATCATGAATGCACTCCAGTGCTAGCCATAATCCATGCATTATGTAGAGTTTGTGATAGAATGGCCATAAAGCAGTATTCTGTACTCAATGTAGACATGCCATTAATCGCTGATCATAATTCATCCAAGTTCATTCTCATAGATCACGACCGTAGCTGCTACCTTGATATGGTGGTCTGGCTTTCCTATCGTGATGACCCAACCGAGCTATATTGGCTTGAACATATATTCCTGTAGGTTCTGCCATTCCAGGCAAGTCGATTGAAGAATGGTGAGACTAAAAGCAGGAAATCAAGGTCTGAGGGCGAAGTCGTACTGCTGACTGTAGAGGGGTGTGACAGCAGTAAGGTGTTTCCCCTGGACAACCAGCATCTGCAGCGATGCTGCTTTCTCACAAGAAAGGAAGAGATTAGAAAACGTTGACCATGAAATGTCACACCTCACCTTACCTCACGGATTTCCGTCGCCGACGATGATGCCTTTTAAAGAGCGGAGTTGACACGTTAGATACTCCTCACAATGAGGTTGTGTGTGACCGGCCTCAAGCAGTTGTCCCTCGGGCACTGCGGTCACACTCCTAGGTCATTAAGACAGAAGCTAACCCAACTTCTTTTTCGGGATCCTCAAAAAACACCCTTCCATGGTGTGGGCATTTGGGAAGTAACATACTCGTAACAGCATATGATGATACCTTATAGATGAATATAGTATAAACGAGGACGAGATCATAACTTAATCAAAGATAAGAAATATGCGCAGATTATTATTCTTATTACAGTAGACTAAATGACCAAATCGATAGTAATTATTGGATACCAACTGCAACTGTAAGTGATTTATTAATGTGTGCACTTCATAATGATGTTTGTAAACGCCTTATCTTCATTGAGATCGATGGTTTGATTATTGATCTAGATGACAATATTATCAGTGCCTACCTACTTCACATAGAGAAGTAAGCTGCTTATTTCACAAGATTTCAAATATATGTTCAGCTAAACGAATACAACACCCAAAAACTAACCTTCATAACAGTGGTAATATGTAGTTGAAAATGATATATGAAATCGCAGTTACTTTGATAGCGGGTTAAATGTTTCGATTCAGAATCTTGGAGTTATTTGACTAGTTATCATAATCATATTTGTAAATAAAAGGGAGAGAACTGATGAACAGTGATATATGGCTCAAACGAATATTTTTTTGCAAAAAGCAGAAGTGGATTGAAGGTTTGTAGAAAATCGATAACCATTAGTAGTAGTATCACGTGAACCAGAAATTCTGTTTCTATACGTACATTGAGGTTAAACGACAAAGTTCCATCTCTGCATAACATAAAAGTTTGTCTGAAATTCATGTACTTGACATTCAAAGACTGTTATCTAGTGAATGTGAGCTGTGCTGACGAAACATGTCAGCCTGTATCACACTGAGTTTATATTAATTCTTGTATTCATATTTAAATAAAATGCAAGATAAGGTATAATAATTTCGACTTGTTAGGTAGAAATGTTCTCTGCCTAACCAATGAGCAAGGAATGACACATCCAGCCACACTAGCTGTACGATACGAGTAGTAGGTTGGAAGAAAGCTAGGTGCGGCGAAACTAAAACATGATACAAATCAATGAAGTCACTGACGACAAGTGGACTGAGTCATGTTGGTAATTGTAGACTATCTGGTTGGGTTCCTAGAGATGATGATAACCGATGGTTAGAAACGTTGAATGACATGGATCAAAGTCGTTTGCTATGGCGCAGATGCATCCTGAACTTCTTGATTCCTCATCACCTTCATCTTTCTCCTTCTAAACTTATTTGACTGAATTATACTTCTTGAATAATACCTTCGAACCTTAATCTTCTCCATTACTGCTACTGTGGTGCGAACTACTTATAAGTAGTATATAACGTGAGTGTCAACGTAAAGTCTGGTAGCATAATATGGGGGGAAGATCAAGAAAGGAAGAGTTAGAACACAATGGAATTTGTATGAAACGCATGAATAGTGACAATGGATTGATGTTTGGCAACAGGAACAGTCCAGTTCCATAGGATGAACTGATCTTTTGCAAATGAACAATTTACGAAATGGTTTTCCGATTTTACTGAGTAACTCTGTAATTTTCGTTAAATACAATTCGGTTGCCTCACCTGTGTTCTCATTCACTACACTACTACTACAATCGCTACCACTAAGGGATTCGAACTGACAATTGCGTCTGTGTGTTAATGTGGTATGGCAACTTGAGCTGATGTACGTACGTACGTACGAAGTTCTACTTTGTAACTACTACTACTTATAATACTAAAAGGCTAATGGTTGAACTTGTTAGATTAGTTAATTCAAATAATGTTACTAAATGTCAGTTATTTGAAAATTAAAACAAAAATGGTATGGTTTAAGATATGGCTAGTTAATTAGATTATCAAGTATGCTTCGTTGTCAATGTCGTTTTAGATTCAATAAGCAGTAATTAAAACACCGTTTCTATTCTGTGATCAACAATCTAAGTTTGTACATGAAATGATGATACAGTTAACTTGTGAATAGATATGGAAAGTCAAAATTGTTGGGCAATAGACATTTGTTTGTCAATGTACGGACGAAATTATGTTCTTTAAACTCGGGTGTTAAACTGTGAAGCTTTCATTGGTTTTTTTAGATTACATTTTATATTTCTAAACTTTGACGCATACAACTAACCTTGATTTTGATTGGCTGTTGTCGATTGTTGTTTTGTACTTTTCTGTATACAGTTATTTTGATTGCTCTCCCGATTGTCTTGACTATCTAAATAAAATATACTGGCAATCAGATTACACTGTTCAACACAACTAATCAAAATCAAACTTAACAGAACAAGGAGGAATTCGTTTATTCCATTTTTATCTGAAGTTTATTTATCCAGATGATAATATTGATTAGAAAGGTCAATGGAAAGTTTACCATTCAACTACTCCTACTTCAAAGAACTTAATCTCACCAAGATCATCTCCTTAGTCGGTGGTATCATTTTAGATATCATTGTATAGATAACCAAATGGTGAAGAAAGTGTGTATCTCAGGTGGATGATTGTGGCGGAGTTTCGTTCTCTGAGCTGGGGGATGTTTTTATTGTGGAGCTTTGATCATTGTTCTTCTTCTTCTGAACCAACTTCAAATCCAGCTCCGAGAACGAAACTCCGACCACAATAGAGATAACCAACTGTGCAGGTTATTACTTTTGTACCAATAAGTTTTTTGGTTGTCTTACGAAAACGCTCAACAGAAAAAAGCGTTTTCTGCATTTTTATTTTTACACTGTTAATTGTAAATCTTTCAGATGAAAAAAATAGTTTTTGTAATATTAATTCGTAGTTCGTAAAAAAGATTTCTTTTACAACTTCATTCCTTTCTATTTACAACAGTACTACTAATGAACGAACTGAATTGATGTGATGATATGGCTTACCGAACTTACATCAATAAACATTGTACAATTTTATCATGGTAAGGCATATTAATTAAACACACTTAGTATGCTTATTATTCTTGTTAAAATGTATTATTCAATATGTTACGCCTGCACGTAAACACGTCAACTTGATATACTTGAACTACTACGAGTTTGCCTAGTCGGAAAACGAGAGCGAGGATCCGGTGACGCGACATACTACTCAAATCCAATTATTCCAGCCCCATATTGAGTGAAAAATAAGAAGACGTGATATGAAGTGGAACATGTATTCTACAAGCATCCAGAAAGTACGAGGTCCGAATCCATCCAGGATGCCGGACTAGGGACCCGGGATCGAGACCTGGTCCTGGTCGTGGTCATAAAACGTTACAGATGATGCGTATATATACATTTTGGTCGAATAGGAAACAACATCGAAGTGTGTGACATTGACAGTTAAGACGACCAATAGGAAGTAACATTTGAAATGACATTTACAGTCCAGATGACCAATAAGAGACAACATTGAAGTATTTGACTTTGACAGTTAAAACGACCATAATTTTGACCAATAGAAATCGATCAATATGATTTGACCAATAATTCTCTTAGGATATTGGATGAATATCCTAACACAATACTGAATGATTAATTATTGTTTTAATAATAGAAGTTTACTATTGTTGTGTTTGTTGTAAAAAAAGCAGATCTACAGACTATAAATTCTGACAGACAGTGAAAAAAACAATTACCTGTACTGGAGCCCATATGTTAAGATAGTCAGTCAGTATGATAGTTGTTTTATCGAGTAAGACTAACCCGTCATCGTAGTGAGATAACAACCGAGGTCTATGCTTAACTCCTGACTAGTCCAAGATGGTTCAACAACTGCCTACTAGCTTATGCTTGATTTGCAAGATAAAAACAAGAACACTGTAGACAGATTAATGTCTACTGTATAATTGTAGTTCACAGCTCAAAGCTATTGTAACACAACATGGGTTAGTGCCTTCAACCTTACACAGTAGCGTAAATTGGAAAATTCACCATAATCGAAAGAGAAATGACTGGTAGATCCGGTGTAATGTGTGTACTTTTTATGTCAACCACAGAGGGTTTCAAACCTTGGTTGTTTTTATTCTAGGGTGTGTGTGTGTGTGTGTGTGTGCAATGCTTACTTCGCTTATTACATGTCCAGCGTGTTTATATATCAGTGTCAGTGTGTCTGACAATAAATACTTACACATTTTGACATCATGAATCGATCAATGTTAGACCACCATTTGAAAACCTGGAAGCACTGAAAGACGGCCTTTTCACCCTGGTATGGGGCTCGTCAGCAGTGCGCATCCGCGACTCCAACTACTCGCGGAATTCGAACACAGGACCTTCGGTCTTGCGTGCGAACGCCTAACCTCTGGACCGTTGAACCGGTATCTAATGGTGTGAATGTCTTCGATCAATTCACGGTCTTGCGCAACCTAATGTACTGTCTTCGGTAGTTACTGTCGACACCCGGACAGGTTGAACTTCACTGATCACGACTTCCCACTAGAACTTGGAGAAGATTCCTCACGGAGCTAGTCACTAGTGAGTGTGTAACTTACTAATCTTCACAACCCCGTAATATAAATACTTAGTCATGCTCTATCGCATAGAGTTAGCTCACTGGCCTTCTCCACTTTGTTTAACTTGTGTGATTTTTAATGCGCATGTCTGTCTGCGTGAACAATTGCATGAACTAAACTCATCCACAAAACTGTATTTGGTTTCTCACTACAACCATCGCACAAACGGCGTTCGCCTAAGTATGATATACATAAATCAAGGGGAAGATTTATTTCACTGCATACTCGGCCGTTCACATAGACTGGAGTTAGGTCGCAGGCCATTAAAGCGGCGGGCCCTCCTTCGAATCCAACTCAGCTACCAAACCATAATAACATTATCAATAATTTAAGTTGTGTTCAATGCAGAACAGCCGTTAATCCGTCGCGAAGAACCTATTAGATAAAAGATATGACGATGAAATAAAAATGTCAACAATGTAATCCTCAGTAAAATAACAATTCCAAAAGTCCAGCTAAATTTAAATTCTTCTCAATATGATAGTTTATCGTTGAATTCCTTTTATTTATTTTGTTACCTAAAATACAATATAATCTGGTAGCTTACTTACTTACGCCTGTTACCCCCAATGGAACATAAGCCGCCGACCAGTATTCTCCAACCTACTCTGTCCTGAGCCTTCCTTTCCAGTTCTGTCCAATTTTTGTTCATTCTTCTCATATCTGTCTCCATCTCTCGGCGTAATGTGTTCTTTGGTCTTGAGGATTCCAAGTGAGAGCTTGTCTTGTGACGCAGTTTAGTGCTTTTCGCAATGTGTGTCCTATCCACTAACTACAGGGCTTCTTTCTCGTTTCTTCCACTGGAATCTCGTTCGTTCTTTTTCACAGTAGGTTGTTGCTGATAGTGTCTGGCGCTGACAGCTGTTAACAAACGCCTTTATTTTCTGGATGATGGCTTTCGTAGTTCTCCAAGTTTCCGCTCCATACAGTAGAACTGTCTTGATATTTGTATCGAAAATCCTGATTTTGGTGTTGATTGATAGTTGTTTTGAGTTCCAGATGTTGTTCAATTGCGAAAATGCAGCCCTTCCTTTCCTGATCCACGGCTTCACATCTGCAACGGATCCACCTTGATTGTCCATGATGCTGCCCAGATATTTAAAGGTTTCCATGTCCTCCAATTCAACTCCACCAAATGTGATTTGGTTGGCGCATGTTGTGTTGTATCGGAGAATCTTGCTCTCTCTTTTGTGTATGTTGAGACCTGCTGCTGCTGCTATACTGGTTCTCTTCTTTTGGATTGGTTGTAACGTGTGTGATATAAGAGCCAAAAAATAATCTGTAAAGATGAAGATGATTTTTTTCAACAATATCAAACAGTGAATACTAATTAAATCAGAAATCAAACGTTCACTGATAGAGTTTGAAAAATGTTCATAAAACGATTGTTTCATACTTCTCGTAGTGTTGAGATCATCATCTCACAATCAAATCTGCTAGTGCTTGCAATGTTAAATTTGATTTATTTTGGAACAAAATGGTATTTTCAACCAATTTGAATACTCTCTTCACTTCAATTTTGTCAAACCAGTAATGTTTGTCAGTTTAATGGTTGTAGAAAATTCATTGATATCATGAATCTATCAATATTAGACCATCATTGGAAACCTGGAAGCAATGGATGGCTGTTTTGTTCTAGTATGGGACTCGTGAGTGGCGTTGCGTATCCGCGACCCCTCCGTTTGCGCGAGTCGAACCTAGGACCTTCGGCTTTGGTCCTGAACGCTCAACCTCTAGACCACTGAGTCGGTATTCAACGGTGTTAGTGCCTAACTTCAATCAATCCAAGGTATTGTGTAATCTTATAATAAGCTTCTAGGTTTTCGGTAGTGGTCTAACAATAATCGATACATGATTTCAATGAAACAATAGTGTTGATAGACATTTTGTTATTCGATAATATTCTACTTCTACAACGGTGTATATTAAGAATGAATTAACCTTGTTCGTATGATGAATTTAGTGGCCTTTGATCTAACTCCAATTTGTACGAACGAATAAATATGCTATGAAATGGAAAATTTCCATATACTATGCTTAGGCGAACCTCTTTTGTGCGACGGCGGTAATCAGAAGCTGGTTACATGAGTTTATCTTATGCAATTGTTCGCACTAACAGACATGAGAAAACAAAGTGTCTAAGCATACTGAAGCGAAGACATGACCAAGTATTTATAGTCAGGCAGTAGTAGGCTAGACATGTAATAAGCTAAGTAAGCATGTACGTACAAATACAAACAACCAAGGTATAAGCAAATAATTGATAAGGTCGAAAGACGTGTGGATGACTCGAGAAGAATGGTTTAATTAATTTGTCCCAAGCAGATTCAAATTCTACTTCATCATACGCTTCCGTGGACAAACAGGCACAAGCTACTGACTATTAAATATTTTTTCCATTTAGAGTTCTGGAGATTGTTGTTTATGGCTGAATTCATGAATTAATCATTGTTAGACCATAATTAGAAACCAGGAAGCACTGGACGGCCGTCTCGTCCTGGCATGAGACTCATCAGATGCAGTGCGCATCCACGGCTCCCCAGATTGATCAAAGTTATACATTAATACCGTTGGATGCAAGCTCAGCTGTCCAGAGTTTGGGCGTTCACGCGCAATTGGTTCAAATCTTGAGTGTAGCAGGAGTCGTGAATGCGCACTGCCTCTGATGAGTCCCATACCCTGACGAAACAGTCGTCCAATGCTTCCAGGTTTCTAATGGTAGTTTAACATTGATTGATCATGTCCCTGATTTCTACTCCGGACTCATTGAGTGTAATTGACTGTAGTCGTGCGGACTAAGGCTTTGTCATTCATTTTCGCGGGTTCTGCATTTTCTTCCTGAATTGTTTATCTATCTTAACGGGATCTAGTCTTGGAGTAGTATGCCCGTCAAGTAATCTGATTCAGTTACGTTCTAATCTGCGTCATTCCAGACTAGTATTATTTGATCGTTTTTATCTCAGTATGATATTATTATTGTAATAATTTTTTAATAGCAGTAATATAGCTTTAAAAAATCAATAATTTATTTGTTTTTATTTTTTCTTGATTTTTATCAGTCTGAATTAGTGGATTATTCGGATTCCGATAAATCAGAATCCGATATTTTATCAAGTGACCATGAAACATTACCAAATCAAATTACATTGCAACATTCAAATTCGGTTGATTTCGTAGAAGAAGAAGACTTTTTCAATCTAAAGGATACTGATAACGAAAGTAATGGTAAGCTTTATGATATGAATATATAACATTTTCATTGTAAAGATAAATAATGAACTTAAGAACAAGAAATCTGTTCTAATCCAAAATGTGATTACAGTAAATTTTCATGACGTGTGTAGGTTCGAGTTCCGACAGCGATACATACTCATCCCTCAAAACTATCCACTTGAACTAGAATACAAGACTGGAATTGCAAGTCTACCAAGTGATATGTACAAATATTCGTCTGCTTATGTGCATATGTATTCCTGGCTCCTTAGAAAGGAAGCCACTTCTTGACCAATGATATATATTTGTCCTTTAGGAAATGTTTTGGTGGTCTTCAAACAGCCTTCTTACCTGGACACTTCCGATTGCTCACTATATGATAAACAATAAGAAATATATGCTTGTTTTAGTAATAATACTCTTCGGCAAAGAAATATAAGTAATATGGAGGAGTATTTGTGGACAGCTATGACGCAGCTAGACGATCTGTACTTGGCAGATGACCTGGCTCTTCTATCGCACACGCAACAACAATTACAAGAAAATACGATCAGTGTAGCAACAGCCTCAGCAGCAGTAGGTCTCAACATACATAAAGGAAAAATCAAAATTCTCCGATGCATCACAACATGCACCAACCAAATCACTTGATGGGGATGCCTTGGAGGACGTTAACACCTTTACATATCTTGGCAGCATCATTGACAATCAAGGTGGATCGGATGCAGCTGTGAGGGCGTGGATCGGCGAAGCAAGGGCTGCATTTCTACAGTTGAAAAATATCTGGAACTCCAAACAAATATCAATCAACACCAAAATCAAGATTTTCAATACAAATGTGAAGACAGTTCTACTGTATGTTGCGGAAACTTGGAGAACTACGAAAGCCATCATCCATAAGATACAAGTGTTGATTAACAGTTGTCTACGCAAAATACTTCGGATTCGTTGACCAGACACCATCAGCAACGACTTACTGTGGAAGAGAACAAACCAGATTCCATTGGAGGAGGAAATGAGGAAGAAGCGGTGGAAGTGGATAGGACACACACTACGAAAACCACCCAAGTGTGTCACAAAAGAAACCCTCACTTGGAGTCTTCAAGGTTGAAGGAAAAGAGGAAGGCCAAGGAACACATTACGCCGAGAAATAGAAAAAGATATGAGAGGAATGAACGAAAATTGGACGGAACTGGAAAGGGAAACCCAGGACAGATAGAGTTAGTTGGAGAAAACTGGTGTGCGGCCTATGCCTCATTGGGGCTAACAGGCGTAAGTTAATAAGTAATGAAGGAGTATTTCAAATTCGAGAATCGTTTTTTTGAGAGTTTTACATTTTACGTCTCATCAATTGAATACCCCAATATGCCTTGTTTAAATTACAATTTATGAGGTGAATTAGTTTTTTGATGTATGCTATATACATCGAATATTTGTAAAGTTATATCACTATTGATTGAACTGGTTGTCAATGGAAATCTTGGTGTGTACAATAAGTCTCTTTTCATTTTTAATATGGATGATTCACCAAATCAGTAATGTTTCTTTTACCAGTTGGCTATTATCAGTCTGTCAGTCAGTCAGTTAGTCTATAAAAAATTGTAAATTAGAATTAAAGTTATCAAGTTGAAAGTTAATGTACGGCAGTCGAATTGATACATTAATTCATCGACCTTTGGTTTGGTGTAAGTTAAAGCACTGATAACACATAGATTAAAGACATGAGTTGATAAATTGATAAGGCTCAATCAATGTTAAGTATTTCACAATATTTGGGCACTCTTGTGTTAGGCTTGAAAAGATGATTGATTGGTGTATATGGCAATCTCAGTCAGTCAGTTACAACGTAGAACTCCGTACGTACGTATGTACGTACATAAGTTCAAGTTGCCATAGCACATTAGCACAGAGAGGCAATTGTCACTTCAAATCCCATAGTAGTAATGATAATAGAAGTATTAGCGGTAATTAAAAAGATTAGGGTTCGAATAAATTATTTAAGAAGTATAGAAAGAGAAAGATAGAGGTGATGACGAATTCTATAATTTGAGAGAACACAAAGAGTGGATGTACCTGCACCACTGCAAACAATTTTCAGCCATATCATTCAAGGTCTTTAACCGTTGGTGACTTTTGTCTCACGGATCCCGACCATGTAGTCTACACTTACCAACATGACTCAGCTCACTTGTCAGTGACTTCATGGATTTCTGCGATGTTTTGGTTTGGCCGCCATTGATCTTAACTGATGACGTTCCAATGTTTCATCTATTGATTCGCCATTCCTAGTAGCAATCTAGTAATGATTTTATCGGAAATTTGATTTCGATCAAGCATCTGAAATTAATTCACATTTATTTTGAATGTATGTTTGAGTGTAGCTCATGGCAACATTTCAGATGTAAACTTGATTTATAAAATTGACTCAAATAAATAAACGCAACTAAGCAAAATAACTGGAAAATACTTTGGTTTTGTATATTGAATAACAAAATAATGTTTGTATGAGTGCGAAATATTTTTAAACAATTTTTTTTTCTACTAAAACTATTATTATCATCTGATAAAACTTAACTGTCTGAGCTTGGAAATTAGTTTTTACTGAATCAAATGTCAAATGTCGTACATTCTTTTTACTGAAATATCTACTATGTACGGAATTAACCGAGACAATTATTTATACAGAATAGATAGAATATGGCTAGCACGTTTCATCCTATTGATGACTCGTTTGTAACTGGATGTTCCTGCATCTGAAAGTTGGTTTTAACTTCAAGAATCAAACCTAGTACTGTCTGCTTCAAAAACACCATTGTGTTGTTATACACTAAGCTACTGAGTTCAGATAGCCACTACCTTTTGCAATAGGTATGTGTTGGGATATTCATCCAATATCCTAAGAAAATTATTTGTATGTCTAATCCTATTGGTCGTCCTGACCATCAATGTCACTTACTTCAATGTTCATTCCTATTCGACCTAACTGTATCAATATGCATTATCTGTAACGTTTTATGGACCCGTATCCTAAGTCCAGGATCCTCACCCCCTTCTGCACTCGGGTCTCGTACTTTCTGGATGTTTGTAGAATACTTAATGGGCGTTCGGGACACTCGGTTTAGAGTAGCCTGTCGTATCGCTGGATCCATCGATCCACGCTCTCGTTTACTGACTAAGGTAAACTCGTAATAGTGCAAGCCTATCAAATGACGTGTTTACGTGTATGCATAACGGTATGAGAAATAATTCGAGTCAACGACAAGATAATCCAAACTATTTCAAATTGAATTAGTCAATATTTCTTCTTCAAAGACTTAATGATTAGACTGAGAAAATCAGTCTTTTGATATTATAAAACTGTTTTATATATATAGTACATTATTAGTTCAAAAGCTAGATTCTAAGTTACAACAGAATATTAAAATAAATATGAATTACATACATGAAACTGTAATATTGGGGAGATCATGTACAATAAAAGTGTAGTATAATCACTGATAATGAAATGAACAGAATTTTGCTTACTTTATTACTTACGCCTATTACCCTCAATGAAGTATAAGCCGCCGACCGGTAGGTATTCCCCAATCTATTCTATCGTGGGCCTCCCTTTCCAGTTCTATCCAATTGTTGTTCTTTCTTTTCTCGTGTCTGTCACCATTTCTCAGCGTAATATATTCCTTGGTCTTCCTCTTTTGTTTTCATCCTGAGGGTTTCAAGTCAGAACTTGTCTTGTGACACGCAGTATAAAATGAACAGAAATAGTACATAACAAGAGGTGGCAGTTCACTTCAACGCAGAACTGTGAAAGTTTTCTTTGAGTTATGGATCATTATTTTACTATTTATAAAGAATGTAAAAGAGAACTACACCAGCATCGCTACATTCTTCTGTTCTGCGCTATATATTTTTGATAGTATCTGAAAACTACTGACTGTGCAATGTTGTCATTAGGAAACGAGCACTAGGTAGGTATGGGAAATCAATAGATGAAGTAATGAAACTTCAGTTGAGGTTGTTGGGACATGTATTACAAATGCACAACCACCGACTGCCTCGACGAGCTATGTTTTGTGGTGTGGGAGTAGGATAGAAGAAACTGGCGACCGCCAAACCAAAACATGGCAAAAATCCATGAAGTCACTGACAAGTGGACTGAGTCATGTTCGTAAATGTAGACTACCTGGTTGGGGTCAGCGAGATGATAGTAACCGATCGTTAGCGACCTTGAAAGACATCGTGGCTCAAAATCGTTAGTAATAGCTCAGGTGCATCCATCCTTTGTATCTGAATTTCTCATAACCTCTATCTTTCTCTTTTTAAATTTATTTCACTAGATTCTACTACTTGAATAATATCCTTTACGATTACTTTTACTATAGGATTTGAATTGACAATTTCATCTTTATGTGCTAATGTGGTATGGCAACATGTAACTGATGTATGTATGTTCGAAGTTCTACGTTGCGACAGACTGATTGACTCGGCTATACACTCCAGGTGTATGTATTTTGTAAGAATTCTGTACTGGGAAATGTAGTTTTTACTAACTTCAATTAGCACATGCTGCATCAACTGTTTGTAAAAGAAAGAACTCATGCCTCTCATCAAATCATACTTTTTTTCCAAAATTTTAATTGTATAGTTCATTTTTGGACATCAACAATACATGATAATGATTTAATACCAAATGCAGTCCCAATTATTACAAAAGACAACAATCATGATAAAGTTTCCTCAATACAAAAAGATAAATATTATTATTTACAAGACGAAAATGTATCACACCAGATTGATTCGTGCAATTCAACACGTCCTATTGAAACATTGAACAAAAATAGCAGCAATTTTTACATTTCTTATATTATTGACCACAAAGTAAGCGTGGTTTTTTTTAATTGATATGATTATTAGATTGAGATAAAGATTTTTTTTGCCCAGTGAATGAAATGCGTTTCCTTGTTGTTGTTGATAAATTAAGATTGTTTTACTGAGAGACACCATAAAATATTGATTTGTTTTAATAAATCAAAAAAAAATAGGACATTGAATATAAATGAATTTGTTGTGTGTTGTGTTTTAGCTTTTGGACAAATCAATTAATTCTTTGGTTGTAGACACATTATTTACACATATTCTGACCTCGTTAATTAGTCTGTTATAATTTTTTTCACTTATTGAGTTATGGAGATTGTTGTTTATTACTGAAATCATAAATAAATCATTGTTATTAGACCATTATGAGAAACCTGGAAGCACTGAAAGTGGGCCGTTTCGTCTTGGACTGGGACTCATCAGAGGCAGTGCGCATCCACGACTTCTGCCACTCACAGGATCCCGAATCTAGGACCTTCGGTCTTGCGCGCGAACATCTAACCTCTGGACCATTCAGCTGACTTGCGTCCAACGATGTTCATGTCTAACTGTGCGAGTAGCAGGAGTTGCGGACGCTCACTTCCTCTGATGAGTCCCATACTAGGACGAAACGGCCATCCAGTGCTTCTAGGTCTCTGATGGTGGTCAGACAATGATTGATTCATGATTCCAGTAATATTCTGTTATAACCGATGGATTGAGACATTGAACGACATGGCTCAAAACCGTTTTCTATGGCGCAGATGCATCCACTCTCTGTGTTCTCTCACATTGTAATATTCTGAATTTCTCATTATATTTAGCTTTCTCTTTTTAAATCTATCTCACTGGATTATACTTCTTGAATAATATCTTCGAACTGTTATCTTCTCCATTACCAGTAAATACTTCTACTATCTCTACCACTATGGTATTTGAATTGACAATTGCGTCTCTGTGCTAATGTGGTATGGCAACCTGAATTTATGTACGTACTTACGAAGTCCTACGTTGTAGATGACTGACTTATATATTTTTGTCAGTTACTTACTTCCTTACTTACTCCTAAAGGAGCATAGGACACCAACCAACATTCTCCATAAATTAGATTTACCTTAATCAGTTATTATTATTATTAACACTTGAAGAATGTGATTGATGCTCATTTCATTTTACTATTTTGTACTGAAATCATATCTATGTATACCTTATTTCGACTAAACATTTGATCTGACAATTAATTCAACTATTTCTTTATATATTTGTATGTTAGGCGTCCAATATTGTAGATATCAGTGACACTGCCATCTATCCTCGTCTTTCACTTCACTGGCCATATCTTGCATTATGTGGACCATTATGCAAACAATCAAATGAGTTGTCTGCTCATAGTAATGATTCATTATCATCCCATATTTTAATATGGCGACTTCCATATACTGATGCTGATGCTGATGATATGAACAAACCTCCCTCATTGATTTGTGATTATCGAATTCATACAAATCATGAATTGTCTTCATCGTCATCATCATCCTTTTGGTCACGTGATTATTATTGTTGGGCAAAATTTTCTTCGGCTACAGCTGATTCACAATGTTTGCAATTGATAGCAGCTACATGTAAAGGATTCATTGAAATTTGGGATATTAATCAAGGTATGTTAAGTGTTCGGATGATGATGTTGATTTTTTTTCAATGAATTAGAGTATTATAGGGATCAGTGTTCTTGCACACATTGAAATCATGAATGAATCAATCATTGTGTTAGACCACCGCTTTTAGAAACCTGGAAACACTGAAAGCAGGCTGTTTTGGTCCTGGTTTGTAATTCATCAGAGACAGTACACATCCATGACTCCTGCTACTTGCAGGGTTTGAAACCGGGACCTTCGGTCCAGTGCGTGAACGCTTAACTACTGGACCACTGGGCTGACATTCTGCAAGTAGGAGGAGTTGTGGTTGAATACTACCGATAAGTCCCATACCAGGCCGAAACGGCTGTCCACTGCCTTCAGGTTTCTAATGGTGGTTGTCTAACAATGATTGATTCATGATTTCATTTTCTTGATATTGAATGAAAGTAACTATTTGAATATTTGTCAAGATTTGAATGAATTTTCTAGTTTGATCGAAAATGGACGCTGAGTATAGCGAAATTATACTGTGTGTATTTATATAATTTTAAAGTCCAGTTCAACAATGTTGTCTGGACATCAGTGTAATCATTGGAATTATTAAAGAATAAATAACTTTTAAAAAAAACAATCTATACCAAAAGCTTAGTCAGTCAGTTCATGGGCCTCTGAGCGCCATGCTACGCCAGAGAGTGTGCAGATCCTGCTACTCTCCGAACGCTCTTATGTAGCCACTTCTAGGGCAGTCCTACTCAATAAAAAGAAATCTCTAAATAATCACCCTCATCGTCTCAAGTGTATTTTCTCTTCTTCAATACAGCGTTACAACTAGATGAAGATTAGAAAAGTTGAAACTTTCGAGCATTGTCTTCTCACTAAATTACGTCCGTTACCCCTATGGAGCATAGGCTGCCGACCAGTATTCTCCAATCTACTCTTTCCCGGGCCTCCCTTTCCAGTTCTGTTCAATTTTTATTCATTATTCTCTTATCTTTCTCTATTTCTCGGCGTAATGTGTTCTTTGGCCTTCCACTTTTCATTTTATCTTGAGGGATCTAAGTGAGAGCTTTCCTTGTGACGCAGGTGGGTGCTTACCACATTGTGTGTCCTACCCACTTCCAGCGCTTCTTTCCGATTACCTCATCCGCTGGAATCTAGTTTGTTCTCTACCAGAGTAGATTTTTGTAGATGGTGTCTGGCCAACGGATCCAAAGTTTATTGCGTAGACAACTGCAAATAAATACTTATATCTTCTGGATGATTGCTTTCCTAGTTCTCCAAGTTTCCGCCCCATACAGTAGAACTGTCTTGACACTTGCTTTGAAAATTGTAACTTCGGTGTTTGTTGATAGTTGTTTGGAGTTCCATTTGTTCGTCAGTTGTAGAAATGCATTCCTTGCTTTGCCGATCCGCGCCTTCACATCTGCAGTAGATCCACCTTGCTCGTCAATAATGCTTCCTAACTATTTAAAGGTTTTGACATCCTCCAAGGCATCTCCATCAAGTGTGATTTAGTTAGCGCATGTTGTGTTGTATCCGTTGATCTTGCTTTTTCCTTAATGTATGTTGAGACATGCTGCTACTGAGGCTGCTTCTACACTGGTCGTCCTCTCCGGCATTAGTTGTCGCGTGTGCGATAGAAGAGCCAGATCATCTGCGAATTCCAGATCGTCCAGCTGCATCCTAGTTGTCCGTCATATCCCGAGCTTCCTTCAAGATGTTGACATCTTCATAGTCTAGTTGATCCCCAGGACAAAGAGAAAGGGTAAGAGTAAGCAACCTTGCTTGACAATGGTCTTCGCTTGAAATGAATCTGTCAGCTGTCCTTCATGCATGATTTTGCAGTGTAGTCCGTCAGAAGGGCTCCGTATGATATTGACTATCTACTTTAAGCTATTATTTTTAATTTCGTTCTTTAATTATTCAATAATTAAATAAGTGTATTTTTGTAATCCCCTGATGCATAAACTCTCACCGCCTGTTAAACTTTTCGTCTTACGTTAACTATGAGGAATTCAGAAGATTAGGACGACAGAGAATTGACGCACATGTTCCATTAAAAACGATTTTGGGTCATGTCGTTCAAGGTCTATAACCATCGGTTACTATCATCTCTACTAACATGGCTCAATTTAGTAGTTAACCACTTAATGAAATAGTTCCATTTTTTGGCTGTCCCTAGCTTTCTTCCAACCTACTCCTACACTACAAAACATCGCTCGTCGAACCAGTCAGTGGTCGGGCATACGTAACACATGTCCCAATCACCTCAACTGATGAACATTTACTACTGCACCTATCGATTCGTCATCTTCATCTAGTACTCGTTTCCTAAAAACTGCGTTGCTTACCCAATCATCCTAAGATACACGAGCAATATTTCGAAGACACCTATGATCGATTACTAATAGCGTACGAATATCCTCCACTTTTACTGGCCGTGTTTTATAGCCATATAGTAGGACAAAGTGAACTGCTCCACAGTAGACTCGTCCTTTGGTTTGCAAACGGATATCTCGCCTACGCCATAAATGATGCAACTTGGCAATAGCCAATCGAGCCTTCTCTATCCGTGCTGAGATTTCGTCAGTCACCAGGCCGTTAGCATTGATTAGGCTCCCCAGATAAGTGAAGTGGTCTACACGCTCGACTACTTCACTCCCTATCACTGTGCTGATGCAAACCAATGTTGAAGCAAAATTTCACACTCCCAGGGGTGACAATCGCATCCCGAACATGCTTGCATTGTTGCTTAGGGTGGTGAGAAGACTCTGTATATTGTCTACCTCTTCACCAAATAGAACAATGTCATCGGCATATTCTAAGTTAACCAGTCAACAACAATAGGTACACATATTATTTACTTTACTGTTTAACAAATAACATAAAGATTTTTATTTCTTTCTCATTTACATTGTTTCAATTTTATCTATTCAATACAATATAGGTAAAAAGATTCGAAATTTCAATGTATCTACACAAACTGGCCAATTATTACGTTGTGCAGCATTGCCAGTTGAGAATGTTCCATCTTCTTTATTATTAACTAGCGGTATTAGTGGTATCATTAGTGTATGGGATTTACGTATGTCCTCTTCGTCATCATCTAACCATATGCCTCAGTTGAAATATTCTCATAAAGAATTGAAAACTTCAGTAAGTCAATAACAAGCCTGATTTCTTGATTTGTTGAATAAGTTGTGAAAATAAATAACGGAAACACTTTGAGCTGACATTTGATTGGTCAGCGGCTTTAAGTAGCTCACTAGTAATTTTTGAGATTGTGAAACTGAATGACACACATAAATCTAACTTTTACAGAACTCTGCCTGGAGCTCTTCTATGGTTGCTGTCGTTCACGAGCCCGGATAAAGGAGGAGGGTTGGGCATAGGGTTAGTGACTCCATCCTGTAGAAATCCAACTCCCTACAAAAACGCTAACCGGAAAAATAATTCACTGGTTGGCGGCCTATGCTCCATTAGGGGTAACAGGCCTAAGTAAGTAAGTAAGTAACTTCCATAAGAAACATCAGTTCTCTCAAGACTATAGTTGTACGAATTGCTTAAGGACATGTATCAAGCAGCATAAGGCCTTGGTCAGGCAGAGTTTTTTGTAAACTTTCTTTAACATTTGGCAATGTTTGATACAATGTAATTCAATTTGAGACAGTTTGGAAATATCGCGTTGTTGATATTTTGACTGAAATTAAATCAGTCTTGGTTGACACATAAGCAGTCGATGCAGATTGCCTCGCCATTATGACACAAGTTTATACAGAATAGATAGAATGTGGCTGGCAGTGGAATTCAGAGCGCGTGTTTCGTCCTATTCGGGACTCGTTTGTAACTGTATGCACCTGCATCTCATAGTTGATGTTCACTCTGGGACTTGGACCTACTACCATTTGCTTCAAACGATATCGTGTAACCCACTTGCGACTGAGTTGAGGTAGCCAGTCACTTGCGCAACTGGTATTAGACTTCATTCAGTTGGAAATAATTTGGATTACAGGTTCTAATTGCATGTTCTAATCATGTATCTAATGAAGTTTTAATACTTTATAAACTGGGTTATTATCTCTAACTTGCGCATAACGTTAACATTTCTCAGTCTATCGCTCCAACATGTATGTATGCTCGCGATGCTTCGTAGACATTCTTCTTTGAAGAATTTGTTCACACTGAAACACAGTATGTCAGAAAAATTTCAACTGTCCTACTCGTATGTGATTTTATGATTAACAGTCTCCTAGCTAAAGAAAGATTGCACTGTAAACTCGTTCAGTTTGCTTTAATTGACTATTATAGAACATGTGAAGTAGAACTCATTTCTAGTAAAGTTACAACAAGTAGTTGATCACAAATGTTTACGAATCATTGCTCGCATATAAATTGGAATAATAGAATGCGAAATGCTGTGGTTACACGTAAGATGAAGTAGTAAATTTTCACTGAATATATAACTGGAACATAGATTAGGTACACTCTGCCAGTGTCTACTTCGACAAGCGATGTTGGTAGATTGTCTTCAAATTTAGGCTGATGTACATATATCAAGTCCTACATTACTTACGATTGACTAAAAGTGAAGGGAAAAACCTAATGAACATGTCGATCTACTTAAGGTTCCTACACAAATAAGTAGCTGACACTGAATCACGGAGTATCAGAAAAATTTCAACTTTTCTACTCATTGGAATATGACAAATGTATTATTTCGTGATACCGAATACTATCAATCTTTTAAACTACTACTACTACTTTTCTGGTTTTCAAAATGGGCATCGGCCTCGTGACTTCCAAAAAAAACTCGACTTTCATCATGAGACGTCATAGCTTTTCTAAACGAAAACCTTCTAACTCCCAGAGCAGAATTTAAATGTTTTGGACTGATTTTTATGGTTAGCATTTTTTAGCGAGTTAGTTCTCTGCCCTCCTCCTTTATTCAGGCTTGATGTTAGGATATTCATCCAATATCCTCAGAGAATTATTGGTCTATTCCTATTGGTTAGTTCCTACTGGTCAATTTTATGGTCGTCCTAGATATCAATGTCACGTGCTCCAATGTTGTTTCTTATTGGTTGTCCTGACGATCAGTGTCACTTCAAATGTCGCTTCCTATTGGTCGTCTTATTGTCAATGTCACAGACTTCGATGCTGTTTCCTATTCGACCTAGATGTACAAATACGCATTATCTGTAACTTTTTAGGACCAGGACCAGGTCCCGAATCCCTAGTCCGGTATCCTGATTCTCTTCTGGACTCGGACCTCGTACTTTCTGGATGTTTGTAGAATACACGTTCTACTTCATATCAAGTCTTCTTCTTTACTCAATATGAGGGTTGGGACATTCGGATTAGAGTAGCATGTCGTGTCACCGGATCCCCAATCCTCACTCTCGTTTACTGACTAAGGTAAACTCGCAATAGTTCGAGCATATCAAGTTGACGTGTTTACAAGCATGCGTAACACTTGAGACCGGCAGTATCCCAGAGACGGTCCCAGGCGGAAAATTACAATCAAACTGGTCTATCAGTTAATAAAAAATAGATTACAGAAGAAATTAAAATCCATCAAATTGATATTTTTTAAATTTTAGACAGCTGATTTACTTTGGCTTAATGAAAATCAATTCAGTTCATGTTCAGATACGATTGATCGAAATAATTGTGAACACTATGTAGCTGTATGGGATATACGATTTACCAAACCGATATCTCATCAATTATATCAAGTAAGTCATTGAATTATTTTGAAAAAGACAAAAAATACATTTTAATTATTCCTGTCGGCTTTGCATTTCTTTACTGCTGTTTTTCGCTGTAGTTTGCGATAGAAGGAATAACTTACTTATACCTTTTACTCCTAGTGGAGGTTAGTCAGACGACCAGCATTCTCTTAACCTACTCTGTCCTGGGACTTCCTTTCTAGTTCTGTCCAACTGCCACTCATTCTTTTGATGCCTGCTTCCATTTATTGGCGTAATGTGTTCTTTGGTCTGCTTCTTTTCCTTTGACCTTGAGGATTCCAAGTGAGGGTTTGCCTTGTGGCACTGTTCGGTGCTCTCCTCAATATGTGTCCTATCCACCTCCGGCAGTTTTCCTTAATTTCTTCCTCAACTGAAATCTGTTTTGTTCTCTCCCACAGTTGGTTGTAGCTTGTGGCGTCTGTCCAAAGGTAAGACAATTGTTAGTAAACGCCTGTATTTTTTGGATGATGGCTTTCTTAGTTCTCCAAGTTTCCGCCCCCACAGTGGAATTGTCTTGACATTTGTATTAAAAACTGTCAATTTGGTGCGGATTGACAGTTGTTTTGAGTTTCACATCATGTTGGATTGTTGAAACTCTGCTCTCGCTAATCACTTGCCCAACCCTCTTCTTTTATCCGTTCTTGGGACCTGCAATAACCTCGGATGGGCTTCAGGTAGAGTCGAAGAGTAACTTAAGAAGCCAATTTATAGATTATTGTTGTATCTAGTCTAATTGTGTAATTACTAAGTAACAAGATTCCCTGTATTCCTTGAGCTCTTGAATAACTCATTTTAACTATAGTTATATGATTTATTATTTTCTAATTTATTATTGACAGTCTCATCCTACTTACAGCCATGTTTGGTTCATCTATGCATAGTTGTTAATTCCTTATTTGTCGACGTGTTCATGTGTTCCGGTTAGAGGCATAGTATACATAAAGGAATATCGGGAATATAATAACGATAAATCTTAGCCTTGGTAGTAAATGGGCTGTCGTCTAAGCATAGAATAGTTCAAGTCTTTTGTCTTCTGTTGGATATTGGTGAATAAAAAGATCATTTGTGCTATTGTTAGGTTGACGTAAGGACACAACAGTTTTATTCTTATATTTTTGATCATTTAACTCTAGCATTATTATATCCAATTGAATGACTTCATTGCTTGAAGAATCAGTGAAACTATGATGTTCTTTATTCATGATTGTAGGTGTCAGTGAAAAATACAATATCTTTGATTTATGGATTCAGCATAGCATTCAAAGATTTCTAGGCTTTATTTCAAGATATGTGTGAGTTGTGTACTTTAGAATGGTGGTTAGAAGATTTTCATGCAAAGGGTGTTATTGGATTTTTATTAGTTTTTCGTAAAGACAATAAAGTCCAATACACTTGTTTCACATTGAAATCATGAATGAATCATTGTTAGACCACTTTTAGAAACATGGAAACACCGGACTGCCGTTTCATCCTTGTTTGGATTCAACAGAGGCAGTGCGCATCCACGACTCCTGTTACCCAAAGGATTCGAACCCAGCACTTTCAGTCTCGCGAACGTCTAACCTCTGGACCACTGGGCTGGCATCCAATGGTGTTAATGGTTCATTCATGATTACAATGTGTAAAAACGACGATTTTCATAATCCTCTTATGCGAAATCAAAAAATGTGCTCACTATTTACTGGCTTCTTAAGGAACTTCTCAGAGTTCTAGTGAGAAAACGTGACCAGTGGAGTTAAACCCTTTCGAGTTTGGGCATTAACTACCGAAGGAAATAAGTGGGGTAGCCCCAAAATCCTTAGACGACTGATCAGAGTTAGATAATAACACCACTGGATATTGGCTCAGTTGTCCAGAAGTTAAATGTTAGCGCGCAAGACCAAAGGTTCTGGGTTCGGATCCTGCTAGGTGCAGGTCTCATGGATGCGCACTGCTGATAAGTCCCATATCGAGACATAACGGCTGTGTTTCAGTGCTTCCAGTTTTCTTCCGAATGATGATCTAACAGTGATTCGTTGATGATTTCAATGTGTAAAACCAGCAATCTTCATATTACTACAATGCAAAATCAAAATTGTTTCAATCGTAGGAATTTTGTATATATATAACCAATGTGATATTGAATATTTATACAATTTAAGTATGAATTTGTTGCATTCAAGTATCATTGATCAAACTGATAGGAATTCTGTTATGTGATGGCCTTTTTCAATACATACACTCTTGTTACTACTTGTATCCCTGTTAATTTATAGTCGTGTATGTACGTATGTGTGCTTAGTGTTTATGCAACGCCTGTCTGTCTGTCTATCTATCACGAACTAGTTTCTTTGTCATATGTGTAAAATCATATTACAACTCATATTTTGTGTAGACTAGAAATACTGGTCTTCAGGTCTGCATTATTTGTCTTGTATTGTTTGTCGTCTGTTTGACTGAATGCACTAACGAGAATCGATACGCAAATAGTAAGAATCTTTGTTTCGTTATCACTTATTATATTAAAAGTCTCATTTAGTGCTGATGGCCTGCTGTCTGACGTAATCTCAACACGGATACAGAAGACTTGATTGGCTTTTGTCAACTTGTGTCACTTATGGCGTAGGCGAGATGTTCATTTGCTAACCAAAGGACAAGTCTGATGCGCAACAGTTCGCTCCGTCCTACTTCATCACTGTGAAACATGGCCAGTCAGCGTAGAGATATTCTTAAATTACTGGTTTTTGATCATCGGTGTCTTAGAACCATTGCTCGTGTATCGTAGGCCAATCGAGTAGGCAATGTTGTTGGGGAACGGGTACTAGGTAAGGCTCAGAAATCGTTTGATAAAATTGAGAATTTTCATCAGTTGCGGTAGTTAGGACATATGTTACGTATGCCCAGCTACCGACCACCTCCACGATCGATGTTGTCTGATGTAGAGAGGTAGATTGGAAAAAAAACTGGGAGCGGACAGACCAAAAAATGGCACAAGTCCATGATATCAGCGACATCTGGTCTGAGCCATGGTAATAGGTGTAGACTCTGCGGTTCGCAAGACATTATTTTAATGGATTATACTTGTTGAATCATATATTCAATCCCTAATTTTTTCGATTATCACTAAAACTGCTACAACCTCTGTGCTATTGTGGTATGACAACTTGAAGTGATGTACGTACTTGCGAAGTCCCACTTTATAGCTAGCTGACTTACTGATTAATTTTGTTTTGTTAACAATCATTGTTCATTAGTTATTAGAGTCTATTCTCTGCTATGTGTTGTACTCGATATTGTTTTTCTTCTTTTTTTCAAAGAATTGAATGAAACTAGCACTTTACATCTGTATTGATATATTTTTTTGCAGTTGATAAATTTTATTCTACTTCATAGTAGATAGACTCAGTACAGAGTCTGTTACAGAATGTTGGTCGACGGCCTCATGCTCCACTGGGGGGTAAAAGGTATTGAAACATTGAATTGAACATTCATAGTAGATAATATTATTTTATGTAATGTTAATTAAAGCCAACGAAGCAGTATTATGTAGTTGCAGGTAGTCGATAGACAGACCTTACACTTATCACGAAGATACACCTTTTAATCTTAACGGTATTGATAGTAGTACTTCTGGGATTCAAACTCACATCATTCATCGTCACAATCTACGACAACCACCTAACACACAATATTGAGTTACTTAGACTGGTGGCCACACTACAGTAATAAAGGACTGAACAAATATGACATTAATGACAAATTATTCAATGATCAGTTGCTTATAATGAAACAGTTTTGTACTACATAAGCAACTGAGGGACATTTATACGCTTTAATGATATCTTCCTTCACAGTTCGTGTGACCGGCTCTTACTTATTTTCTGGTTGTTTAAATAAAGTGGAGAGCTAAATTGAGATGGCTTTCTTGTAGAAATATCTTGTTCATGCTTTTAAAATAGTGAAGTCAACTCTAAGCGGATTGTAATAAGTGACTAAATGAATAATGAATCAGGTGAAAGTAGGTTACAATTAGGACAGATCTAATTGTTTATACCAACTTACATTACCTTCGCCTGTCACCCCTTCAATGCAGCATAGGCCGCCAACCAACATTCTCCAACCTACTCTGTCTTAGGCCTTCCTTTCTAGTTCTACTCAATCAATGTTCATTCTTTTCATGTCTGTCTCAATTTCTCGGCGTGATGTGTTGTTCCTTGGTCTTCCTCTTTTCTTTTGGCCTTGACGATTTCATGTGAGGGCTTGTCTTGTGATACAGTTGGTTGCTTTCCTCAATATGTGTCCTGTTCACTTCCAGCGCTTCTTCTTGATTTCTTCCTCCGCTGGAATTTGGTTTGTATTGTTCATAAAAAGTATCGTTTTATTTTATATCAATAAAATTAACTCCATTTCGGGTTTCACCTTCATTCCATTCATTTATTACTTTGTATTGTGCCTTGATCAACTCTCATTGTATTGGATTCTTGATTGTTAATTGAATAATTAAATAGATTTGACCATTTGATCAAATACCAATTATCGATTGAGTCTTGTTGATCTAATTTCTAGTATAGAATTTTTAGAAAACAATACAGATTGATATAAAATGTTGTTGTTTTACCAATTAGATCGTCATCATCAGGCTTTTTTACTCTCTAATATTCATGAAAATGTTAAACCAATATTAAGGCAATTTATTATGAGTCTAAAATCACAATAAAACCGATTGCGTCACTGCATATGATAGGTAGAATGTACAAATTGATCGCAGAAAGACAAGTGTACTGATATTAGTGGTAAGAATAATAAAATACAGTAACAAAAGTTCTATTTCAACTTTGAAAGTATCAGGTCAGATGTGAATCGACAAACTTGAAATAATCATAAAAGATTGTTAGAATTACGTAATAAGAAGAGTATAAAATAATTAGATGGTGAAGAATATAAACGGGAAGAGGTGAGTCAGGATTTGTTTCTGAATAATTTAGTCTCGTGTGCTGTTACGGGTTTGAGGGCGGTTGTCACTTCCCGGCTGCCCATACCGTTGAAGAGTGTTTCTTGAGGAACCTGAAAAGGAAGGTAGATTAGTGTTGGTCTTAGAGACCTGGGAGCGTTACCGCAGAGTGTGACGAGCAAGTGCTTGGGGCCGGTCATGTACGGCCTTTTTCTGAGAAGCTTGTAGTGTTAGCTCCGCTCTTTTTAAAAGTCTTTGTTGCGCTGCCCTTACCGACGGAGACGGAAATTCGTGAGGTAAGGTGAGGTTTGAAATTTTTAGGGTCGACCTTTTCTAACCCTTCCTTCCTTTTGAGAAGGCAGTATCGCTGCAGATGCTGGTTGTCCGAGGGAAACACCTTACTACTTTCACACTCCTCTACAGTCAATAGTACGACTTCGCCCTCAGACCTTGAGTAGCTGCTTTTAGTCTTGTAGTGAATGAGAACACAGGTGGGGCAACCGGATTGTATTTAGCGAAATTACAGAGCTACTCAGTAAAATCGGATAACCATATCGTAAATCGTATTGTCACTATTCATGCGTTTCATACAAATTCCATTGTGTTCTAACACTTCCTTTCTTGATCTTCGCCCATCTTCTGCTGCCAGACATTACGTTGACACTCACGTCATGTACTACTTATAAGTAGCTCGCACCACGGTCTCACCATTCTCCAATCGACTTGCCTGGCATGGTAAAACCTTCAGAAGAATATGTTGCAACCAATATATCTCGGTTGGGTCATGACGATAGGGAAGGCCGACCACCACGTCAAGGTAGCACCTACAGTCGCGGGAAGAGGTGAGAAAAATGACAAACAAATACAGGATGTGAAAATAGTGTTAAAATAAAAATTTTAAAGTCGTTTATTAAGTTATATCCGGCCCATGAATGAACAGGAATTCCACGATTTTCTCCTGAACACATAAATTGGAGTTGGATGTTCCTATGGCTTCTGCTATATATAGGATACGGGATGGAACTCCGTTGGGAACTGATGGAGGTATACGATAGATGACTCTAAATGATCCAGTTATATCTATACATTACGATCGCTATCAATCAGGTCGGCCAAGATAGAGCTATGTATTGTTTTTATATGACCCTTTCCAAACCATACTGAGAAATTTTCACTCAATAGTTGGTTAAGATGCCTGTTAGTATGTCCGAAATAGCTATCGCCACAGGAGCAATTGAATTCGTAAGACGCTCACTGAGGAGGCTAGTTCAGGTAACTTATCCTTTGTTTCGATAAACATCACTAGTCGAGTCGTTAATTTTTCCGGTCAGCATTTTTTTAGCTAGTTTTCTACAGGATGGAGTGGCTAACCCCACGCCCGGGCTTCGGACCGACAGTAGCCCTGGAGGAACTCCAGGTAGAGCTAGTCGACTGGAGAAGATGTATTTTCCTTTATAACAGTCAGCTGACTGACATAAATGTGAACTACCATTTACAACTATGCTCAAGACTCATTAAACTATTTCTTCTTTTCTGTTTTTATTAAAAAAAAACCAACTATAACTTGTCAAGGAACGTTGGGGTTGTAATAGACTAGCTTTAAAGCCAACATTTCATTCAAATCAAAATATTCGTTTTGCTGTACAAACTCAAGGTGATGCAATTGTGGAAATCTATTCTAGAAATTTGAAAAATCCTGCATCTTCAAATCGATTTAGTTATCATTTAGAGAAACGTTGGCGTTATGAAGGTCATCAGGTTTGTTGATATTATATAAGATTTTCTGTTTGGTTGTAATCTTTTGATCAATCCATTTGAAATTAAATGATTTACATTTCTAATGACAAGTAGTTATTAATTGAGTCCATCTTGATAAGTGACGATATCATATGATGATGAGTGATCAAATAAATCTTTCATATTCACGTCATGATTACATCAACCTAGTTGATTTTGTACATTTCATAGACTATGTTCCCTTTATATGATCGATTAGTTTTGACAATGCAATATTAAGGTTTTTCATTATAGAGCTATGGAGGTCGTTGTTTATACACACTGAAATCATGAATGAATCATTTTTAGACCAACATTAGAAACCTAGAAGTACTGGACGATTGTTTCTTCCTGGTATAGGATTCGTCAGCATTGAGCATCCACGACTCCTACTATTCGCAGGATTTGAACACCGTTGGATGCCGGCTCAGTGCTCCAAAGGTTAGGCGTTCGCGTGCAAGACCGGAGGTCCTAGGTTCTATTCCTGTAGGTAAAAAAAGTCGTGGATTTGCACTGCTGATGAGTCCCATACCAGGACGAAACAGCCGTCGAGTACTTTCAGGTGTCTGATGGCTGTCTATCAATGGATGATTCATGATTTCACTTGAATGTATAATGTTCTTTCAATGAATATTTTTCAGTAGTATATAAGGTCCTGAAAAATGTTAGAAGTATTATGCACATTGAATGGTTTACTGAAAGGAGTAGACCATCTACACAGTGTCCAAGTTAGACAAATATGAAGACAGTTAAATGTGTATACCAACACCGTACATGAATAAAATTAATAATTAGTCATATGAATAAGTACGAAATAATTATGACAATGAAGAATGACACATAATCTTTTCAAATCAGGCGAGGTTGGTTTGCATAAAGATGAACACTTTCTATGTTCTAAGCGAATTGTATATGCCTATTAAAAACTTCTAAATGACATTTCACTTATTAATCATAATTGTATAGTAAATAAATTTATGAAGATAGGCTACAGTTTTGTAACCTTTCGATTTGATTAATTAAGTTTAATAATTTAAGAAGACTGGTAGTACATGTTGAAGGGGAAAAACTTGAAAAGTTTTTAATTCTTGTAGGCGTAGGCTGGAAGAAACGTAGGAGCGGTCAAACTAAAATATGACACAAATCCATAAAGTCATTGACAAGTGGACTGAGGCATGTTGGTAGGTGTGGACTACCTGGTTGGTGTCCGTGAGACGATACTAACCGATGGCTAGAGACCTTGAGTGACATGGTACAAAATCGTTTTCAATGGCTCAGGTGCATCCATTCTTTGTCTTCTAGCAAATTCTAATCTTCTGAATTCCTCATCACCTTCATCTCTCTCTTTCTAAATTCATTAAACTGGATTATACTTCTTGACGGATATCTCTCGTCTAAGCCATAGAATGACTCAAGTTGGCAAAAGTCAATCGAGTTTTTTGTATCCGTACCGAAATTTCCTCAAAAGATGTTATGATATATTTCATATTCCCAATGAGATTGTACGGATGAAAAATAATATACGTTGAAACTTTAGATTACTACTAGCAAAGTAAAGAGCTTTTCTTCAAGTTAGCTAAATACTAATAGCCGATATCAGTCAATCAGTCGATTATAACGTAGAACTTCGTACATGCGTACTTAAGTTCAGGTTTCCATTCTGCATCAGCACAGAAACGCAACTGACAGTTCAAATCCCATGGTAGTAGAGATATTAGAAGTATTAGCAGTAATGAAAAAGATTAGGGTAATAGCCGATATC